GTTTCCGGGTACGCGTAAAGTCTCCTTTCAGCGCAGCGGTGCCAGCATACTGCCGAGATATGGCATCACCATTGTCGGCCCAGAGGGTGTTGAACCACGATGTACTGGGGTCGTTCTGGAGATCGATGGTGTAGCTACCCGTGGACAATTGCGCTTCAAGAGCAGTCCTAGCGCACGCAGATTGAACAACGTTGGTGCGGTCCAAACAGTCCATACAGTTCGTGCGCAAGACTCCTGATTGCTTCTGCTGTACTTGGTCTTCCGAGATTTCAACCCAACCAGAAGATTTCATAAAGGGTTCGATTGAATCCATCAGCTTCGAGACGTTCTCGAAGCGCATACCGCGGCACACGTTGTGAAAGTCGAACCATTCGAAGCCCAGCTGCTTGCCTTTCCCATCCATTCCGCCATTTTCATTGAGAGACTTCGCATGCTGTTCGTAAAGCTCACCAATCTTCGCCTCAGTACCGTGTTTGTCGATGAGCGAATCACAGTATATCTCGCCATAGCGTGAAGATAGATCGGCGAAATGCTTTTTGAAAGCGCGGGCATTGGTGTCAAAGGATCCCCAAGTAGACACTTGTGGCTTGAGGCTGTAAGGAGATTGAGAGAAGAACAGGGGAATTGAGCCTCGGATTTGTGTGAAAGAGAAGATCTTATCTCGCGTTGTGCTAAAAGCCGGGTTGGATAGTATCTGTTCAGTTTCGACGCTGTTCGCGGTACAGCCCTCGTCGTCTGTACCCCGTCGCAGGTAGCGAAGCCCAGCTCGCTTGATAGAACGTCGCGAGATGAGTGTCAACAGGAAGTCTTTGCCATCCGCAAGAGAGGCATTGGGGGCAGATGTTTCGCCGCTGGCTTCCGCGTTGGACCGTGAATCTTCTTTCTGCTTCTCATGCCAGGACTGGAGCTGGATATCGTCTGGGGTAGCACTCGGGTCGACCACGAGACTGTTTGACTGGCCATCGGCTGTCTTGATCGTGAAAGGTCGCTGGCCAATGAAGCCTTGCATTACAGGAAGCACAAAAGAATGCTGGCCCGCGTCGATAAAAGGTGCGATTATGTGCTGATTCCAGAAAAACTAGACACTGGTAAGTAAACATCCGTCACATAGACAATGTGTAGACTGACCAGAGGATCGAATTGTTTGAATAAAGCGACACTAGAACTTGCTTGCTGCTGGCCAATACCGTGTGAGATATCATAGTCGTATGAGAAGAAGAAGTTGCCCGACGAAAAGTACATTTTGGTGGTCTGCAGGATCTTTGGTAAGAGTGCTACAGTGGTTGCGTCCTTGTCGCCGCTCAGGGCCTTGGGTATAGCTTCTGGGCTGACTGGTTCCGAGATGTCCTTGTCATCTGTAGGGATGGCATCCGGCTTAGACTCGCTCTTGGGTTCTTCTTCTTCCTTTGGCACCCCCGAGTCAACGTTCTGCGGCACGTTCTTTGCAGCCAGGTTCTCTTCTGAGCTCAGCCCCTGCAGACGCCTGTTGTCAGCGCTCCAGCCCTTGCGCGAGAACCACTTGTCAGCGAATCTGCCATATACACCTTTTCTTTGTATGACGTCTTCAGCCACACTTGTCTTGTGCTGCGCACTGCCTTTTTGTCCGGTGACCGAGTCCTTGACCTCGCTCGGTGTGGACGATGAGTCCTCTACAAGTGAGTCCGTCACACTGGGCGCGCCATCCTCACTATCGCTATCACTGTCCTCGTCTTCCAGGCCGGGTGCCCGGTTGCGGCGCTTCAGATGGTCACGCGTGGCTGCGATGGCCTTGTCGGCGTCGGCTTGCGAGGAGAGGGGAATGAGGGCGACATCGGTGATTTTGTAGATGGGCTTGCCGCGTACAGTTGCCACCTGTTCGCGGTCGGATATGGATATCAGGAAGTAAGAAGTAGCGACTTTGAGTAGTCCTTGTAGTAGGGTTAGCCGGTGTCGTAATGTGCCAATGATTGCGCGCGTACCGATAATGCCATGCGCTTCCACAGATACGGGTGCTGTAGCTTCTTCGCGCCTGTCTTTCAATAGGGGCCCGACATTGCCCTTGTAATCGACCTTGATGGCCTGCTGCGTCGCGGGCGGGTGGTTGCGGGGCGGGGACGGCTGGAGGATGAGACCATCGACGGCGGCGAAGATGAGCAGCTTGCGAACAAGGGAGGGCATCTTGTCGGCAGCGCTATGCGCGTTCAAGGCTGATTGACTCGACGAGATGCGACATCAGGTCGCTTGTAGGCGCGTCGAGATGTCTGATGGGTTGAGCCGGAATGACGTCGTGTCGCGCCGCGCTAATCTCAAGATTTCTTACCCCACGCGTCCTCGTGGCAGCCATGGTGACATCCTCAATTCTCCCCCTTTTCGCGTTGCTAGTGAAACGTGTCTGTCTTGAGTACCAAGAAAAGCATGAAGCGAAACTTCGCGACGACAGAAGTGCTGACCAAACACGTTTGCCCAGAACTCATTTCAAGCAGCCATGCTTAACATTCTAATAATGGCTAAGCGGGTAGATTCGTGCAAAGCCTGCCTACCCTTCCAAAGGCCGTACAAAGCCACAGCGTCCTGATGGAGGATTCAATCCGTTGCTGAAGAGATATTGCAAGATCCTTCTTCCTGACTGTCGTGCCTAGGTACCACCAGCAGGTCCTCGAGTGTCGGAAACGGTCAGAAGCTTTTCGAACGCCGTTAATCAGGCTGCCAACTAAAAGCTGACTAAGTGCAAATAATACTCCCATATCAATAATCAGTATTGATATCGCGACTTTGATCAACATGTAACACACGACTTCCAAGGGTTTCCGGGATACCTCTGGCATAGGCATCGTCTCTCGCTCGGAAACAGCAATGTAGATCAGAACTGTAGACACATACTTCTGCTCACTCTCAAATCTTCATTACTTACCCGGATTGAGCTTACAACAAATGGCTAATTAAGATGCGAAAAGAGAACCGGTAAAGGCGTACGGGGGTGTATAGTATCGACCCAGTCAACACCTGGACATCGCGTACAACCTATGAAGAAAGTGATCACGTGGTATGCTTTAACACTTTATGTCTGTTCTTTGTAAGTCATGTCTCCAGCGTCACACTTTCTCGTCCGGCATCCAAGGGCCTCTGACTCGCGCTCAGTGTTCTACATGAAAAGTGCCTCTCGGACTTATACGATGCTATCGCCTATTTACAGCCTCCGATATACATGTACATACACTCAGTCCTCTGATCTGACCATGCAGCGTTTTACTATTGGTGTGTTCGTATACACTTTTCACACGAGTAAGTCTTGATACATGGCATGTCCTTGTGGGGCTTTTTGCATTACTTCATCAGGCCGCGCGAAACGGAGTTAGATGACTAACTCCGGATCGGGCCGCAGCTCCTCCTCGGTCTACGGAGTTTTTGGTGTTGGAATTCCTTTAAGTGTTCTTTGGCAGAGTCCAGACTGTGCTCTATTGGTCAAAAAGTACGCCCAGTGGAAACTTAGAATACCTATTTATGTGGTGCTGAATCGCTGGCAAGATATTTATTCGCCTGCCTTCCATTCAAGCTTGAGTATCACCAATATCCATCTCATCTACTTCAGTAGGAAATCTGTATATCATCAAATACTAGAATTTAATCGATTCAAACCAAATATGTCATCGAAGCCAGACAAAGAGGTTGTGCTCGTAACAGGTACCATCACCCCTCCTGACGTTTACCAAGCTCGTCATACTGATAGCCTCTGTAGGGGCAACCAACGGTATCGGTCTGGACACCGTCATTTATATCGCCTCTGCATCTCCAAAGTACCATGTTATAATCGGTGCGCGCAACATGTCAAAAGGCGAAAGAGTCTTGAAAGATGTGCAAGCCAAGGCAGGCATCCAAGGCACACTGTCCCTAGTACAACTCGACGCCAACGACGACGCTTCTATCAAAGCTGCGGCCAAGAAGATCGAGGAGGACTTCAGCAAGCTCGATGTGCTTATCAACAACGCTGGTGTGTGTCCCGAAAGAGACGGCACTTGGCCCGACCGGGAGTTGATGCGTACCACATTCGAAACCAACGTTTTTGGCCCTACCCTCGTTACAGAAGCTCTCGTTCCCGTAATGAAGCGCTCATCCAATCCGCGCATCATCAATGTGTCCTCTACTCTCGGTAGCATAACTTTGATCTCCGAGCACGGCACTCCTTACTCTGCGGTGAAATATCCCGGATATCGCATGACCAAGGCTGCACTCAACATGTTGACAGCATACCAGTACGTCCAGCTCAAGCCGGATGGCTTCAAAGTCTGGACGTACTGCCCGGGCTACGTGGTGACGGATTTGGGAGGCGATAGAGAGCAAAGGAAAGAACAAGGCCTTGAGAGTTCAGAGACGAGTGCGCAAGGATTGCTGCAGATTGTTCAAGGCGAGAGGGATGCTGATGTAGGAGGATTTGTCGGCAGATATGGACAGAAGTATGGTTGGTAGTGGCTGTCAGCCTTTTGTGTGGTGGGAATTCAAGACTCAAATACTACCTTGGGCTCTTCCCAGGACTTGTATTCGTCGCATTTTAGTACGTCATGATATCTTCCTCATGTTGTTGATGGTCTGGTGGTTCCTCCCTGACCAGCGGGCTTACCCCGCTTTTCCCCTGGTAGCTCCTGTCACCTCGTCGTCGCTTCCTCCGACGAACTACTGTAACGCGTCTTCATTCCATCAGAAGCGCGCACGAGAGCGGAAAAACGCACGTGCGAACTTACGGTCCTACAGAACCTGCACCTTCTATGTTGAGAAATTTCCGACCCGGTACACTCAACCCACGTGGTGCGATTGACCAATCGCGCGACCCGATGAGCGCACGCGACGAGCTAACGCCAATACGATGCATGGCGGGAACGACTTCAACATCTGAGCTTTAGTGCATGCCGTTGCGCGCAGAGCAGCATGGGTAAGGCAGCGTATAAAGGTCGGGCCTTGCTGCCTGCTGGCTTATTGCTTGCTTTGTGCTTCTTCATCTTGAAGGCAAACTTCAACTCAGAAGGAAAGAGCAGCATGTTGGGATCATTGGTAGGGATAATGTTTAGCATGCGAAAACGAATGGATGCTAATGGTATCAGGCTTCTGCGAGCGTAATGCTCTTCGCTCGTATGTTATCTAGTTGCGCGAAGATGTCCAAGCTGACAGTACGTAGAAAGTGCACTGGCATCCAAATCTGACATCCGTTTCAACCATATCCAAGTCGTCGGAACGCACAACTCCTACCATCGTGAGGTCTCACTCGCCGAGCGACCCGTGTTTGAGAAGTACGTACCGTCTCCAGAAGACTATTACTACTCGCACGCAGAGCTCGACAACCAATTGGAGTACCAGGCTGTGCGCTCTTTCGAACTCGACTTGCATTCGGATGAAAAGGGCGGCCTGTACTATCCCCCTGTCATTTGGACGCTATCAAACTTGACCAATGCCACCACTCCTTACAATGGCGACATCCTGAAGAAGCCAGGTATCAAGGTGTTTCACGTCACGGACTTTGACCCTGATTCTGTCTGCCACACCTTTATCGACTGTCTCAAGCAGTTGAAAAGTTGGTCAGACGCAAATCCGAGACACGTCCCTATCACTATTGATCTCGAGCTCAAGACCGATGCGCCAGCATGTTCGTTAGGCGGTGTCTGCCCAGGCGAAGCGACAAACTGGACGCTCCCTCGCCTCTTAAACGTCGACGCGGAGATCCTCTCCGTATTCCCCAAGAAGCAACTCATTCGCCCCGACGACGTGCGAAAGAATGGTCTCACTCTCGAGCAATCCATCCTGCAACAAGGCTGGCCGAAGCTCAAGGATGTTCGGGGCCGCCTTTTGTTTTTCTTCGACAACGACCCAAAACCCAGTGACCCCAACTCGCCTCGCGAGCTCTACAAAGCCGGCGCCCCGTCGCTACAGAACCGCACTGTCTTCACCAACGCGCTCGAAGGATCGCCTGACGCCGCTTTCATCAAATATAACGAGCCGCGCGGCAATGGCACAGCAGAGATCCAGCGTCTTGTCAAGAAGGGCTACTTGATCCGAACACGTGCTGATATACCCATCGATACTATCTTGAACCGCACTACAGAGATGAGGGATTTAGCTTTTGAGAGTGGTGCGCAGATTGTTAGTACCGATTTCCCGGCTTGGGGCATGAGCAGTCGATGGGGCTGGGACTATGTCGCCAGGCTTCCCGGAGGATTGGCTGCGAGATGCAATCCTCTTATCGCACCGGAAGGCTGCAAGGACAAAGATTTGGAGTAAATACTAGACGTCTTGTGACAACTCGTAGATATAATGCGCCTAGATAAAGAAGCGCGAATCTACCACCGCCGATGATGCAACTTCGATAATGAATAGATAGGCGAATGAAAGGCGGCCTCTTCTAGCATGCTTTAGGATTCGTTGACTCCATCGTCGTATCAATCACAACCGACCTATCTTTGGTCCATAGTCAAAGTGCGTGGGCGTTGTACACAACGTGCACGTACTTCAGTGCCGAAGCGGACCTGATCACCTCCGGCCATGTGCGTCGATGACACATTCACCTAGACACCAAGCGCACGTAGACATGTGCGCAATGATTGTATTAATAGTAACAGGAATAGGAATCCAGAGGACGAAGGCGTGTATAGAGAAAATAACAGTCTGCAAATGATAGCTAGCGGTGTAACTTCAAGACAGTAAATGCATATCCAGGACTTGGTCTCACACGAGTTCGAACGATCAATAAGTCACCGACACATCTTTCCATTAATGCTATCCACTCCACCATCACTACCAACGCATCGATCATCACACACCCTACCCCACACTACCTAATAGATCCAGAACCATCAAACAAATACACACCTGGTATCAAGCGCAAAAGACACGTGTATATTCCCCATGAAAAACAAAGAAACACACTCCATCCATATGCATGAAGACCAGTATTGACAAGGAAAGTAAGAAACACAAAAGCGTGATTACAAAGCGAAAATTGTATGTGGGGAAAGTGGAAGTGGTATCGCAGAAGCCTTCTTGAAATACCGCCCGTGTAAATCCCATGAACGAACGCCACGCTTGCTCGCAATAAAAAAGCGCAAAATCGATGGTAGTAACCGCGTGCAGTGCGCGCCGTGAACAGTAGCGGGGTGTTGTGAGTTGCTGTGCTGCACTTGCTGTTTCGTTGCTGATCTCTCGACTCTTTCCTTATTCATGGCCTAGTACCTCAGCTTACCCAGTAGACTGAAGCAGTAAGCACACTCCCTCTCACTCTTCATTTGCACCATGAAGACTCTCGCTCTGGCGCCTAAGACTCCACCGGTCTTGCCTACGCCGCCGACCTGACCATCTTCGTTCAAATGGTCTTCCCATACGCTTACTGCAATACCACTGCGTGCGACGCGCTCGAAGCACGTCTCGGACAAAGTGACGTCAAGGAGTATTTCGCCGTGTTTCTTACCAGTAAGGAGGATGCGTCGCTCCTGGGTATGATCCCTGATACCAGGTGCGCGCTGACGTGGGTTCGTAGGCGAGGATGGCACGCTTGGGTTGGGTGAGGGCAGCATTATTGTTAGTCGTGCGCTGCCCATGTCACGCCATTTCTTGAGTGACTCTCGCTCGTAAAGCCTGCACTTGGTGTTCGTGATTCCAGCTGGTGCACCGGGCGCTCGTACGACGTCGCCGGTTGGGGTGGAAGCGCCCGAGCCGGGTCTGGAGTTGGAGCCACTGTCGAATGAGGAGCCAGTGCTGCGAGACCCGAGCGTTGAGTTGCGGATGCTGAAGACACCGCTCTTGCCGAATGAAAATCGGCCTAGTGCAGAGCGGAGGGCAGAGTTCATGGTCCCAACGGAGGACTCAGTCGCTGCGGAAATAGAGGCAGCGCGTGTGCTTGACTTGCGGTAGCTGCTTCTCCTACCTAGCGTACCTCCGAGCCAGCCAGAAGACTCAGCGCTTGTCCTAGCCGCGTTCTGACGGTCCATTGCTTCGGCCCAGCTTGATTGCCCGTAGGGGCCGCGGGCGTTCTGAAGCGCAATGTAGGTAGGATTGTTGATACGAGACTGGTTGATCATGGCGTATAGTTGGGCGCACTCAGCTGCATTGCGACTCCTCAGCATGATGTTGTTGCCAGCTTTGATGCGCGATTCTGCGGTGGGTGGGGAGCGAATGGAGATATCAATGGCCGTTGATTTGCGCAACGGCACCAGAGGGGTAAGCTCAACCGCAACAAGGGGAGCACCTCCCTCGGGGGTGATGATCTCGTCGCCGTCGGCCAGGAAAGGCTTGGAGTGGTTGATCGTGATCTCGAAGACCTCGATCTTACCTGGCGTAACGACGATGCTACATTCGTCTGGATGCAAACTATCCCATCGGCCAGCATCGGACCAAGCGAAGATGGATGCGATGGTCTTCGAGGCTTTGCCGGAACCCTGCGGAACTGCTCTGTATGGAGTGTTCGACGCGGATTGTGACGGGGTGATAGTGCCGTTGGGGAGCGTGTAGATTGATGCAGGAGGTGAGACTTTGGGGAACTTCTTGGTCTCATCCTCTACCTTCTCACCCTTCTCTGCTGAAGTGGGACGACTGGCTTCTCTACCGGTGGTATATGAGCGTCCGGGATACCCGCGTGGCCCAAGGTATCCGATCGGCATAAGTGGCATGGGAACATCGTCATCTAACTCGTCTTCAGACGACTCCGAGGTGAGGCTTTCTTCATCTTCATCGTCCACCTCATCCTCAGAAGCAGTGTCCTCCTCGCTCTCGCTTGACTCCTCTGTGCAGGTAGATGGCTCATACTCATGCTTCAGGGGTGACGATGACCGGCGTTTGTTCTTGAAACCAGGTAACGTCGGAGTGAACACTGGTGTTTTACTTCCCTTGAGCGTCACAGGAGTTGCTGGACTGGGCGATCGATGCGGCGGTGTTGGCGGCGGCTCTTCGACCTCTGCTTTGGGTTCCACGATATCATCGACAACTATGTCGTGTTTCTTGCCTTGCAGCTTCGATGGTGCGGAGGCTGAGACTTCCCGAAGATTGTCATCGTCATCTTCTTGATCCTGCGATGGCGTGGAGGGCCGGCTTGATTTCCTTTGCCTTGGAATGCTCGGTAATTCTAGCGAGGGAACGGACGAGACTCGCCTATGTGCCTGTGGACGTTGCGGCGAGGGAGGCGAGCCGGGTGGTGAAATCTCCGAATCCATGGTTGTGGTATTGTTGTCCTCTTCAGAGCTGTACGATTCTTCGGAATCTTCGGAATCACCAACTTGAGAAGATGGCATCCAGACACTATAGCTCTTTTGAGGTCGCTTTTTAGTGGATTTTCGGCGTGGCTTGGACTGTGGTACTGGCGCTTGGATTTTCTCTGGCTCTACCGGATCTTCGAGAGTGATCTGGCGGGACGGCCGTGCTGAATGTGAAGAAAGGGTAGGGTTCTTAGATAGCCTCTTAGCCCTTGTCCGCTTCAAACTCGAAGGCGATCCAGTGCCCTCATTTCGCACCGCCTCGTCAAGACCACGGGGAGTTCGATCAGGATCAGGATCATCGAGGAGTTGATATGCTGTCTGCATGGCATCCGTGGGTGTGTGGGGCTCTGAGTCGTCTATCTTGCCAAAGACAAAGTCATCGTGACTGGGCGGAGTTATAGGCGAGATGGTGCGGGATTGGTTGCGCCTATCGGGTGTGTCATAGTGCCATACTTTTGATACTTCAGTATGTTGCTCGCCAATAGGTATGTCAATTTCATGTGGGCTGGGTGTCCTGCTCTTCTGTGGAGGTGTCGATTCAGTCGCAGCTGAAAGTAGAGACGACGATCCATGGCTGCTGGTCGGCCTGTGTGTGGTAGGTGTGGCCTGGTTCTTCCTGACTTCGGAGATTTGAGGTGGGATGGGGTTGAGACCGAGCATCTGTACCCACTCGAAGCCAGCTTGTTCATCATCAGAAATCAAAGACATCACCTCGCTCCACTCCGATCCATCGTTTTGTTTTCCACGGATCATGACAATTATTTCGCCCTTTAGGTCGCCGTTCCGTGCTGATGCATTGCTGAGGTGAACAGGTGGGAGGAGCAACCATCGTCCTGTAGGATCGACTTCGCAGAAAAGAAGGTCGCCTCCAGCTCCTGTACCTGGTGCGTTGTCGCGGAGTAAGATCTCAACGCGACAACTCATTTCTTGACCACTCGAATGGAACAAGTGTAAGTCGAAGTGGTCTCTGGCTCGCACGCAACGCGTAGAATCGACCCGGACGCCGGCGAGAGGGGCGAGACTTCGGGGATCGCGTGCACGAGTGGGATCAACGCTAGCCGCGGCTTCGTCTTCGAGGCGGGCTTGTTCGTCGTTCGACCGTTTGCGTGCTGCCGTAACTAGGTCTTGGAAAATCTTCGAGATTTGCTCGACGCGCTCTGAAGGTTTCACATGATTGATGCCCTTGATTAATGTCAGTATCAGCAGTAGTATGGACAAGTTACTTCAATATACCTTCAAACTCTTCGACAGATACTTGAGTCGAACCAGTGGGCGTTTGAGCATATAGGCGACGTCGACACGCTCGCCATCACTGTTGACTACATATCCTTCAGCGTTTCGCGGCATACCCTCGTCCCATGGGGCACCGTCATCTGGTCCATTGACGACCTTTGCGGGCTTGAAGGGGTCGTCGTCTGCCGGCGCAAGACTGATTACGACATCTTGGAAGCCGAGACGCCACGCAGCGATGTAGTCAGAGTACACTCGTTGTGCACTCTGAGCCCAGGAAACAAGTGCGTCGGAGTCCTCTCTGGGGACGCGCTTGTGCAGGTTCTTAAGTCGCTCTAAGCAGACACCCATGTCGACGATTGGCTTAGTAACTTCACTGGGGTCGGACTTGGAGGAGCGAGAGAATAGGCCAGCAGCGATAGCGGACTCGGACTTGGAGAGAACGCAGCTCAGAAGGACTGGGATGACACCATCGACCAGGGTGCGAAGCTCTCTCATATATTTGGCTTCATCAGAGGAGAGCTCTTTCATGATGTCGTCGACAGTGGCAGTGGCAAGGCGGCTTCTGTTGGTACGGATACTTCTGGCAGAGACGATGCTCTTCGAACTTGCCTTGGGCATGGAAAGCACTGATATAAGATCCTCATGCCTGGCAAGCTTCCTCCGTCGGGTACTCTGGCGACTGATAATGGTCGAGGTTTCCGGGTTCAAGTATGAACCTACTTCTGATGCAGGTGCTCCGTGACCAGTACCTGGTTCCTCGGAGATGGTCGTGATTGTATCAGAAGCTGGTGCCTGGGAGGATCGCGCTGACTGGGAAGCAATGGTTGAAAGGCGCTTGCCAGTCGAAGGGAACATACGCGGTCCTAGAAGTTGTCGCGGTCGCAGAGGCTTAGGCATGGCGTCAAGTACAGGTGCGTCGACGAAGGAAGAAGGGGCGGAGGAAGCAGTATCCAAGTCGGTGATATCATCCTTGGGTATGTCGTCTATCGACGTAGTCTCACGGAGAGGAGAAGACATAGATCGGCCTTTGGTGGGAGAGTACTGGCCGCGCTTTGCACCACGGCGCTTCAGTGAAGGTGTTGGAGTGACGGAGACCTCACTTTCCTGGTCTTGAGTTGTCGTCTCTGTCGTATTATCCGAGACGACCGTAGATGGGGTCTCGTCGAGATCCTGGGTATTGATGGTCATCTCGCGGCTCGATCGTCTTCTTCGCCGTCTGCTACCGCTACCACTACTACGGCGGCGGAGCTTCTCGATCGGCTCTTCCCTTGTCGCATCAGTGGACGCGCTGACGTCTGATTTTTCGGCCTTGTAAGGCAAATCAACAGACGAGACTGAGTCTTTCGACCTTCTCCTCCTTGGTGACCTCTTGCGTGACTCATCTTGTGTTGTCCTGGTGGAGGTAGTGACCTCTGAGGCAGTGACCTCCGATGCATCGACGGTGGCGGGCAGGTCGAGGGAGGATACGGATTCCTTGGACTTCCGCCTGCGGCGCGAGCGCGTCTTCTTGACTGGGATCTCTTGTGTGGCGTCCGTGGATGCTGTGACGTCTGATTTCCCGGCCTTTGAGGCGGACTCTGGGCTCGACACAGAGTCCTTGGACTTGCGTCTGCGTCGGGGTTTCGACTCTGCCAGAGGGTCGGGTGTGCTGCTGAGCCAGGCTTCTAAGCGGCTTCCCGTGGCCTTGGTGGGAGTGGTCGTCTCTGGGGCTGCTGGAATGATCAAGGGTGTTGCAGCTTCTTCCTGGGTCCTTGGGTAGGACCTGCGACTCTTCTTCCGTGAAGGCTTTGGCGCGGGTTTGGTGCTCTCGTCTTCTGTGCGAGCACCGTTACTTCTCGGTCGACGCCGGCGCCGTCTCTCTCGCAGCTCGTCGTCCCGGGGTGACGTAATGCGGCTCTCGTTGAGCGATGGGGCAGAGCTCTCTGCGTACTCGACCGTGACCATGTTGTGGGGGTCGTCGCTCTGTACTGAGCCCGACCTGCGTCCTGGAGGCCGGGTCCAGGGCGTGAAGGGCATGAGGTCCTCTGCCGACATGGATGCGCGGGGTGATGTGCGCGCGCGCCGTCTGCTACGCCGCATCCTCACCATCTCCGTCTTCTCTTTCTCGGGCTGGGGCGAAGTAGGGTCTGATGGCGTCTCGTCGCTCTTGGCAGTCTTTCCACTTCCTGCCCCACTGCTAGCCGGGCGTTGTTCGTTCTCTGAGCTCGACGGTTTCGACGGTCTGCGTGGCTTCGGCGGGGGTTTCTTCTGTCCTGTGCTCTTGCCTATGTATTCCGCGAGAGGTAAGAGAGGGTTTGACTGGGGCGTGAAGGGAGCTATGGGCTTGAGCTCAGGGCTTGCGGGCTTTTTGGGGATGATCCTCGAGGGGCGCACCCAGGCGTTGGGGATCGTCTTTGGCTGTGGGCGGCCGGCGGCTTCTTTGGGTGGTGACATTTTGGCGCGCCAGTGCGAGTCGCTGATAACGCGCTTCTTAGGCGCTGTTGCCGTGAGCAGGTCCTCGTCGAGTTCATTGTGGGGGACAGGCGTCTTTTTCGCGCTGCCCGGGCGCTCTGGGCTGGCGCCGACCGACTTTCCGCGCTCATGTGTAGGCTTCCAGTTGGGCTTGTCGTCGTGAGGTTTCGGCTTGGGCGTGGTCACGGGCTTGGGCGAGGCGGCGGGCTTGGTGGAGGTCTCTGAGGCGGATGCGCCGGCGCCTTCTTTGCTCGCGGCGTCGGGGTCGACCTCCTGCTGCCAGCGCTTTATCTTGTCGCGCACGTTGGCGGGCTTGTTGATGCCAATGGCCTTGGCAAAGTCCTTGCCGTCCATGGCTGCTTGTTTGTCCGTCGCGCCCATCTTCTTGCCCGGCGTGCCATTTCTCTGCTGTCCAGCCGTGTTGTCGGGGTCACTGGGCCGGGGGGAAGCGGGCATCGAGTCCCAGTGTCATTGGAGCTGCGGGCAGACGTCGCGGGGACGGGGCGGCTTGCGATGGGCGGGTGCGTGTGTTGTGGTGTTTTGCGTGGGCGTGGCTGACGGGCCGTTTCCAGAGCTACGCCGGAGCTGCCTCTGCGTGCGGGCGGCGGGCGGCGGGCGGCTACGGGATAAGACAATTTCGACAGCGAGTGTATAGGTGAGTGTGGTGAAAGCTGTCACCCCATAAGAGGGGAACGTTGAATGTAGCGCAGGGCGAGCGAACTGCTAGAGGGACGGTGTGATGTTTGATGACCCAATAATGGCTGCGGCCCGCCAGTAAAACCGGACTGGCCAAGTCTGCCCGCACGTTCCAGTGTCGGCGACAAGCAATACGATAAGCCCATGAGCTTGTGTGCGATCAGCATAAACTGCTATGCAGCGTCGGCATCTAGACACCCTCGAGTCCGAGTCCTTCCAGCCTCTTGTTTACAATGGCGGCTGAGACATTCCACGCTTGCTATCTCGCAGCCCAGTCACGTTGGGCTATCCCGCGGGAACATCCATGGAAGACAGGCTCGCCTACAGAACAGTGCACCACCTTGACCCACGATTCGATCAACAAACCCATGCTGCAGTTGTGCTGGCATTACTGGCATTACGACTACATCGAAGATGCGCGCAAGAAAGTGCGATGATATGCTCCGCGGCTTGTGATCTAACCCCGCGATCTTGGTCAACACACATCCTTGACCATACAATGCAAGGAAAACGGCAACAACAGGTTTTGTATTTGCCCGCCGCCGAATGCTTGGAGACTATCGTACCACCCAGTGCGCTTGTTGCGGAGATTTTACAGTGAGATTATCTCATGGTTTATTTTAGCCTCCTATGTCTGCTTTTTCTGACTGCAGACGGCCGCCTTGGTAAACGCCAAGACATCAAAACATCTCCGCCCACCTCTGACCTGACCAGCAGCTTTAGAGAGCCAATCTTTCAACCTCCAAACTTGCCCTGACAAAAGCCAGCGATCCCAATGGACTGTTGTAGACAATCGGCTGCCCCACATAATACTGTCACGTCTCGTTAGCATTGCCAAAGTCTGCTGCACCCTACCGTCACTCACCTCATAACTAGCCGTCGAGTTCAGACTGCATACCCCGACCGTGCCGTTCCACCCTAGCGTACCGTTGCCGTTATGTACGACAAATGTATCGGCGATATATTTATACGCTTTCTTTGCAACATCCACATACGCATTTTGGCCGCCGCTGTACGAAGCAGTGGCATTCCATGCTGCATCCGTGGATAGAGCTCCCAATCTTACCCCCTTGAGCAGAGCGTACACGAACATACTGCTCGCACTACTCTCCAAGTAATTGCCTTGTTCGCCAGGTCGGTCCATTACTTGCCACCACGCCCCAGTCTTTCCATCTGCGGCTGCCACGACAGCAGGCATGAGTTGTTGGAACCGAGATTCAATGTACTGGCGTGCGTGACTCGCATTCGCGGGGAGCAGTTCAAGTGTATCGATGAGTGCCATACAATACCACCCCAGACTGCGTCCCCACACGTGTGGACTGGCCCCTGTAGCGCTGTTGGCCCAGACTGCTGTGCGACGAGCATCGTAGCCGTGAACTAGTAGACCGGTTTCTTGCGAGTAGCAGTGCTGCCATAGAAGATCAAGTTGGAAGATCATGTCTTCTAACGTTTGTTCAGTCATGGACGAGTGCCCAGCATCGTTTGTGTATGCGGCAAGGAATGGTGTCAGACTGAACATGCCGTCCAGGTAACTCCAGTACGGATAGACGTAATACCATAGCCCGCCTTGGTCATTTCTAGGTTGTAAATCGACACTCTTCCTCAATGCTTCGAAGGCTCTCTTGTACTTCTCATCACCCATTTCCTGCCATGATCGCAATAAGCCGTTTCCGCTGCTCAGACGGTCCAATGGGTATGCCGTGTCGCGCGTTGCGTTAGAGACGACTGGAACCACAGAGTTGACGCTCTTAACAATGTAAGCGTTGAGCGTCGAGGCCAGGGAATTGTTTGTATAGGTGGAAAGGATTTGTCGGAATGTTTTCTGGGTAAATCCAGCCTGCAATAGGGCAGAGGAGTCAGTTTGGCTGGTCAGGATACCCTGGTTCCGGGAGATGATCGACTGGGCCATCTGAATGGAGATGGGAGGAGTCGCATGGTTTACGGCGTTGGGAAGAGCTGTCGCCGATAGGGCAAAGAGAGACAAGCGTGCGAGGGAAGTAGTCGGCAGATACATGGCTGTTTGTATCAAGAGGTCTAGCCCACGTAGAGATGCCAGGAACTTCTCCAAGTGCTTATGTACTGTACGGCCTGCTTGTGATGAGCGGCAAGGATCGAGCTTACGACGCGAAAAATGCCGACAATAGGGTTTACACTAACAGGGGTGATCGGCAATCCCGGCGTTACCTGCTGAGTTTCCGGGAACATAAAGGAGTTCTGAAGCTGGTGTCTTCTTGCCATAATCTTCTATTAGCATTATCCGAGTCTATCGATCTAACGCATCCTATGCAAGCCACGCCTTCAAAACTAGGGTATCAAGTACCGTGTCTGTATCCAAAATGCTTTTTCAAACCATCCCAACAATCAACCCATAGAAATAATGTCATTGGCTAAGTCGCTCCTCCACTCCAGCGGTATAGGTGTCCTCCTCAGTGGTACAGCTTGTATGCGTCTGATGCAGAGAGCATCCTTCTAGTTGCGCTTCTTGCCCATCTTCTCAACGAGCTTTGCCGCATCGTTGACAGCCGCAAACGCGCTCCAAGTGGCCATGACACTCTGGTACATGAGGTATCCTGGGATGACAATCCAGAAAGCGTTCATGAGGACGAAGTAGCCCCAGTAGTAGAACTGTTCAGGACGCGAGTATGACAGGTTGAGAATGTAGTGGTCGAAGAGCGAGGTAGCATAGTACAGTACGTCGCCGTAGAACTGGCCGAGCGAGACGATGAGTTGGGCCGAGTAGCGGAGCGGGTGGTCGATGGCGATGAGGTAGGCGCAGAGGAAGGAACCGGGGCCCCAGAATACCTGTGAGAACATTGGTCAGTCGCTGTCACTCTCTGAAACAAGTCGACGCAGGACGTATACGTACAGCGGTGACTGTCTCCATGCACAGAACGAAGGCATCCTGGGTCAAGTAACGCGAGTCGCTGAGCGCGTACTCTTTCCACAGCTGGCCAAAGAGATCGTTCAATCCGCCCATATTCCTAAAGTTGTAGGCGAAGTAGCCCTCGAAGAACGAGTGGATGCAGCCGCACAGCACAAACCACATGATGGTGGACAGGTCGCCGGTGCTGGCATTGGGACGCAGACGCTTGACCATCACGTACGTGACACTGAAAATGGCGACGCAGCCAGCAGCGAACATGAGCAGCAGGTCCAGCGTGCCCAGTTCGTTGGCCAGATAGCCCACAATCTCCTTCTCAATGGGGTAGTAAGGGTGCTGCCCCGGGGGCAGCGAGAAGTTGCCGGCTGCCATTGCGAAAAATGCGAGTAGTGTATTAGACCAAAAATGTAATGGAAGTGGTGCAGAGGTAGAGAAGGGAAAGGAGTACAAGAGCGAGTGCGACGTCTATGGGCGGGCTGCTAGCAATGGGGGCACGGCGTGCGTCGTGGTGCCAGATGGCAGGCCGAGTGGGAAAATATTCCGGGGCAGGAGAGACGGCATCCAATTGGGACAGCGCTTGTGGCGTGCCCTTGCTGTCAGCGACAGGGATAAGAAGCGCGACCGCGACTCCCCGTCGTGTCAGATGTCAGCAACTGAAGTCAGGCCGAGCACGTAGACATGTGACCGTTTGGAAGCACTTCGTCAGCTGTACCGATGGCTTCGTAGTCGTCATTCGAGGCTGTTCGCGGCTCTTCGTGACTGAGCCCTTATCGCATCCTCTCGGTACGCCAGGTACGGTACGCTTCATTTCCCTAGCGCAAAGAGGCGTCCTGCCGTCTCGAATAGGCACTCCAACCTGCACCTTGCGCGCTCGAGCTCTCGTCTCTTAGTGACAAGACTCTCAACGCATAGATAATACTTAGTGTTGAAGCCGGAAGTGGTGCGAGAGAACATGCAAGACGGACATGTCTAAGCGCACGTATGCCCCAAGGCGCATGATGCAAGCAATGAGTAGGATATTCGGTAGAACGTACAGCAACGGGCGTTGATATAGCCTAGGGTTAACTGCTCGCGCATCTGTCCGCGGCGCTGCGAAAGCGAGTTGTCGACGTCCCCAGGCCCCTACCCCTCAAGCGCTAATCCCAATCTAGTATACCTCGGCTTCTACTCGGGCATCCTCTCTGTCCGCGATATCACAACGTCACTCTTCGACACTCTCATACATCACAATGTCGCAAGGAGGCCCATCTTCAGACACCGATTGGCGGTCCGTATCGAGGCGGAAGAAGGCAGAACAGAATGAGCGAATACCAAAGGAATGGAAGTTGGATGCTTTACCAGGAGCCGACGTAAAGAGCTACGTCGACATACCACGCAAGTCTGGACTTTTGACAAAAGAAGAGCTGGACATAACCGAACGATACGATGCCGTCGCACTGGCGGAAGCAATCAGAGGGAAGAAACTAAAATGTATCAGTGTGACACGAGCTTTCTGTAAAGTGAGCCTTCCCGAATCAGGGCAGACCTTTTGGTAGCCGCTGATGTACTAACATTGTGGCAGAGAGCAGCGATTGCCCATCAAGTCACCAATTGCCTCACGGAAATCTTCTTCGACGACGCCCTGAAGAGGGCCGAGGAGCTTGACGCCCATTTGGCATCGGGAAAAGCACCCCTTGGGCCACTTCACGGCGTTCCCATTTCATTGAAAGACACCTTCAGGGTCCGAGGCTATGATGCATCGATCGGCCTCGCAGCTCTGTGCTTTAAACCAGCACAAGAGAATTCGGTCCTGGCCGATTGCTTACTCAACGCCGGGGCAGTTCTCTACTGCAAGACCAACGTACCTCAAACGCTCATGGCACTCGACTCCCACAACAACATCTTCGGGCGAACTATCAATCCGCTCAACACTTTCGTGACCGCTGGTGGAAGCTCAGGCGGAGAGGGAGCTCTCATCGCGATGCGTGGCTCAATCTTGGGTATAGGCACAGATGTTGGCGGCAGCATCCGAATCCCGGCCATGTGCGATGGCATGTTCGGCATCAAGCCTAGTTGGGAACGCATTCCTTACGCGGGCCAAGAGGGCGGCATGCTGCCCGGAGCAACAAAAGTTGGTATTCCGGCAAGTGCAGGGCCGCTCGCACACACCATGCGCGACGTCGAACTCTTCTTCAGTGCAGTGTCATCCCAGCGGCCGTGGAATATGGATCCAGATGTCATACCCTCGCCATGGAATTCATTGTCAACAACGCGAAAGAAGCTACGGATCGGCATCGTCCGGCGAGATGGGGTCATTGAACCACATCCACCAATCTCCAGCATCTTAGATGAAGTCAAAGCTACATTGGACAGGTCTGGTATTGAAGCGGTCGAGATGGATATCACTCCCCTCTTTTCTCAATGCCAATCTCTCGCTAACGCGCTTTTTGGTGTTGAAGGCGGCAACGCCATGTTTGACTTGCTGGAATCGTTTAACGAGCCACTCTCGCCATGGCTATCCACCCGACTCAAACGCAAGAAGCCCATGGACCTTTCAAAAGTCCAGCAATTCCACGGTAAGCGCGAAAAACTGCGCAAGGAGTTCTTGAGCATCTGGAAAGACGCGCATGGGGATATTGATGCCTTCATCTGTCCAGTCGCGCCACATCCTGTTCCGCCCATTGACAGGTACAACGGCGTCAGCTACACGAGTTCGTTTGTACTGTTAGACTACCCTGCCGGTACTGTACCAGTAAGGTCGTTCGAAGAGGCGGATATGAAGGGCGAGATGGCCAGCACGAAGCCACTGGGAAGTTGGGACAAAGCAAACAGGGAGCTTTGTAAGTGTTACTATTTTCCTCGACTCGTTGGAAGCACCGAAGCGTTCATATACTAACACGAAGTCCAGGGACCGACGTTGATCGTTCGGTCTATCTCGGCACGCCGCTATGTGTGCAAGTCGTCGCGCCCAGGTTACAAGAAGAGAAGCTAGTGCAGGCCATGTGTGCCATCGACGACGCTTTGAAGGGCTCAAGCAATCTCAGCGCGAAGCTGTAGACCAAGGGTCAAAATGCTTGTACGGTGCATCGTTGACCATGTATTTCTCCGTACCTTCATTCTTTGAGTCATTCTCATCAGCTGGCGGTAGCTCAAGTCCCGTCTTCTTTCCCACCAGCTCGTCCCAATCGCCTCGTACAAAGTGACCCAATGCTTCCATATTCCTTCCTAGCTTCTTCTCGGAGATGCATTCGAGCTTGTCGGTATATGATAGCACCCGGAAATGGCAGGTGTCGCGGATAAACGTCGCTGTGCGAAAGGCCACCGTGAAGCATTTGACATGGGTCAATGTCCAGAGCGCAGCGTGCTATGTCTTCAACTGGGGGTGGCAGCTCGCCATCTTCCTCGGGCTCGGCCGGCGGACAATACAGATGGAGATACTGGAGGAGTAACAGGTCTCGTGGAACACCAAGATCCGATATCTCTTGACAGAACTGGTCAGGAGTAATGTCCTCAGTCAAGGTGGGGAATGGGATACCAAGGCTGGTGAGGTCGGTACATTGGGTAGCGATGAAAGAGAGATCCTTTGTGTGAAGTCGAAGGCTTGGGTCAGCTCCGAGATCTAGAGATGTTAATGAATGACCAACACTGGGGAGGGGGGGGGGGGGGGGGGGATGGTGGCCAAGGGAAAGTGGCAGTAAGCGGACTGGTCAATTTTGCTAACGCTGCCTTCCCAGAAGCTATGTGCGGTGGCATTGCTGGCTGGTGTATTGGTGTCCTCGATGATCGGCTTGGCCTTGTCGTAGATCAGGCCAAGGGTCTGTAAATCGCTGCAACACTCTATGATGGTGCACAGTGCCGCCTCTTCCTCCTGCTCGATCTTGCGTCCCGACTCTTTGAAGATGAGAGTTATAAGGTTGACCGATGCGCTATGGCATTGATTCAAGAAGCTGCTGACCCCTGCACAGTAGTGAATCTTGAGTGACGTCACGGCTTTGGCGAGGAAGTGTTTCTTAATGTCGATTTGCGCAAGATCAACGTGTGTGACGCTAAGCTCCTCGAGACACCTCAGTCTGCTTCGCCAGCCAATACCCCTGATGATCTGGAATAACAGTACTGGGTCTCCATCGAGGCCGTTATCGATAACAATCGAGAGAATTTTGTTGCTTTTGCATTCTTTCAACAACCTGCGATCATGAGCAGGGGCGTCGCGGTTGACCAGGATTTCTACCTCTTTGCCATTTTCTTTTAGCAGCCTGAACAGCATTATCGGGCTTCCAGTCGTCTCGATAAGCTTTGGTATGCGGACCGGTCGATCAAACTCACTCGAGTCTTTGGAGTCGCCTGCGGCTGCCCCATTGTGGAGGGCGATATCCTCCAATTCCTCATCATTCTTGGGATGAAAGAAATCCCGTTTCTGAAGAAGATGGAGCAATAATCCCCAAAAGAAGTTTCCACTCAATTTCTCACCATCGTATCATGTTGGTGATGTACATGTGGTGTCGAGATTGGGAAGATACCGCTGCAGAAGCCTCAGACAGAGGGCTTCAGTCTGCGTGGTCACACAGCTCTTATTGGTGAAAGCGAGTGTGCGAAGCTCCGGTTTCGTCCGAGGAGAATCCAGTAGGGTGTTGAGATTCTTCATGATTCTTAACAACCTGGGGTCTGCTTCAGGCCCCGGAACTTCGCGAGGCTTCCAGCTGACAAGCCCTCGAAACGATGCGCTGTGGCAGACTCCATGCATAGATGTGGCTTCTTATAGAGATACTCCTCAAAAAGAGCAACCTCGCCATCCCAACTATTGCAGAGTGCCACGCGAAGCCGACGGGAAATGGCGTATTGAGGCAACTATAGCAGCATACGTTAGGACATCGTTACACAGAAGGAGTATCAATGCCACATCCTGATACACTTCAAGGGTTGTGACCCGCTCACAGGATCGCCGGTATGATTGATGTAGCCGTCCAGGTATATTTTGGGACTGCGAAGGGAGACTTGTTTTACTTACGTATTCGCAAACCATGCGTCGCAACTCCGGAGGAAGCGATTCCCAGAAGTACTTCTCCGCCTCGCTCACATCGGATTGTGTCGTGGTTGCCGTGCTGAGAGACCGTATACTGTAATCGATACTGTGGTATGATGATAACGAGGTAGAGATTGTAGAGCAAGCTTGGGGTATGCAATGAATCGATCAGCTCCAGCGCCAAGAAGCTGACCGACAGGCAAGAGACTCGTAGTGAGTGTGCATAACCCCGTCTTTGGTGAAAGTGAAAGTGAAAAGCGGCGGTTTGGATAGTCCAAATGAGAGAAGAGACCCAACTGGCCCTGCCATGTCACGGTAAGTTGCCTATCTTATGACATGACTCAGCGACTCTCTATCTCTCGAGCCTAAATAGGCTTCCATTCTGGTCAAGTCAACAAAAGCTCAATCGCTATTAATGAAGGGCTCTGGGCGACTATGCACGGACTAACAGGCAGCTAGCGTTGCGCTGGCTCTATATAAACTACGCCCTCCCCTCCCCCTCTCCCTCTCTCAACATTGAAATCAACAGCTCACTTAACTCAACTACAACAAGGCCTCTTTACACACCGTTTTCATGCGTCATTCGACTGAACAAACCTTGTATGGCCTTCGGGCTAATCCTTGTGGTATCCGTTGCTGGTTTCCTTGTACGTTCAGCACTGCAACTTTTTCCAAACATTACCCTGAGCGCGAGGCGGTTTTACACCTTAGTGTTCCGCACTATAGTAAGCTCAGTACGTTTGGTCCTGAGGAGCCTATATCATCACTTTCCGGGGTGTTGATGAATTCATTATCTGGTCGGCGCGCATACAGAAGACGGGCTTGGATGCTGGCAGTGAGGAGATTAGTCTGAGCTGGCATTGGCAAGTCTGGGAAAGTGCCCTCTTTCGTTGGGTTTTGCAGCTTGCTGCTGGCTTGAAGAAGGAGCACAAACTTTTGTAGTCTACATGTTTTACAGGGTGTGGCTCATGAGTTTGACTCAGTGTTTACATGTGACAGATCAGAGGCCTTGGGAGGCTTGATATCTCTCATGTGCCAATATCGAAATCAATTCGCGCGCTACGCCTCGAGTCTCTGTTGGGTTTGCTTCCAATCTGTTGCAAGAAAGATGACAAGTGAAGTGAAAGCTGAGAAATCACGCGATTACCTTATGTGGAGCACTCGTTTATTTCATGATCGGCCACCTGCCGCATTTTCCCTTCGCTCGCGCCTGCCAGATGACTAGACATACAACCAACCAACAGCATGTCGTCTACCCAACCCCTGCTTGCGCATGCGCCCGTTACTCTTCTTAGTACGACTACCAGCTCCGCCGTCCCGGTCGGCGCCCTCGCGGTCATCGAGTGGTGCATATTTGATGGGTATACACACAAAGACGTTGTGGGTATGTATAATGGCGCTGGCTATGGTAGTGTCAGCACCAAATACGGTATATCGTATCAGCTAAGGAAGTGGGGCCCGCTGTGGTATCAAGAGCAAGGCGCCGTCAAACCATGGGAACTATATACGAGGATTGAGAAAGAAGATCTCAACAAAAGAGGACTGAGCGGCGAAGACTTCAAGTTTGTGCATCCGCGGGATCTGGATGTAGTGGATGGAATTGTACACGTACGAGGGCAGCCGTGAGGAGAGAAAGAAAAGCGACAAGAGGCAGCAAGACGGAGGTCTCAGGGTAAGGCTGCGAAGAAACCGGGTGCGTCTTCTACACGCCCATCGGTAACTTGACTGAGAAAAACGACTTACTTATCTTTCGCTGTGTAGTCAATACCGCACAAAGCCGCAACGTCTCTCGAATGTCTTCAGCACCTCGCGCATCTAATTCCAGCTCCCGCCCCCTTCCCACTCCTAATTAACTTCAACCCGGTCATTCACCCAATTCAATTCCACCACCGACTGTACCTGAGCACCTTCGGATCGCGATTAAGGTCAAGCACGATCAGTGGCTGAGAGTGAACGAAACGGGCGAAACAGAAATGGCTGATTCGGTTGAACAAGAGTTGGAAAGTCTCGAGCGACAAGCAATGAAAGTCAGCCTGCCGGGGTTCCTGGCGTGGAAGTTCGGACCAGAGCATATCGGCACCGCGTTGATCTGAGGAGGCAGAAGGGCGAGAAATCATGTTGATCAAATTGCCCTATCGCCTTGTTGTCACGTAGCCAGTCGAAACCTTCTACTTTCACTCACTTTTTCTTGATTGCATTCAAATCACACACCCTTTTATCGACCGATGCCTCTTGATATAAGCACATGCACTTACGGGACTGACTGAAAATGGCTTTCACCGAGTGGGTTCCGCTCGCGCCTCTTACAAAGTGCGCGGGCCTAATTCTCCCGCTGCGCTTTTGACCAATCTACTCTTACACTTACCTCCACCTACTATTTGCTACCAGCGACACTCCGGTGTAGGTGACGACAAAAGAACGCCACAACATCCAAGTATTGCATAATATACACGACAGCAAGCCGCTACCTCCACCCAGCCGAAAGAGTCTGCAATTGTGATCATGTCATTCATAGATAACCCTACAGAAGAGGTTGCCGCCTCAGCACGGATGTCAACCACAGCACGGAAGCATCGATCGAAGGCGCCCTACGTCGCTGCGGACGCTCCGGTGCTCCCTATAAGTACCGCTTCCAACATGTATGAGCCGAGCGACCATAATGACAACGTGGACACGAACTCCCGGCCCAAGAAAAAGCGTAAGACAAAATCTAATGCACTGGATGTGCACGGAAAAGTTGCTGCGAAGGAAATCCCTAGCGACGAAGAGGTCAAAACCTTCATAGAGGGCATAACAGCCATCAAAGACTGGACTTCCCGGGTGGTGAACACTAAGTATATACAACTAGTGCGATGGTACGACGTCAAAGGCATCTCGATGAAACAGTGCGGCGTCAAACGGGTAGAACAAGGATACGCAGAAAGATGCGCAGATCCGAAGAAGCCGAAGACTGAGGTTACTGAATCAGGGATGTGGAAGCATTACAACAGCCACGGGAGGAAGTTTTACGAGGAAAAGGGTCTCACGTTCGTATCTCCATCGGCGCGAAAGGCTTACAAGAAGAAAGTTGGCGTCATCGACCAGTCCAGAAAGACAACCCCAGACAAGAAGGTTCCACATAAGACAGTTTCACCCAAGACATTTCCAGACAAGACGGAGCGCATGCCATCGGCTGGTATAGAAGAGGAGGAGCCCTTGACTATTACTAGCCATACCAGCGCGCTTCAGAGCAGTGAACACATTGCCGCCGTGCCAGTGCGCGGTGTCCAACAGAATTTCACACCACAGCAGCAAGAGGAGGCCACAAAAGATTTCCTGGAAGCTGCGATGCATAGGCCAGAAGACTACCGTGTGGGACTGCGTTGTCAAGAAGACGAGGAGTTGGTGCGACTTCTCTCGAGAAAAGCGAGGGCAGAGCCGAGACCAACCGAACTCATTTTTGACTTTGTAAAAAAAGGGAAGACGTAAGTAGATCTTTGCCAAACACAACTGCGAACGCTAGAACTGACATCACACGTCTTGACAGCCCTGCCGCCGCGCAATCGAGGGAAGTGACAAGCGATTCAGAGGCTGAGGCCGCAGAAGTCGAACGCTACAAGAACAATCGAGCAACCGAAGATGTTCTGAGCTTTAAGCGGAAGACCGGTGACGTGCGCCGCGGACATCCCACTCGACCTGTCCTGAGCTGAAAGCAAGCCATCGAGCACTGCACCTTTATAAAGATCGCCATCGAAGACGATCCGACTGTCGATACAATCGAGTACGGAGACGACATAGATGACGATACTATCGCCCGCTTCGTCGCGTGCATCTCGCCTGTCACCCCGAGCTGCCCTACCCACTCGCAATGTTGTCGGATTAGTCAACGCGGGTCACCCGGATATTCGGACAACGGTGATTCAGTGGTCGATCCAGGAACTTGAAGACCTGTACGTTTTCGCCGACACAATGGGTGCACTTGCGGTGTGCGACATGATCATCGACAGGATATATGAGGAGCTGCATCGTCCCCAGCAACGCCTGATTCGCACCATCGATGGTATGCTGGAGAAATTCGGATTCCTCCGCATGAGCCCAGCGTTCATGAATCTTCTATCGGAGAATGACGAGCGAGCTTTCGATTTCTTTGTCGGTGCTTTGGCCATGAAGGCCGAAGATACCCTGGAATTGCTAAACATATCCGGGCTCGATAGTTGGTACCATAGATCCAAGCAGGCGTTGATCTCAAAGCTGGAAATAGATTGGGCGTCAGGAGCTAACAAAAGCGAGCCGGCAGCGATATGTCCGACATACCATCGCCATTTGAGCCCGGCGACAGGATGCTACAGGTCTGTAGTGGCCACGGCGCCCTTGGTATCGAAATCCAATGTTGCGCAGCAATCGGCCCGCACGTCCCGTACGTTCCAGAAGCGTCCCGAGCCCTACCAGCGCAAAGATAGTAGGGACGAGGAGATGAAGAAGGAGACCTGGGCTAAGAAACTGACACTCCAGAAGATCGATCGTGAGGCCAACAAAGTGCATGGACGTGGACTGGTGGAGTTTGAAGCCGAGCAGACCAAGGTTCAGAAGGTTCAGCAAGAGCCCTACGACGACGGCGAAGAGTACAATGATTCTTCTGACTCCCCACACTCGTCAGACGACGAAGACGGCAATGTGGTCATTGTGCATCTTCCTCGGGTATACAGCAGAGCTCGCGATCTCTTCCGAAACAGCCCTGGATCATATGCTGAACCATCCGAATACACTCAGATTGCGTCTGATTTGACGCATGCGAGAGTCGCTGCCCGAAGTGGAGGTGGGCTGAACTATTCTGGCGAGGGGATGAATCTTTTCAAAGACACCGCGGAGATTCAGCGAAAGAAGGTAGCGATCGTGCAGGGTCAGTTGCAGGTGTTTCGCGATAGCGGTTACGACCCCGACAATCTGCAGGACCCAGGCCAACTGCACACCATGTCTCAGAGGACGAGTGAAGACAGTGGGATGATGGATGCAGATGAGAGCGACGACGAGGACTAGGATACTATTCACGATGGCGGGGCGACGAAGGTGCCTAGGTGGTGAGCGCAAAGGCCTTGATGTCTGAAGTCGAGGTCTGAACCGGTAGAGGGTTGATGATATACAGGAGTACGCCGAACGCTAGAGCAAGGTCTACTAGGTGAATCCTCAGGAGCTTGCTCGATCGTGTACAAGAGAGAACGAAGGGTATAGCGCTCTCCGGGGCAGGAGGACGATGGCTGGTCGAGCCTAAGTTGAGTTGTTGTGAGGACGGTGGACCATGTCCTGGAAGTTTACGCGCATTGTTTTATATATTCAAAGTCTGTTGGTTTTTGCTAATAAGAGCATGTTTCCGTCCCGTGTAAGTTTATGCGCATATAGTGGCAGGGTAGAGAAATCGCGTCATGCTTTTCAAGCTGCCGAGGTCTCTTTGCTTGCGGGCGCATGTTTGACCTTTCGCGCACAGCGCGTGCAGGCGTTGCATGAGTCAGCATTCTGGACGCGTCGGCCCCACACGTGCGCAAACGTCATAAACCTTGGAAGCTTCGGCCCAATTCGCGTCCTTGTTTATTAGGGCAAGCCGCTTCTCCAGCTCTACACATTGCGACAATAGCGACCATGCTTGCTATAACAACTGCCGACCGTAACCTGAGACGTCGATAACATCCCAAGGCCACAGCGTTCTTTATACCACGAATGGTGACACCGCCTCGCAGATACCCCGGAGTATTGCCGGTGGGGCAGCTCGGCGCATCAATTTAGGAGATTGTGCCGTAAATTGTCAGTCTGGTGTTGATCACACGTCTGTGCGAGGAGCAACGATGATACTCAAGTATGGTGCTGTGGTATAAGTCTACTCGCGTTTGTGCGTTCGTTGCCATCCCGATCTTCACGTTACCGCAGCGCCCCCATATTGACACCAACCTCAACATGCGCTTTACAACCTTGGTTTGTGCTATTCTTGCACCTCTAGCAGCCCTGGCGGCTCCAGCCGAGCTACATAGCAGGTCAGATATACTCGCGGCCCGCCAGGCGCGTCCCACAAAGCCGGCACCGTGCGTGCGTGTGATGAACACAACCGAAGCGCAGACAGCTACGCGTGCCGAAGCCTTCGCCCAAGCTTTCATCTACAAGAAGGATATCAGTGAGGCGTTCAAATACATAGCCAAAGACTACATTGTAAGAGGGTCACGACGTCTTCAATAGGATCAATGACAGCTAACCAGATCACGTATAGAACCACAACCCCGCTGCACAGAACGGGTCTGACTCCGCCTGGAACATCCTCTCTCCAATCTGGAGCTCGCAGAGCATCACACCATTACGTACAGCGTTCAAGTCCCCACAAAGCTGGCTGAACTACCGCACCGGAAGTTTTGGGGAAGTCGTTGACCGTTTTCGATGGGAGGGTGGATGTATCGCGGAACATGTAAGTCCTCCCTCTTATGCTGGACTAGGTTCATTACTGACGTGGCAATTTGCAGTGGGATCAAGGCGAGAGATTTCCGCCTCAATATGTCTGAATAGGCGGTCGATTGATGCACATGATTACATATGATAGGAACGTATGGTCGAAAAGATGTAGATACGTTGGGCCCGATGAATGATAACAGCGCCAACCTTCCGTGAATGAATCCAAGGTACCCCACCAAGCTAGGAAAACATGAGTCGTGCACATGACGCGTCTCTCTAGCAGCACCACCGCCGATATACCAATCTCATATAACTTTGACCACAGAACATGTTCCCTCATGCGAGTCGTTTCGCAATATACCCGATATCGCAACGCCAATCCCTTCACCGTTCCTTCACACTCCGGCGTCCTACCTCATGCGATAACATGAGAGCTCCATAACCGACAAGGCCATGCCACACTTCAGACATCCATGATGGACTTGCCCTTGTTTTCTTTGTCATCACCCTCAGGTCGGAGCTGCTCCTCGGAAGGCCTTGCACTCTCATCGACGTAATGCTCGGCATCAGCGTCGGCATCAAGATAGTCTTCTCCCCGCAGCAAGCTGTACCGCGCTCCACCTTTGTTCGTCTCTTTGATCTGCGTGGTGCCTACCGTCAAGTCGTGGTGGCAGTTGGGGCACTCATGTACCGTCGGAGCACGCAACGCAAACCACATTGCCCGAGCCTTGCAAGCAAAGAAGTAGAAGTGGACAAACCTGTCATCATGTTAGCAATCCTACTGATGTATGACTTAGAATGTGAACGACTTACATGTTAACGATCATGGGAGCTGTTGCGTATCCAGCCAAGAAGCCATATCCCGCTGTCCCCAGATCGTCAACCTCGACCGCCCAGATCGGAATGAGTATTCCAAGATAGGTGATACCCGCCAATCCGTCTAGAAGAGCGAACTTGGGGCCTGGCATACGATCGTGCCTTCGTTGGTGAACAATGCTGGCTGTTGACGCAACCGCAGTCATAGCGAGGGGGATATAGCCAAAGCAGAATGCATTCACATCGCGATGGTACCAGTACCGGTAACTATGAGACTCTAGTGAGATAACGTTGATGGCGATGAGAAGAGGTGTTGCGAGGGCAGTGGCCAGCAAACTCAGTACGCGAAGAGGACGTTCCTGCGCCATGGTCGTTTTGTTGCTTCGGGTTATCTGTTGGTTTTCGAAAATGGAAGTGAAGACGAAAAGAGCCAGATAGCTTGGTGCAACAAAGATAAGTTGAGGTCTACAAGCCTGTTTAAGTCACATCACTGACTAGGATAACGTCTCGTCATCTCTCAGGCAACAACGAAAAGTACATAGCTGCAAGTGCATCAAAGCCGCGTGTACACACAAGGCGCTTTTTGGCATTGTCAACCAATCGATGTATCGCTCCGGCACGACAACGGGACTACGCAGCAGTAGTGAGACAATGAGATTTTGTGTTTACTCCCCCGAGTATGTGTTTTGGCCAATGAACGTTGACGTTGGGTGGCTATGCCGGCTAGCCTTGGTATAGCGCAGGTGGGCGGATTACTCGGGTCCTGTGTCAGGCTCTCCGCAGTGCATGGACGCATGCTCAAGAATAGAATGGCCTGCGAGACGTATCGATCTCTGTCCACCTAGGGAGCTCTCTTCATGTATCGTTTCACTCTTACTTCTACATCGATAGCGAAGGTTGTACGAGTCACGTGACATTTGCATTATCAGGGCCTGCATTGCGGTCACACCAAAGTTCGTTTCTGTTACATTAATCCTCTTCTCCAGTTCATAGAGTAGTGCTTGTCATTCATTCTGGTCTTTGGGAAGCATGCGGCGTAGTCGCTTCTGCCAACGCTTGCGGCGTGGTTAAGGAGAAGTCATGTAGGTGACTAGGGAAGAACCCGAGGAGACCGTTGATTACCACAAATCCGCAAAGATGTTATCGAAAATCAGAACCTTTGTCTTGTTCGCATGCGTGCAAGCATGCACAGCCAACCTTATCTCACAAGAAGGCCCTTTTGGCATCACGATGCACCCGACGTCTATAACAGCCTCCAGAGTAAACTCATCGGGTCTTATCGAGGTGTACACCTGCAAGCCCAGCCCTGGCTACGTGCAGTACTTAGAAGCCGCCGCGCGTTGTTTTGGCCCGCAGGACACGAACGACATATACCCAGACGCAGATACTATATCCATGTTCCGCAATGCTTTCGCACCTGTCACGGAAGACCTGATTCGAACTCTCGGTCACCCGCCCAAGTGCTTTGCGTTGCTTCATCCTGCGACGTTTAACATTGCCCTCCAAGCGCGCTGCCTGGGTAGTGTTATCTCCTCCGCTTGATGATAATGTTGAAGCATTCAGACGGGCGGTCAGAGCACAAGCAGCTTGCGAGACCTATGACCTATTCTGCCGATGCGATCTCATCGGTCGAGCAACTCAGGATTGCAATGATGACGGCCCCGTGGAATTGATCGTCGGCATCGAATATGAGCACAATTATGAGCATATACGGCTCTTTGAAATGGCATTCAAGTGGGAAGCTTATCCGCCTCTTGGTGGGAAGTTTTGCCGCGAGTGCGGTCTCAGTTCGGAAAGAGTGTGTTGCCCACCCAGCGTGTTGTTTTCCAAAGCTGTCGCAAGAGCTGATTCACATACCATATAGTCAAAACAGCCCAGACTAAGTTGACGATGTCCGCATCTTCCTGGAAGTTTCATTCAAGAACACCTAATCGTTGTGGTTAGATATAGACGCGAGCTACCTGTATTTGGTAGCCGAGTCCCTGTCCGCGAGATTTCTCAAAATTTTAGAAAGCCAGCGACGTTTTTGCTATCCCTGTCTCCTCATTTCTGTTTAGTGGAATGCGTGTGGTTGTAAATACGGAGGACCAAGCAACCTTGGTTCCCGGAGAGATAATTGTGATACTCACAAGATGCAAGCCCAATCAAATGTGCGCTATAGCCAATCTTACTTGACCATGTGGTGACTTGATGGTCCAAGCGAGGCAGACGCTAACGATGAACCATGGATATGACATTGTAGCTAGTCGTTCAATACTTGCGCAATATACTCGAAGTATCTTCAAGTGTCTTTTGGCTAGAACACCCTATTCGTGCTACAACCGAGCCACGACTGAACCTCGATACACCTACGAAAACCATGAAAACACCACGATCCTCGAAGAGCATGGATCAAAAATGCCTTCACGATCTACCTCCTCAGGTTTTCAGAAGAGTTCTCGACCATCTGCCGTTGTCATCGTTGGCGGCGTTCGCGATGACGAGCCACCACTCGAATACATTGGTTCGCTCCATCAAGAACCCTTTCGCACTAATCAAGAAAGAAGGGAATGAGTCTGAGCGAGCGAGGTTTTCGATCCTGTGTTTCGATAAGCATTATCCAGAGCACATCGTATGTTATCATTGCGGCTCGTACCATAGGCGCAAATCACCTGGTAGTCGAGATATTTGGGGTCAAAACGCTCCAGCCGCCTTCAAGTACGGGACTAGGACGATATGCAAACGGCACACAACGAAGTTCGACGGGTTGGACTGGGAAACCGTCCACGAGACGATGCGCGGGTTCCGGCACTCCCCTCGGTATGGACAGGATCTCCTACGCCCTAAAGGCTTTCATCAACAGGGAAAAGGACGGTGGGGCAGTGACATCCATGCGTTACCCTGTGATGGTCATTTGCTTTTGAGAAAGAGATGGGTCAGTGGTATTCCGGAAGTCGAGGATGTAGACCCCAGTGCCGTAGTATTTGCAACTTCATACTCCTTGTGTCCACACCTAGATCCAGTCCTCACCACATATTCTATGGCTTGTGGTGTAAGAAACGCCGTCTCTCGCTTCTATACGTACCATGATCCTGAGAACCTCAAAGATGGCTATGTTGATAAAGCCTTGCGGTGCACCGCCTGCCCTACCGAAGTGGTCATCGAAATAACTCGGCGAAGGCTGTTCAACGGAAATTGCGCAGACGAGTCGAGGTTTCCGAAATCAACCTATGTCGTAAGCGTCTCCAGATACGTCGACTTTGGCAAATGTCAGGATCCGGAGGACATTGAATGGAAGGCGCTCACAGAGCGGAGACCAGGGTTCTGGGGACGCTTATTTTCAAGAAGGGCTAGCGGGTCGCCAGACGGGGAAACAGCACGGCCGACGGACCTTACACACCTGGAATCCGTTTACGAGAGATTCAATGCGCATCTTCAGGCGCATCTGCTGTCATCGCCGTCCCTCAGTGGTCCTACCGACCTTCGTCTGGCTATCCATGATAGCACTGACTCACAGCCTCCACCATACGCCAAGTAATCATGGTCAACAACATCAGGTCGCGAGAGTCCCAGCGAGCTGTGGACTCTGCTATGAGCGCATCCGGTAAGAAGCATTGAAGGTGTCGGTCCCAACGAAACGCAGTACGCGGCTTCCTTCGACCCAGATTGATGCCCGATCTTGTTTCGCGCAGGTTGTTGCGACTGCACTTTGTAGCTTTAGGGTGTGTCGCAAGAGAGTGTGGAATGAACGGATTGACGCAGGTCCGTAATGTCTGGGGGCAGCATACGCTCACGGCCTTATACGTGGGTGCAAAAGTAAGGCCATTTGGGTTGCATATTAAAGTAATTAGTGATGTCGTTCGGATCAAAACTTGAGTGTTTGAACATGAATGCTGATCCAAAATGAGAGATGGCCAGCTCAATCGCAGACCATGGGTACACCTTGCCTAATTCGATGATGACGATAAGACGATCTCACACCCCTATCAGTCCACAACGAAGAAGGCCAATATACGCCTTTCGCTCCTAACGTATAGATTGTGATCTAAATTTGCCAGACCTTTACTCGCGGTAATCGCCAAAAGAGGTTCCTGCTGCGCAATGACCGTTGTGAGAAATTACCCGCATTTATGCACGCAATCTGAGTAGGATGAATGGCGAGTTCATCATAGATCAGTGTCTACCATCAATGAGAAGGGAATAAATTGAACAGAATCAATATAATGCTCGGCATGTGCTACAAGTGATCAGCCGTAGAAGCTTGGAAACAGTACACTGCATCCGTGCAGCAAGTTTGTGCTTGTGTGTCTGCCTACACCATCCTCATACCTGAAACACCCGCCAATGGTTGGCTACATATGGATTTCGTGAGTCCTTACCAAGCTGTTGGTTGATGAATCTTTTGCATCTGCTTCTTGCACAAGTCGAGCTCTTAGGCTATCAGTCCGTTCCACACGAGCATCGTCAGATGGTGGCTGCGAACCATCCACCACGTGAAAACACAGAGAAGCGTCGACAAGGCTGACGTCGTCGTCTGTTTCTGGCCTAAATATGGTGATTTTGCTTATAGTCTTTTGACCAAGCTGAAGTTTGTGCTGCATGAGAAAGTAAGCGAATACAGCACCATTTCGAGATCCTGGTTTGGGTTAGTCTTGGTACATGTCATCGGAATTGGAAGTGACTTGCCTAATAACGCATGGCCATGATCCGTGGTGGTAGAGAAGTGGGTTCCCGGCCATTCGCTTAGTTCGGTGTTTCGGTCGCGTAGACAAGAAGCGATGATTTGATTAGTCACCTCGTTGGAGATGGCTATCATGAAGAAATAGCGAATGTTTTTGATGTTCGGGTTGTTACGAACCCAAAATCCCCAGATGATGTCTGAGAAAGCGCGAAGTTGCGGTAGGTCATCTTTGTTCGGCTCCTTCGTACCACCACCCCACATGGTTTTGGCGGATGCTTGAGGGCTCTCAAGGAAGAGAGCATAGATAGCGCCTCCTTTGGAGTTGATTCCGAATTCAAAATGCGCCTTTGTTGCCTGTTACGCCGTCAGCATCCAATTACTGATTATACGCAAGCCTAAACTCACTCTGTATTGCTTACTGTTACCTGCGGCGCTGTACCACTGATTGATAGCCGGAATCTGGTTGCCCTTATCGTCTCTTTTCTCTGAATCCCAATGCTCGACCCTGTAGCACTGATTGTCTCCTCCTGCTGAAGTCGGGCGTCCGTCGAGACCAAGTGAGCGCATCGCATATGAGAAATGCCAGTGCTCAGAAAAGCTGCAGCTGAACGACGATGACCTAGTTTCTCGCCAGTACCAGTCCTGGAGCTCTGTCTTGAGATCACTATTGTAAGGCCTTGCAGCAGATGGGGGTTCGCGAGTATCTTTCATCTGACGGCCTGCGGTCTGATCAGAGCCTTCGAGACCACAAATCAGGGCGCCTCCTTTGGCTGCATTCTTATTCCAATCCTCCTCCGCGGCATAGTCATCGTCCCAGAAGGCCACCGTGGGGTATAGTTCGTTGGGTTCACGGCTGATCGAATTTGAAGATAAGCGGGTGATGTTCCGGTCTGAGATGGGTGCAGCAGCCAGCGGAGTCTCGATACCTCCGATAACTGTGTGTATGGCAACCGCGATGGCAAGGGCGACGACGAATGTCATGTCGCTGATCGCTGCAAGGGAAACTGAACGAAGCAACAGATACAGGAAACGACAGCAAAGCGAACAGCGTAGTACAAGAGGTAAGGCGCAATGTTAGCGGATATTGGAGGCTGCTACAGTGACTTCGTAGGTGAAGGAGCGATTCTTCCATTTCCCGATCCGCGCGCGTGTCTCCTATGACGAAGGTCTCGGAAAGGAAAGTGCAACCACTGATGAGGCATGCTTGACCCCGGATTGTGTGATGCGCAGGGACGCTTCTTAAGCTATCAGCTTCTGGCCCAGAGCCATGAATCACGCTTTATGTATGATTGACATTGATTTCAACTTGCTAAATGCGATCAAGGTGATGTGAGACTATAGCCGCAAAGCATTCGGAAACGAAGACGCCACATACCGGAAATCTATGATATCGAGAGCCCTATGAAACGATCTTTCTGAGAAGTACAGAATCCCATATCACTAGTTGCTACTTACCTCATTCAGCCAGTCATCTCCTTCGGAGTACTCATGCCACAAAGAAGGTTCTGCCGACGATTGAGCAAGAAGATGAGGTATGTCATGGTCTATTCGGAGGGCTATCGAAGCCCATGAGTCCTCAACGTCTTCGATCCAACGAATGCTCACGGTGGCTATCCCCTATCCGGCTACCTAAACGCCTCTTCATATGGCTAGAGGACAGGCTTTGGTGCAAGACCTAGGAGTAGGTGTGTACTTGGGTTCATGCACAACCCCCTTCTGGACAGGAAAGGCAATGAATGTCCACAAGCTTTGTAATAGGCAGGATGTAGCGCGACGTTATCAAGCACACTGCTGCCTCTAGCCGAGTCGTTCCCATGATTGCATCCCTCAGGGATATTCCTGCGGACCGAACCGTATAGCAGACTAATAAGATACCGATTCGAACCTATCGTGGGATGTGATAGATGGCTTGTACGGTGAATCGAGGAGTCGTGTAGAACATGAGGGACGCGAAGGACAGATCGTGGAGCGCATAAGGAAGCTGTAGCATCAGGCGGGCTTAGCTGGTGGCGCGCATATTTAGTGTGGAGTATGGCGAGATGAAATTACAGGTAATAAATTTAGAGCAGATATGTTGTGTAGTAGCATGTCGACATGTTCCATCGTGGATGACTTGATAGACCGCAAGACGGCGGGGTTCCTGACGTGTGTCTAGCGCGTTACGGAGAGTGGGGCATCGCGGTCGCGTCTCTACGCTCGTCGCGTGGCCCGTCTCCTCATCCATCCTATCATTGCCGTTGTCACCAGCAAACGTCCGATCATCAACGCAACTTATCTTCCCGTCTCAATCAGCGCTCTGCGTATCGCCCCAAGTATTCTCTCAGCTCGTTTAGACCTGTACGGGTTGCAGCGTCGCATCCATTTGCTTCCTTCGGAAAACATCCACGTTCGCCCGTGTGCTGCAATTGGACTTAAGTTCCTCTCGAGCTCAGGTTTTACGTAGGCATTAGATACGATCTCGTTACATTCGTTCATATTTTGTTTCACCACCCCCAATAACTTAGGCTCTGACGCTGTCCTCGCTTTTCACGATTGATACACTTGCAACGTCAGTCCATTGAGTGGCAGCCAGGTTTGCGTTGCGACTATTCAGATTGGTCTGTTTCGATAATGAGAATGCTTGAAACATGCGTCTTATGCTTGCTAGAATCATCGATGTGAGCCGCAGCGTATTAACCTCGAATGTCGAGTGAATCGAGTCCTACTAGAATCCCTACTCAGAGTGATGGTCATGTTTACTCGCAGCTATATCGTCAACAGCTCTTCCGTGCGATTGGAAACCAGTATATACCTACAACTGATGTGTAAGTAAAAGGATCAGGAAGAGAAGTGGATGCAACAACCCTGCTAAGAGTACAACCTGGTATCACTTCCTAGAGCAAGGGCAGTGACAATAGGGACTGGGTTCAATAACCACAAGCTCGGAGAAATGACCTCGAGGCTCTTGTCACGGCCTGCTCTAGGTGGCAAGGATGAAGAGCAAGATTTGCGCTCCAATTCATTCGGCACCTCCGCTAGGCCGAGCGGTGTACAGCCGCGCACTCTTTCACTTACTATGATGGCCACGCCGTTGCGTACGCGGACTTGCCCCTCACCCTGTCGCGCCTTCCTCACGGGCCCTAATCTTGAGACCCTCACCACTCGGCTAGCGCGCTTGTGCTAAGCTCTTCCGTTCTATATCAGCTCGCGCTCACCGGCCTCTTACAGCTTCCCCTCCACCGCGCCTTCCATTCGCTTCCTCAACCCTCTTCCGCTCTCTCCAAAATCGAAGCAGTTGCGGACGACGACTGCAGCTTCCGACGATGCGCTTTTCGGTCTTTACTCTCCTAGGGCTGGCCGCTACCGGTGGCTACGCCGGCAACTCTCCATCCTCTACGGTCGCTTCTACGGTGAGCAGCGGACAGGCTGGAATTCAGGATGCGGCGGATCCCTCGTCCATCCTGATTCCCCGACAATACGGAATTCCTACCGACCCGATCTCGGTTACGACATCTGTACAAGGCACCGTGGTCCCACCTTCGACGAACGTCTATATCCCCTCGGTCGCCTCCAGCGTGGTTGCTGTCCCGCCTCCATACATTGTGTCTTCGGTGCAGGGCTCTCCCCGCCCGCCTCCGTCTTCCGTAGTCGCTATACCGCCGCCTACAATTGTGTCTTCGGTACAAGGTACTCCCCAACCGTCTACATCCTCTGCAGTCGCTCTCCCGCCACCGTCCATTGTGTCTTCAGTGCAAGGCTCTGCGAGCCCGTCTTCTGCAGTTGCTGTCCCACCCCCATCGATCGTGTCTTCAATGCAGGGTTCCGCAACTCCATCTTCAGTGGTATGGAGCAGTCTGCCCTCGTCTCAAGCCGTCTCGTCTCAATCAGCATCTTCGGTGCAAGCGTCTGCGCCTCCATCCTCAGTACAAGCACCTGTTCCGCCATCCTCTACTGTGTGGAGCAGCCAGCCTTCGTCCCAAGCTGGTTCTTCATCTTCTCAACGGGCGTCATCCGTGTCGCCTCCTGCCCCGTCGTCTTCCGTAGCTTGGAGCAGTCAACAGTCCTCCCAAGCTGCGTCTTCATCTTCTCAGTGGGCGTCCTCCGTGCCGCCTCCTGCCCCGTCGTCTTCCGCAGCTTCGAGCAGTCAAGCATCCTCTCAAGCTAGCTCAAGTGTTATTGTCCTGCCCCCCACTGCATCATCGATTCAGGGAAGTTCTACTGTACCATCTTCCGGCGCCCCGACAAGCTCGGTCGTTGGACCATCAGCCGCCCCATCTTCTGGAGCGTGGAGCTCTTTCGCGGGATCTGTAACGCCAACGAGTGTATGGAGCAGCCAAGCCGGTAGCACTTCAACTACATGGTCATCGGCATTACCTGGTACTTCTGTGTCTGCGTCTGGATCATTCGTCGCGCCTTCTGGCTCATCTTCCGTGGCTCAGTCAAGTGCTCAAGGCAGTTCGGCTGCACAATCGTCTGGAAGCGCGATCTCAAGCACTAGATTGACTTCGGTCCAGGGCAGCACTACTGCAGAAGGCATCATCATCATCCCCACTGGTATTTCTGGTAGTAGCACCTCGAATGGCATCATCATCATCCCTCCTGGTGTTTCGGGAAGCAGTGCCCCAAGTGGCTCCATCATCGTCCCTCCTGGTGTCTCGAGAAGCCGTACTCCAAGTGGCTCCGTCATTATTCCTCCTAGTATCTCGGCATTCAGTACCTCGAGTGGCTCTGTCATTATCCCCACTGGAGTTTCTGGCAGCAGCACCTCGAATGGCATCATCATCATCCCTCCTGGTGTTTCGGGAAGCAGTACCTCAAGTGGCTCCCTTCCCGCTCCGATCGTGATTGGGAGCAGCACTACACCTCCCAGCCCGATGCCTACCTCCGTAGGCTGTCCCGAGTTGTGTCGTTCTCTCAGCTGGTGCCTAAAGTATTGTACGGGCTGGGTATTTCCTCGCCCTCCCGATGACGATCCACCGCACGAATGTCTTGACCCAGCCAATTACTGGTGGTGTCATCCATGGTGGTTTGGCCCGGTTGACGGCGGTGGTAAGGATCATGGCCACCCAAGCGATCCAGACTCTCACTCGGACAGCGACCCCGGTTGCAAAGAGGAAAACTGTGTCGCTGCATGCGCCGGGCAGAGACTCGCATCATTCTTGCTCTTCAAGCGGCCTTTTTGCCTTTGTGTCCCACACAAGTGTGACAAGGATCATGACAGCGACAGTCCTAGCGACAGTGACAATGACGATCCAACAGTCAAGCCACCAAAGCCAACGTCGTTTCCAAAACCTACGAACCCAGCATGTAAGCTTTTCGGGTGTAAATGCGGGTGGATGGGCCTGGGATTCGGCCCTGGCTGCCCTGACGGCGACAATATCTCGCTCAACATTCCATGTGGTATCTTCGGCTGTGACACCTGCATCTTCTTCGGTTGTCATAACGGCCCGCGGCCTACGGGTATCATAGGTGTCGACGGATACTGTCCAGGTCCAAAAGGGTGTGATCCATGCCCACCACAACTTTGTAGCCTCCCAGGTTGTACCGTTCCGGGTGGTTGTGGGCCGAAGCCTGGCCCTGCGCCAACTAAACCGGCGGACCGACCAGACCCAGAAGAATGCGACAACAACATGCGAACCACCATCACTGATCGCTTCGTCGTATGCACGGAGGGTTTTGATGTTTCGTCCATGCCTTCTAGCTTACGCTTCATCGGCGGCGGTACATCATCCACGATGATTACATCTGCCTGTATGCCGCTGGTCGATGCCACAAGGACCGTCTGCGGGCCGACTAAAGGCTACGACACCACGACAACGGAGACTAATACCAACACGCTGACCTCCGACGCTCCAGCATGTACCCGAGCACCGCTCTCTTTGGATGATGATGAGGGAAACAACAATCCCGATGAGCCATCAAACACGTGGACGTTCTCTAGCATGGGTTCATCAACCTCAAAAAGCTCTTCCAAGGCGTCGTCTAGCAATTCTTCGTCGTCCACCACTTCGGCAGCGCCAGCTCCTAGCCATACACCTATGGACAGGAACGGCCACTGGACAGTGGACATTGCTCAGTTCTTGTACGACGACTATGCGGAGTTTGCATGGGACCTGTACGATCCCAATGGCTTCCATGCGGGTACGCACCTCACACGCGGTCACAATAAGGACTCGGAGATCACTGAATACATCCAGAGCGTTAATCGTCCCTATGGTGATTCAATGCCTTTTGGAGTTGACGTGACCATTTATGAACGTAAGTAAACTCTTCCATCGCCTTCTTTGACATGCGCTAACTTTACCTAGCACACAATGGTGATATGGCCAAAGTCAATTTTCAGATCCGCAAGAAGGTCACCGGCTGCGATATCATGTCGGGCATCGAATGCAGGCCTTTCATGACAACAGAAAATTGCATTGAGAGTGAGCCGTGGAGGCTGCAGACTTGCGAGGAAGCTTGCAAGAACAACAAACAGAACCCTCCTCTGGTTCCTAAAGACATGTGGTGCCAGGATCTCAACGCGCAAGATTGGCAACCTATGTATAAAGGGTTCACTGGATGGCAGCGTCATTTCAAGTGTGGTTGGAAGGGATTTGATTGAGCGTTCTGTCCTCAAGGCTAATGGTAAAAGCGTGTGGGTATTCAGGAGTAGCTCGTACCAAATTGAGAATTGTATTGTGGACATGTGGGCAAGACTGTAATTACATAGATGGATGCCAGCCGTATGTTCCAATTTCAGATGCCGTGTCGATATTTGGACTGGATAGCGTAAGCATATGGAGCTTTTGATGTTTGTCTCCAACACGACATTGCATCAGGACACTTGCAGACTATGTGCTTCTTTTCTATCGTCGGACTGATACACCAAGTACGTATTTGTAGGCTCACACAATGCATGAAATTTGGTCTGCAATGTCTTTTGGAGCTGTTCAAAGCAACAGGCACACGCGCATAAGATTCCGTCGCGACGCCTATTATCTTAGGAGAATTGTTTATCGCGGGCAGAACCAGACTTACTTCCCAGCCTCTCCACACTCACTTGTCTCGCTACCCGGACATCACTGCACATCTGAAAAGCTCTGTTTTGCACTGCCGGATAAGCCCAAGCTCTAGTGTTGACGACGCTTCTCATTCGAGAGGACCCGATGAGACGGGTACGGGTACATATGTGTTTTGGAAAATTATGAGTAGCTCGTCTGCGTCGCGTGACCGCAGTACCATAGGACGAAGTGGATAAGATAGATTTAACCAAGGTATCGCATCGCACTAAGATCTTAGTCAGAAGAGGGAACATAAGATGGCCGCACCGCTGCGTCTTCCCGGATGAGCCCAATACCTTCTCTCTCCCATTGCATTGCATCAGAAATCTTCAGAGCAATATCACAACAATGACGCACACGATACCTGGTCAAGAAGAAACAGATGGTCTCATCGAGATGAGCCCCGCAGAAGAAGGCCTCGCACCGAGCAGTGCGAACCATACAACGAATTTGACCATCACCATACCCACTCCATTCGCCGCACCTGCTCCCGTCACGATTTCTGATGGAGAGTCACAACAAAGTCTTTACCTACGATCCTGGATGCGTATTATCCCGTTAGAAATTGCCTAGGATACACCCGCTGACTTCATATCCTGACATTTAAGCCTTGATGGAGCCCGAAGAGCCGAAGTCAGCTACGCATCACTATCTACAAGAGGGTGTCGACATCATAACACCCGCTGTTAGTCGAGTCAAATGGGTAGATGTCCGTTATTCCAATGGAGGGAGCGAGTGCATCTGGGTTGAACCGAAGGAGGAAGTTGTATCGCAGTCCACGCGAGCGGAGAAGGCGGGAGCATTCTTCCTAGTCGTTGGCATGATTCTCTTGACGATTGTCTGTCTTCTTGTTTTCCTTTTCCTTGTCAAATTTGCCCTCATGGTCTTGGTCATGTTGGTTGAGCTTATCGGCATTCCAATGCCGGCAGCTGTTGATCGGTAGTTGTTTAGTGGGCGGTGAAGAGTGCGCGAGAAGGGCATCAAGTTGAATGCTAGTCTTGTCGAGACGTGGGAAAAATCTGGATTCAATTTACGTTATAGAATGATACGATACTCAGTCCCCCTCTCTCCTTTGTTTCTCATCTCCCTTGATATTCTTCCGATCAACGTACTCCATGCCTGTCCCCGAGTGCGTGTTGCTGCCACTGTTCGAATGTTCTTTCTGCGCCTCGTAGTCTTCCTGGTCTTGTGCGGCTTTCTGGGGCGTCTTGGCAGACTTTTGTACGCCGAAGGTGTCTTTGCTGTTCTTTGAGGGGTCGTTGACCTGGTCTTGAACCAAGGTGTTAGCGAAGAGGAATGACGTGGAGTGTGCGGGAGACATACTCGGCATGGTGATTTTTCTGGGACTGTTGCTTTGAGTTTATGGTACACTGGGCTTTTAGCAGGAGATTTGGGCGTACTGATGGTCTTTTGAACAGTTTGTAGACGTCATGAGAACGTGGGGTTGCGTAAACGTCAAGATGACGACTCGGAAGTCGTTACCGAGCTTCCTGCATCATTAATCTGCGACACACTTGGCATCAATCTTCAGTCATTGCCTTCGATCAAGCTGTTTAATTCTCGTGATTACGTGCTTGTGCTCTTCGCGCATTCCATCGCGCGTTCCGACGCGTCAACCGAGGCGTCCCTGATCGACGAGCTCCAACCCCGCTACTAGCCACCTCATCCCAAATGCCTCTCAACCTTTCTTCTCCTCGCCTTTGCCGCCGTCTTTCTTGTCCCCGTCTTTCTTTGATGAATCGCCCTTGTCGCCCGATGCTTTGGGAGGTGGTGCGCTACCACCGCCACCGGAGTTCATGAACTTGTCGTCGAGCTGGTCTGGAAGCGGTTAGCTACTGGAGCATAGATCACTCGACATTGAAAGCGTACCAGACATATTGTGATATGTGAAGAGAAGTTCAGGTGAGGATGGAGTCGTTGTGAATGCTGACTTTGTAGAGATGTAGAAGAGGAAGAAGAGATGACCCGACCTTAAGGTGCGGTGTTCCAACACCTGCCCTGTGGTACAGCATGCGACATGACGTTATTGCGCCTTTCCCCACATTCAACTACTTGGCTGGAGTCTAGATGCTGCAGGGTGCTAGTCTGGCCGTTTACCCGTTGCTCAGCTATATCATAAGAGGCAACGTCACAAGAGCGCAGGGAGATGCTGTAGAAGTGCTTATTCTACGGACAGTAAGAGCTTAGACAAGCTATCGTACTGCAAGGTACTACCTGGGTGTTTACATCGAACGTGAAGCTGCCGAACCCTTGCGCTAGGATTACCGTGCTTCACAAATGGGAAGGATACATGAAACCTCTACCTAGTGCCGACGGCCCCTGCCACCACGCGTGCCTCGATCCCATCTACCGCCACCTCTTCCGCCGCGATGTGGAAAGAAAGACGGGTTTCTGAAACTGTTGTTCTCGTACCACCACTGATCATCCCGCGAAATGCACAAATCTTCAGACTTCTCCACGTAACGTTCCTCTTCTTGTCGCAAGAGGTAAAGCCGGCTCTGGCTCAACGGCATGATTGAGTAGCCAGCGTTAACACTATCGGTTATGGTGCGACGCAGGAACGAAGTGAACTGAGGCTGAGATGGCAAATCTTTGAGACCCATCTTAGCCAAGAACTGCGGAAAGGCGTCGAACTGCTGGATCTCGCGAATTTCCTCGGCCATGCGCGTTGACGTACCTGGCGGAGGAGCACCATGAGCGTCAAACAATGAGTCGCGGAGCTCGACCAGAGTTTTACCGGGTGGACGAGCTGCTGAGCTGAACATCTTCAGGAACATCATAAGGCGGTATGAGGTGGGAGAGGCAGCATATGTCTTGCTAGTACGGTATTCAGAGACCTTGGAAGGCTCCAGGTATGCCAGCTCGGCCATACCAGTGCCCTTCTCATCAAGCATCCAGACGACGTTGCGAATAATGGCTTCTTCGATAATACCATACGTCAGGTCCTCGGTAAGGCCGTCGTCGCAGATGAGAGCCGCTATGAGAACGTGACCGAGGTCGGGGAAGTTTGCCTTGTTGCGCGGACCGGCCATGAAGCGCCTGATCGTATTGTTGGCGCAGTCAGTGATGTGAGAGTGTTCGGTCGCGAGGCATAGCAGTAGGTGGAAGAGACCGAAGTACGCGTCGACGGCCTTCTCTGACGCGTGACTCAAGGTGCTGCGTGCGTCAGGACCGCTGTAGCTCTCCGCATCTGATGAGAACTGAACGACAACGGTGTTCATAGTATGATACAAGATATCCACATAGCAAGCTTCAGGGCTCGCCACGTTCGCAATCCTGTGGATATACTGTGTGCTATCCATCATATGCTCTCTAACTTGATTCCAGTGGCGTCGGCTCAGAGGTAGAGGTAGCCAGATGTCGAATTTAACACCCTGAACGCTGCGTCGGATGCGGTGCTTGTAGAACGCCTCGTGACTCAACAGATCAAACTCTGTTCGGAAGACCGGCCGGTTACCGCCTGTCACAGCGATACCAATACCAAGCTTGGCGTTGAGGAACGATTCTTTGAGACAAAAGCATTGCAACTCGCGAATGCGGATGAAGTCGTAGGAGTTGATCGTGTTCTTGATGAAGGAAATGGCGTCGGCGAAGGCCAAGACGTCAACGGTCTTGGAATTGCTGAGAATCTCAAGAAGAATCTCATCTGGTAGCCTGAAAAACCCCGAGGGGCTTCCTTGATGCTGGCTCGGCGGTGAGGCGACAACAATTGGTGCAGGTGAGTCGACCTCCATTTCACCAGCGGGTACTGGTGACGAGTCTTCTCCAAACCCACACAGAGAGCACTTGAAGCCATCTTCTCCCAACGTTTGAGCGGCTTGCCGCCGATACCAAGCCAGATCAACAGTGTCATTACCATGGTCTTGCTCCAGCGAATCACTAGAGAAGAAGCTCAGCAGCTGAATAGCGATACCCTTGAGGGTATACGCTGGCGTCCAGCCTTCATCGGTGTTCAGCATGGTGGCGCAGACATAGTCGCTGAAGACATTTGGGTGGATGATTGCGCTTTGAATCGTGACATTGGGCGCCACTAGCGGATATCGGCCGGTGAAGCGGATCTTGAGGTGAAGCGGCTTCTGTCCTTCCGGAGTAAGAACAAGACACGCTCTTGTTATGTCGTTTTCCTGGAAGTGAATGCGGATGTTGGGATATGGATCTTGTTCAATCTCCGCAATGTCCTTGAGGAGCCGACGTCGCAGCGAACCTGACTGAACCGTGTTAGTTTGGTACTGTGTCATGACAACGAAGTACAGCGAGGTTGAGGTCTACAAGGTGAGCTTCCGTCAAGGGAATGATAAGAGAGGTTGAGAGGAGAGAAACAGAGGTTATGGCGCGCGTTCAAGTTGTCACTTGATGGTCCAGGCTGAATCCTACACGTGACTAGGCAGCACAACAAACAAACGGAAGTGTCGGTCTTGACGCCCTTTCAGACAGATAGGCCGCTATCCAACCGGTCTGCTACCGCATTAAGAGATTGTATGCCCAATTTTCCACTCTTAAAGCATCCACTGGATGAGTCTGCGCGGACAGGTAAAGCGGCCCTGAGTTAGCTACGTCCAAGACTAGTGACTTTGAGTTTACGTTGACGTAATGACATCTCTACGGCCTAAAAGTTGTCTCTGGTGTCATTATGTCGTTGGGAGGTCTTTTGAATGACACATCTGGGTGCGCCTTAATCAAGTGGTCTAGAAAAGGGCGTCAAGGTAGCCAGCTAGGATTTACTTGGCAAGGTCGAATAGAGCGAGTTTGGTCTAGACTCCTAAATGAACAAAGCCTCTTATGCGTATAACGTGTCTTCCGTCTCTAGTCCGGATATCAGGTTGAGACGAGGGTGAAGGATGAAGATATTGAAAAAAGTCGTATGGCTGCCTGGAATTACGTTATTGGTGATCCCCACATTCAACACTAATGAAGACTTACGATTAAACAGAATACTCGTGTGGAAACGAAACTATGAATAGTTCGTGCGAAACGACATGAGTGCGTTCTGGTACCCAGAGTTTGTGTTCGGGGCCAAATCAGATCAATACGAGGAACGAAATTAAAGCTGAACCGCCATGCAGGTAAAGGCAACATGTACCACCTATATATATCAGGCGATGCGAGAAAAGCGAAAATTGAAGCAGCAGGCTTAAGAACCTTGTTGCGTAGTGGAATTCTTATTGGACTGGGTTGGCAAGATCGCATCTATCGTGGATGAAAAGAATAGAGAGTGAAGGACAAGGTGCGGACCCCACGATGATTCTTGCATCGCGCAATCAGAGAACACGAGGGATGCGAGAGCACGTCGATATGAAAGAGGGGAAAGGATCGCAAAATGGGGTATAAAGAGCCGTTCGCAGTCGTCCATCTGTCTATCTTCCAACCCAAACTTCACCGCGCCTTCTCCAACCAGCCATCAGAATCAACACATCATGAAGCTCACAGCCATTGTCCTCGCTCTTCTCTCCTCGGCCGCCTTGGCTCAAGAGCCCACCATCGCTCGCCGTGCCCCTGCGGAGATAGAGAAGCGCGCCATCGTTGACGCGACGGTCATTGTCGACGGACTGCGCTACCGAACGTGCCCGAAGACGAGTTGCTCAGCTCCGGGTCAATACCCCAAAGGTACCAAGATCAAGTTGAGCTGCTACACCAGGGATGGTACGACTACAGTGAATGGTGACAAGTAAGTTTGAATGAGATGGAAAGATATTCGGCGCTGACATGATGAAGGGGCTGGGCCAAGGTCTCTGGGGGTGTTGGTAATGGTCGATGGGTCGCATTGGCTTTTGGGAAGTATGTCGACTGGAGTGGTATGCGAATCTGTGGTCGATATTCTACAGGAACAATTTACTAACTCGAAATAGCGTCGATCAGCTATTGCTGATACCTGGTCCTGTGGAAGGAGGTTGTAGGGATACGGATTGCTTCTCGCTCAATCGGTTTCGCGACCACCTTCGCGATGCGTTTGCTGATATTTGGTGGATAACCCAGTTGCTAGCTATCAGTCAATAGTAGCCTCCTATACCAAGACTCCCGCTTTTCCCCAAGTGACTTGTGCATCGGATGATGATCGTGCCACGAGCTTATGACCGGTGATGGCTACATTCTTCCATTTTAGACTTGTGCAGTTGATTGTGCCTTTGAACTTGCGGCAGTCGTTTCCAGAGAAGACAATGTACCCAAGCTCTGTCTCGTTATGTTCGGGCGCCTTGGACGTATTGTGGCTGGAGTCTGTAGGGCAGCCGCTCCATCGGAACCAAAACTTTGGTGAACGGAAGCTGTTCTTTTCGAATGTTTCAAAGCGACTCCTCTCGGGAGACTCAGGCTCGGTATTGTCGCTCTCTTCTTCGTCATCGTCATTATCTTCCTCTTCGTTTGGCTCATCTGGTTCTATTTCTGCAATCGTTCGTCGAAGACTGTCACGACTGCCAGCTAAGATGACTGACACTTGTAACAGGCCCGGTAAAGATAGTTGGCCCACAACACCCTCGCCGCCTTCGGTCAAGCGGTACAGCTCCAGCGATGCATCTTGTTCTCGTTGCGCATCCCCTGTTGCGCCCAAGGCCTTTTGCCATGCCGGACATTTGACTGAATAGCTTGCGAATGTTTTGTGTACGTCGAACGCGCTCGTATGTTTGGACTTCCCACTGCGACCAGTGCGGTTGTGCATATGCCGTGTCGAGAAGGCGGCGTCCTGCCAGTCGTCCATTGCGAAGAGATCTGAATGTTAGGGATCTAAGTTTGAAGATTGTCTGCACTTTGTTCGTGGACTCGTGTGCCTGGTTGACAAAGGGAGGTTGACGTCATAGACTAGTCGGACACAGGCCTCAGAGCCTAGAGAAAGCCAGCGACAGCCTTGTTGTCTCTGAACTAACACCCTGGGGGCAGTGTGAAGGACACCACGGACAGTGATAGGCGTACATCGCGGGGCATGCATACTCCGCACTTCCAACCTGCTTATATTAGTCGGATCACTCACATAGGGGTAGTCATGTGCTGGTGGCTGAACCAGCCATTCTGAATCTGCCATGACGGGCTTGCTAGGTCCTGTTGTCCGGGGTACAGTCTATGATCTCGTTCTTGAAATCTTTTGGTCGGTGAATGGAAGCGTTGTGTGATGTCATCTCATGTGTTTTGCGACAGGTGTGAAGAAACCCCATTAGAACGTTGGTTTTGTCCCTTAATTTCTGACACGATATGAAACGTTCATTGTGTTTGGGAAAAGAAGTTGATGTCTGAATGGCAAAGGTTGGTGGCCGCACGTGAACAGGCGTCGGTTGGAAATCGGGAGTCGCGGATCGTGAGTCGCGAATCGTTCCGTCGGCGCAAACCAACAAACACCAACGATGGCACCCAAAGGGTCTAGGAAGTCAGCGGCTGCAGCGCCCAACAAGACGCTCGTCCTCGACAATGGCGCATATTCGATCAGAGCCGGTCTCGTCTCCCCAGCGTCTGAGCCCACATACGACGACTGCAGCGTGATTCCGAACTGCATCGCGCGCAGCACACGCGACAAGCGCACCTACATCGGCGCCGAGCTCGATTCGTGTAAAGACTTCGGAGAATTGGCATTCCGCCGCCCAGTGGAGAAGGGCTTCATTGTCAACTGGGAGGCAGAGAAGGCGATATGGGAGCACGAGTTCATGGGCGACGCCGTGGGGGAGGGGTTGAGGGTGGGTATGCGCAGTCGCAAGCTCATGAAGGACATATTGACTGACAGAACATAGTGTGACCCCAAAGGCACGAACCTAGTCTTGACGGAGAAGCCAAATTGTCCAAAAGAGCTTCAGAAAAACTGTGACGAAATAATCTTCGAGCAGTTTGAATTCGCGGCCTACTACCGATGCGTAGGCGCAACACTGAATGCCTACAACCCTCCCACTGCGTCCTCGTTGGCATCGCTGCCGCAAGAATGCCTCCTCATCATCGATACCTCGTACTCAGACACGACCGTGCTGCCTCTCTACAACGGCAAGCTCATACAATCGGCTGTGCGGCGGCTCACAGTAGGAGGGAAGCTGCTTACAAACTATCTGAAGGAGCTCTCTTCGCTGCGGCATTACAACATGATGGAGGAGACATACCTGCTCAACGAAATCAAAGAAGCTGTTTCGTATGTCGTGCCGTCATCACAGCAATTCGCCAAGGATCTGGTGCGCACTTGGAAAGGACGGCTGGGAGATAAACGAGAACTGGATTCGAGCATAGTGGTCGACTATGTGCTGCCGGACTACGAGAATGCGATACACGGGCATGCGCGACCCCACGACCCTGCAAAATCACGCATGCGTCGAGGACTACAACCGTTGCAGGGACCAAGAGAAGATTTGCTGCCTCTAGGGAACGAGCGCTTCGCCGTGCCCGAGTTGCTCTTCAACCCTTCCGATATTGGCATTCAGGAAGCTGGAATACCTGGCGCCGTTATGGAGTCGCTGAGTGCACTGCCGGAAGCCCTGAAAATTGGCCTATTGGCGAACGTTGTGGTGGTAGGCGGGAACTCGCTGATTGCTGGCTTCATGGAACGTTTACAGACGGAGTTGAGGGCTTTGGTACCAGCGGAGTACACGCTGAATGTGGCGAGGGCAGACGACCCGATCAAGCACACATGGCTAGGAGGAGCAAACATGGCTAGCCAGCCCGAGTTGTTGAAGGAGCTGCTTGTGTCCAAAGCCGAGTACGATGAGAGGGGCTCTACGTGGCTAGTAAAGAGGTTTTCATGATATACATAATACACACTTCCACGACTGTATCAGTCTTCACACCAGTTCCAGATATCTCTGGATTTAAAGTGAAAATGCAGGCAGAGATCAGACAATGTATGCTCCAAGACCATGCGCGCTTCCCAAGTGCTCGGGGCTGCTAGGGCGGTGATTGGCTCATGCTCGGCGGCTTGGCGTGTTCGTCGACATGTCGAAGGAATTTCCAGTAGACGTGCATCACCCGCATCTCGAACCCAATGCGCCGAATACCGCGCCCCTCGCGGGCAATTGATCCCTCACATCCTCTCTCCGCTTGCATACGGCAACGAGTTTCGCCATTGCCCTGCCGCCCCGCCTCGTCGCCCTGCACACATCTCCGCACCGCATCCGCCGCCTTCTCCACAACCGCATCCCAGGCCTTCTTGCTACCGGGAAAACAGGACAAGAGAAAACATCAGCAGTTCGTGCGAAGATGGCAGAAGCGTCTGCTTGGCGACTCGGAGCCTATTGGTGCACACGTCGACCCATATGATCCTACGTCACCGGTTCGCATAGCGCCTGAAGACCAGGGCGAGTACGAAGAGGTCCTTGACGAAGAAGACTCAGCTCTCCCCCAATACAAGCCTGCAAAGTATGTACACGGCCTTCATCGGGTCGGTGGCGAGGAATGGCTACGGGAAAAGGTCGAAAAGGACATGGCCAACGAATTCGAGAAACTCACGCTACGGACGTACACGCCACTGACACTGGGCATGGCTGATGAGATCGAAGAGCTCACGGGCACTCCATATACTCTGAAGGACGAGAACCTGCTTATGGCACAAACTGTACATGAGAAGACCAAGCGCCCATATACCGACTATAACTTTGGTCTCCATGCCAAAGCTTCCCGAGTTACCGATATGCGTGCCCGTTTCACACAAGCTGTCGCCGAGATCTATGCCCTGAAGCAGGCTGGTTTAGATATGGACTTATCCAAGTTTGCCAACCGAGGTGTTTATGATCGGCCACGCTGGGTCAAGGACATCAAGCTAGTCAAGACAGAAAGCGGTGAGCTTGCTCTTGCCTTCCCCCAGCACAAGAGTTTGGATAATCTACTGGAGGCGATGCAAACGGCACCCTCTTGGGAGGCTGAGCCCGCGGAATCGGACGAGCTGCTCGTTGAAGAGTTCGTTGAGGATCTTGGGGATGCCGGCCTTGCACAGGAGCAAGTACAGACCATGGATCCTGACACACCAGCACACAAGAGGGCGGCAGTGGTCAAGATGGATGGCGAGAACAAGCCATTTGACTTTATGTCGAACCGCCCCGTCCCTCGCGCCAAGCCAGTTGAAGCGCCTGTCCAGGAGGCAGTTGTTGAGGAAGTGGTCGTTCAAGAAACTACGCCACCTCAAAGTGCTCAAGATGCACCCCAAACCAAGCCTGTTGGCCATGCAGCCGACCCGGAGCCCGTCAACCAGATCGCTCCGGCAGCAGCGAGCGAGTCGCGACATGCTATCCTCGAAGAGAGAGCGCAGCGTTTGGCGGGTGACTTGGCGGCTCTGAAGAACTCAGTCCAGCAGAGCAGCAGAAATTCGTCTACTATCAAGACCGAAGAGACGAAATGGCGGCACGTTCCCCTAACTGACATCAACGTCAAGTTCGCTGTACGTGTATCGACATTCTTTACCTTACCTTTGCTGACTTCTGTAGCTTTACAAACGTCTTTACCAACTTACCGGCTGCCGCATCTCCGACCCACACCTCTCTTCCGCGAACACCCTAGGCGATCTATACAATCATCTATTAGAGTCCGCCAAACCCCAGCCTACCAGTCTCTTCAGCGCTATGCACATAGAAGGGCAGAAGTCACGGGAGCGAGCGAAGCAGCAGGCCACATCTGATGCCGCCGCCAAGAGGAGGGCCGACCTGGGTGATTTGATCAATTTGGGCAACGTCGAATTGCGCCGTGTCAAGCCTACCAAGATCGAGAAGCGCAGCAAGACTGGCCAAGACAAGGTCATCAGCTATGCTCTATGGGAGCGCGGTCTGGGCTCAGGAATACCGGCTCGACTTGGACAGATAAAGCAGAAGAAATTGCAGGGAGCAAAGAATGCACAACCCGAGCGTGGAACTGTCAACCCCTTGACCAGCAAGGCCGCCGATTTCTTGCTAAAGAAGAGTGGTAACTTGCAATCAGCACGCGCGTAAGCGGTGTAGCGGACAGTTCGTGGAACCATGAATATATTTGCATCTGATGCATGACTTATGCCCGACCATGATCTGAATGGGTCAATATATTGTATAGTATGTACACTAGGAGGGTTGGCATAGTCGAAAGCTTCCTTCTGCTGTAGCGTCGAATGAATGCGCTCTGCCTTGATTCGTGGAAATGGCAATGATGTTTCACGGACTGCGAAATGACCGCGTGACGGAATGCTGCTTCGCATACGGCCTGTAGGATAGTGTGCTTACGCATCGGCCTGCTCCGAGAATGCAAATCATCCAGCCGCTCTGTGAACGGCTCGAAACCATCCCGCTAGCCAGCCACAGACCGAAGTCGCACCTAACGTACCAACTCTTGATAAGCATCAAGCCATATGCAGGGCTCACGCGCATCCTTCCTACCGAAGGAATAACCCACGATTGCCGACAGGCTAAGCTTTGCCCAGAAGTGCTTGTCAAAGATAAGAGTGGAGCTACTAGTTCTTCGCAAGCACACAGGCTAGGCGGCATACGGCAACTCGTTTTTTCTTCGCACCCTGCCATCGGCGTCGAAACGGCTTTTCATGACGCGGCTGGGAGCCGAGTGTGCGCGGTGGGGTAGTTACTAAAGACTGATCATGTGTCGCCCGGTTTGACCCTGGGTTGGTCTTGTACAAACCTTTTCTAGTCATTGTTACTTCGCCTTCTGTTTGAGGAGTACCTGCCCACAATGTTGTCAGCGGAAAAAGCCCAGGACGAAGCCAGCCTCTCGACCGATAGCGGCAGAGGAGTCGGCGCTGCAACAGCCGTCCCACGCGAAACAGGACTCCTCGCCAAACTACGCCGGTTCGAAGAGCGATTGGACGCGAAACTAGGCATTGAATCCGAAGCCATCAGTCGCAAACTGCCAGAAGACAAGGGCCACGTGCCATGGCACCACCAACTCAACATGTTCTTCCTCTGGGCGTCGGGCACAATGAACACGTCCTGTTTCGCGACGGGGTTCCTCGGGCATGAATTTGGATTGAGTAAGAATATACTGCTTCCCGCGCGCTTGCAACAGCTCGACTGATTGTTTTGTGTTCTGCAGCGCTTCGCCAGAGTATCGTCATTACCATCTTTGCGTCTATCCTTGGTGGCGCAGCGACAGGGTTCGCCGCCACTTTCGGTGCGCCGACTGGGCTGAGGCAGATTTCCATGTCGAGATATGCATTTGGGTGGTGGCCTAACAAGGTTATTGCTGCGCTTAACACTATTGTGCAGATTGGCTGGGCATCTGTGGCATGTATCACGGGTGGTTTGGCATTGACTGCTGTAGCGGATGGACATATCTCGCTGATTGTCGGTATCGTTATCCTAGCCGTGGTTGCTACGCTTATCTCCTTCGTCGGTCTGCGAGCTATTCTGGTTTACGAACGCTATGCGTGGTTCGTCTTCTTCATTATCTTCATCATTTTCTTTGCCGAGACGGGCAAGTACACCGACAACAGCAACACGCCTAAGCTGAAGGGAGCGGACCTCAGTGGACAAGTCTTGAGCTTGATTGCTATCGTCTACGGTAGTTCTGCATCGTGGCAGACCATGGCATCCGACTACTACGTCCATTATCCGATTAACGTCTCCCGCTGGAAAGTCTTCCTAATGACCACCTTCGGTATCGCTATTCCTACCTCCATCGGCATGCTGGCCGGCTGCGTTGTGTCATTCGGCATGAACAATCGACCAGACTGGCAAGAAGTGTACGACAACGACGGCCTGGGCTTCCTCATCCAAACCATGCTTTACCCACGCGGTTTCGCAAAACTGATTCTCACTCTTCTCGTCCTTTCCGGCATCAACGTAAACGTCATTTCCATCTACAGCGCCGCCATCTCTTGCCAGCAATTTTCCCGCCCTTTTGCACGCGTTCCCCGCTTCATCTGGATTCTCGTCTGTTTCGCCGCCATCCTTGGTCTCGCTATTGGTGGCCGTGAGCAACTAAGTGTCTACCTGGAGAACTTCCTTAGTCTACTCGGCTACTGGACTACCCAGTACTTTGTCATCCTCTGCAGCGAGCACGTCATCTTCCGCCGTATGAGCTTCGACAATTACGATTTGGATGCGTGGAACGATCCGAGTCGCCTGCCGCTGGGTATCGCAGCTGGCACCGCGTTTGCCATTGGAATCGTTGCGTGGATTCTTGGCATGGTCGAAACATGGTATGTTGGTCCGCTAGGTGGCCTCATCGGAGCTGATGGTGGTGATGTCGCGAATGAGTTTACTTTCGTTGTAACCGCCCTGGTGTATATACCTGCGCGCTATCTTGAGAAGAAGATTGTTGGGAGGTAGGAACTTGGGCTGCGAAAGTAGAAGTGCTGTTCAATGCTTAAACACGGCACTGCCAACAAAGGTTTTGAACCTATGGACAAGGGAGAATTGATAGCGCAATTCGGATGCGAACATTGCACGATGACTTCGAGTTGTGGCTGCACAAAACCTGCATTTGGTTAGCAAATACTGCATCAGCTGCGACAGAGCCACCCAACCATCCATCTCTTGACTTACGTATTACCGGAGACTGTGAGCACCTTCAAACCTCCCAAGCTCTTTTTGCAACCGTATACGTAGCGTCTCCCTTCAGAAGGCTGATCATCCATTTGCCATCCGGAGACTCTTCCGCTCCCAATGCCTGCCCAGCGGTTATCACAGCCCACTGTACGATAGGTGAGACAAAGTCCGTTTCTCCCCGCGTACGTTTATGTTGCAAGTAGTCAGTGATGCAACAGGCGATATCTAGTCCCGCCGCACGGATGGCGGGATAGTAAGAACTCTTCGTCACAACATCCGCGCCTGTGTCTCCTTGTATGTGATCGCCGGAGACATTTTGCGAGCCGTTGTTTTTGGGTTCCAAAGTTGCCATGACCCGCAGGGTGTAGATCAATGCTGTGTTGTACAGCATCAGCATCCGCGCAACAGAGTCGCTCTTGAACCTGTAGATCATGCGTGGCGAACCTTGGGAAGTGGCCGGATCGAAAACCTCTTCTTCGATGCGAATATTCTCCCCATCACTGTCCCATCGCCGTTTCCATGCTTGAAGAAAGTCAAGGAGCCCATCTGCCTTACATTGCATCTCTTGTCGCCGTTGTATATAGCTTAAGCCAGACGCATGCTGGAGCTTGAAGAGCTCGTCGCACGCAGCTATTAGCACTGAGCAATCTGCGAGCACGTCATGTAAGTCTTGTTCTTCTGGGGTTTCCAGCGACAGTGCTGTTCTCAATACAGCTTTCCACTGTGGTCGTGCAAAGATTGATGGTGTTCTGTTCCTCAATGATGCTATCAGTATCATATGCCGCACACCTTTGTACAGCTCAAGTGTCCGAAACGATGCGTGAACCAGAGATGCTGGGTCACGTAGTGTTAGAAGTTGTTCCAATCCAAGCATGTGCTTGAGCCAGTTTCTAGGACCGGTGGGCATGAAGAGTTCAAGCATAGCCAGCAGGATGACAGAAACGATTACGTCGTCATGCGTGCGGCGTTCTGGCTGGCTCAAAGCCTGATGTAGCCGCTTAAGAGCTACACCATGTATGGCATAGCCTTCGGTGAGGATCCCGTTCTGGTGATGTTGCGCGCCGAAGAAGAGGGTTGCAAAGCTGAGTGCGGCTTGAACAAATAATCGGCCGCTCCCTCCTTCTGCTGCGTAGTTCTCCATGACAATGTCTGAGGTCTGAAGCTCCTGCAACCCTAGGTCTATGGGACCATTAGGGAGAAGATGGCGGCGTGCATAACAGATGTAAACTTCTTTGTCGTTGAGCTTTGGCCTGAGTACAGGGAGATCGAAGCGGTACTCAGGAGATTCCGAGGTGGACTCTTCTACTTCTTGCCTCTTCCATGCAGTAGTCTTGGGCGGGTTGGCCGCTTTGCTCTTTAACTTCTGCGACCTCCTAGACGTGACAATCTTGCCTTGCACAAAGACAATGGACTGTGGTCCATCGCATTTGAAGCCAGCTTTCTCACACCTCTGACATGTTGGGCGAGTCTCATCTTTAGTAGGGTCAGCCTGGTGTCTAATATGCACGACGTTGGCGCTTACCGCACTTGATACGGCGCCTGCGGCAGGTTGAGCATCCTTTCGATCGGCCGGCTACATTGACCATGATCTAGACTTGTTTTTTTGCGAGATGCATATGGATGAGACGAATGCGGTACATTCGACGAGGTGGCTGAAGAGGCAGGTGGGGAGGTCATGGGCTGACATGGGGGGACATCGGCCTAATCTGGCGTTAGGCTAAACCGCTTGCGGCTCATTGGGCGAGATGCCTCGACCCCTAGCATTGGCCGCAACGCCTTCTTGCGTTCTCCCATCAACCTTCCAACGCTAACGCGTAGAATGTCTTCTAGATACCCCTGCGGTGTAAAGCCACGCTGTTGTATACCCGCGCATTGAGCCGCAAAAGGCATAGAGAGGTCATGACATTTTCGTCCGGCGAGTACAGGTGTAGATATGGGTTCGTACGAAGGTACAACACTATCTGTGATAAATATCGTTCGCTGGATCATCCTCCATTGTCACTTTTAGGTTCAAAGTTATCGTCGTCGGAACAGATCCTATCCACTGAACCTACAAAGTGATCGTCGCTTTTCATCTGCCACCTCACAGCTATGACAGTCACAGCAAGCATCGACATCGCATCCTCACCGGCAGATGTCCGCGCAAAAGTATGCGCTTCACCTCTCCCAGCCGGATCCAAAGCTTGATGGTCGTAACGCTTACGAGATCACCAGTTTCTCGACTTCGCATCCCTACCCAAGTACCACAAAGGCTTCTTCGCCTCTTTGACCCCACTCGGCCCCGTCGAACCCGAGAACAAGATACGCGTTGTCTTTTCGTCGGGACAAAAAATGGATGCTCCGATCGAAGTACGTCATGTTGTGCTAGGACATGACGCAACACTTTTCTAATAGAGTTTGTAGCATAACACACCTACCTCCTTTGCATGGACAGGGTCTATACCGCTTCTGTTTGCAGGCACACATTCATTCACTTTCGAGCCCAGTAGTACTATTCCAGGTGGCACGAGGTTCACGCAAGAAGAAGTCTTCAGCGGCGCGCTATCCTTTCTCATGGGTGAAAACGCGGTGGCACGAAAGTTCGGCTTCCCGGAAAAGACGAAGAAGGGATGGGAGGGCTACAACAGTGACTTGAAGGCTTGGTGTGAAGCGCAGTGACATATATATTTGTTTAATCTTTTCGTTCCGGGTAACTGGAGCTGCGTAATACACTTCATGCCAAAGAAACATAGACCGCCATAGACTTCTTCCATACGTAACGGCTCGTTCACTTTCCTGTTCACGTTTCCTCTTCATGCTCTGACCATAATCTTCCGCCCCTTGAACGCGACCCTTGCAGCCACAAGCAACAGCACACATCCGAATAACAAACAGCCTCCGAACACCCACAAGCTAGCAAACCCACTGTGCCCTTCAATCGCACCTCCTATCGGCGTTCCGATAAGCAGCCCTACACCTACGACAGCAAAAGCCTGACCCATTCTTGTGCCGACTTTGTCTCGCGCGTCGCTACTCAGCTGAACTACGATGGCGGGTGGAAGCGAGACGAAGGATCCAGAGAAGAAACCGTAGAATGCCATGAGCACAATGATACCGGCGGAGGAGGTGGCACCCATGAAGCAAATGCAGAGGATGCCAGAAATAACGCAGCAGGGTATTACTACGTTGAAGGGGCCAAGTTTATCGGAAAACTATTGCCAGAAGAAGTTAGTAATTTCAGACCGAACAAGACAGAATTTTTCTGAGGGTAATGGGTGGACTCACCAAGTTCGGCACTATGCGTCCGAAAACACTCGTACTATTCATAATGGCGAGGAGGTAAAAAGCCATACCCTCACTAGTAATATGTTCCTGGATAGCGTAGGTTTGTGCATAAAAGAAGGGCATGTATAAGCCCATGAAGCCAAGGAAGAAGCCCGCGACCATGAGACTGTACGACGGGATCAAGAAGGCGCGCAGATCAAGCAGAGAACGCGATTTTGCCGGCAGAACGCGCACTCGCATGCAGACATTCGGTACGATCATAGTGGCGAGAACAATGAAGCCAAGCACCCTCGTCGTCCAAGCGAATCCAATCTGAGAGATAAGTTTGTGGAATACAATGGGGTAGATAACACCGCCGAGCGATGATCCAGCTGCAGCAATTCCAATTACTGTTCCGATCCGGGTGGAGAAGTATGTTGAAAGGATGGCCACACTAGGGATAAACAGACATCCAGTCCCGATACCGATGCAGAACGCTTGTGCGAGAAGGACTTGCCAGTACGTATGGCATAGACTGAGCATCATCTGGCCCAGAACCAACATGAAGCTTCCCACGATGAGCAGTGCGCGAAAGTAGCCTGCGTCATAAATGGGACCAGTGAGTGCGCCGACCAAGAGAAGCAGGAACGCCTGAATAGATCCGATCCAAGATATGGATGAAGCACTCGAATCTGCGAGCAAGTTCGTCTCGTAATATGTCTGGAATGTGCCGAATGTGTTAATAATCTGTGATGTCAAGTCAGTTCACATCTAACAAGAAGTCTGTACGCGGACACTACTTACGCCCCAAGAGTTAAACATGAGGAAAAATGCTCCAACGACTTGCAGCCATGCCCACAGCCCGCCATTCGGTATTTTAGACGCGTCGTTCACATTAGGCTGATGTGATCGATCAGGTTCCAGTCTTATCTCGTCTGTGTCTTCATCGTCCTTGTCCTCTATTACGCGATCCTTGCGTGTGCTGCGCAGCGAATTCAAAGTTGCATAGGATGGCTGGTGTCTAGGATACTTCGATGACTCCGCACTGTACTGCGAGTTCAAAGTTGCAAGAGATGGCTGTTGACTAGGCCCACCAAAGTTCGTCAACTCATAGGAAGCCGGTCCAGCCTGTCTTCCGGGGTCCAGTGACGGTACGTTTGTGCGTGGCATACTGAGCCCTTTCTCGTTGCCAATGTAGCTGTCGCGAAGGAAAGAGCTGTCGCTGGGTATCAAGATGGGGTGTTGATCCGTGGTAAGTGTCCCACAGGCTTGTTATTGAAAATCAAGGGAGCTTTAAAACGCAAACTATCGGTAGCGACGCTGCTTAAGAAGCACACAAGCAGAAAATAACGGAGAAAATGTCCAAAGAGTTGGCGGACCGCGTACGCAGAAAAATATCGAAAGGAGATATGAACGATACAAGCAGCCCCAGCAGACCATATATCAAGCTTCGGAGTCGACTGGGGGCATCGGCTAGAAAGGGTGCAACGCAGACCTTAGCTGCGCTATACTTCCTCCTCTTTCGGGCATATTCCCAAGCAACCGACAGCTCGCTCCAGCCTTGGAAGTTGAGGCTGAGAAAGACATGGCGAAACGTACTTGCTAAAGTTTGTCCAACACCCCGTAACCCAGTCGGGGGATTTTGTTATTAGGAGCGTTTCGGTTTCATGCTTTAGTCAAACCTTAGCAAGTACAGCCTTGTAGACAACAGCGCGCCACGTGCGCGGCAACAGGCACGTCATGAAACTTTTCTGATTGTTATCTCCGCATTACAGCCGTGTAAGTTGGGCCGAGACAGGGCTGTACCCCATCGTCGTACCTTCCAAGAACACTGCGCTTCGCATATATGCTTTGCTGAATACCCTGATGCTATTTTTCCGCCCTTCAGCGCGGCCTATCTAACCCCTAAGATTTCACCTTCCACCTTTGTATACCGGGCTGCGCCTGATTCCGACACATCTGCTCAAGACGCCGCCATCATCATAGAAAAAGAGAAACATTTATGCCGTAATGATGTACAAATCAAAGTCAAGCTGGCATGCTGTCATGATCTTGGGGGAATATGCTTCGTCATGTCGTAACGTACTTTTGGTGACCGTAGGAAAGGTTTTGGTGGAAGGACTCGCTCACAACGCCTGCGTGAACGCCCATGAACGCTCACTATGCTTACACCCTAAGGAAAGAACCGACCTGGTTTGTATGTCGCCGGCCCGAAAAGTCGTGCCGAATGTCGAATGCTGACATGAGAAAGAACTAACGTCGTCGAGGCTCCACTTGTTCGGATGGCGCCTCATGTGTCGCTGGCAACCCGTTTCGTCGCCAAGCGATGGCCCGAAGGATGAAGAGGTGATGGCTCGACTTGTTCGACGCGTTCTTCAAGATATACGTTGTTCAAGAGGCCAGCTGGGATAGTGCCATCTTGATTCGGCTTCAACTGGCCCGCCGATGCTTTTTGGCGCCGGTTCTCGCGCTCGTTGACTACCTCGCGCAAGGTCTTGGTGGCACCACTCCAGCCGAGCTGATTAGCTGTTGCCCGATGATTGAAGAGCCGCTCCACAAGCGGAAGTGGCAAGGATAGTAGGATAGTAGACAGCACGACGGTCGCGTGGCTGGGGTGGTGGTCATCTTCCGGCGGCGCATCACCGAACCGAATCTTGCTTAGCCTTGGGTTATGCGTGGCATTGCGTGGTTCAACGAGTGCTGGCAGACGTGGGGCATCTGAAAACTCTGGTGCTATCGCGTACAATTTGAAGTCGACAGGGAATTTGTATGCGATGAACTCGAGAGCGTGATTGAGCAGCATTGAAATGAAGGGGTCTTCTGCATCGGGGCCTTCACCTCTTGACCGTGGTCCAGAGCTGGCCTGCAGTGTATACTGTAATACCTGTTCGACAGTATCCCATCGAAGAAGCATCCTTGCGATCTCAATACCACGCGCCTGCATGCTAGGCATCTGGAGAGTCCTTGCTGCCGCAATGTAGCTCAAAACTTGTCGCATGCGCATGCGGGCGTCGTTGGAAGGGGACGCTTGATCGTTCTCGTACATGTAAGGTGCGAGGCCGTACAGGAAGGTCTGAGCAGAAAGGAGCGGGGCACCATACAGAACCCTGACAGCTTCTTCAAGGGATTCGCCGGTGGTGAAAGGGTCGAGCGCAAGGACATCGACCAGTCGCCGCGCGTCTCTGCTACGGTGGCTGGGGGCCGGGCTGCGACGAACTGCTTCGGCTATGACCGGGCTACGCACGACTACAATGCCGTGTACTGGCACTGACATAAGAATAGACTCGGGCGACCGAACTTGGAGGATGAAGTCGGCAAATTCGGGGTTGGCGAACTGGATTGACAGATAGCTTGCAAGTTCGAACGGCGACTCCTCAAGGCGTTCGGTGGGAGGTGCAGTACCGTTTTGGTAGGGCATAGCATGGTGCTCGTCCCCGTGGTCTGAAGTGGGTACTGTGTCGCCAAATTGTGCCTTACTTGGTGACTGCGAGTGCGAGGTGCGGGTACCGTTTGCAACGAAGGCTCCCTGTTCCGACGAGAAGTGGCCGTTATGAGGGCCCGGATAGAGGACCGGGCCGCTGGGGAACTGCGAGGGTCGAAATTCGGAGCCGTTTGCGTAGGCAGCTTCAGGCGGCGCGACTGTTTGTGGCGGCACATGCCAGGGTGCTCCTGCCTCAGAGGGATGCTGAGCGTGGCCGGGAAAGAAGGGCGCAAACTGTTGGGGACCGAATCCAGGCGGAGGACGTGGCAGCGCGTGCTGTTCGTGCTGATGCAGCTCTGGCTCTTGAGGAGCCACGGGAGGTGCCGGTGACTCATTCGCGCTCTGGAAGACCAGGGCACCAGCACTGAGCTGGTGTCGTTGCGAGGGAGTGTGAGCGCTGTCGCTGCCTTCTGTGGGTGGTGTCTGTGTGTCCGTCTTGTTCGACGGATAGAAGGGCGGGGGCAGGTGGGCGGGTATGGTCAATTTGCGGTGCACTCCGTTCGTGGCAGGCTTGTGCTCGGCGCTGGGCTCCACGGGTGGAGGCTTTTCGTCTGCATGGCCATTGACGTGGCTCTCTGCATCTTGAGAGTTTAGTATATGCAGGGTCAAAGAAGGAGTCGATGGTGAATGCTCACCATGAGCGTCTGCTGGTGCTGGGTGGCCATTCCGCAATGAGCCAGCCGCGGCGGTTGCATCAGGCACTCTCTTCTCTGCGCCCGATGTGTTTGACTCTGGCGTAAGAGGAGTCTGCACCGCCTCGGCCTGCTGATTTTCTGTTTGCTCTTGTTCCTGCCTCTCGTGCGCGGATTGCGGCTCCGGCTGCGGCTTAGCTGGTTGGGCAACGCTGTCCTTGGTGGACCCGTCTGGTGTGATAGGCCTGGCTGATGGCTGAGACTTGGACAGACGGTAGGGGATGGCAGGTACGATGCGCGAGCCTGGTCGCCGGTGCTGCTTCTGCGCTGTGCCTGCGCGTACCGTGTCGGCCATATTTGCTGGAGGGCGCGAAAGAAAGTGCGGCTGGGGAATCGGAAGCGGCTCCAGGTAATTGCGGCTCGGTGCTTGTTGCCAATTATCCTGGAGCGCCCTGGGACGGGAGAAGTGTGCGGCGAGGGTATTTGCTACGTGGGGTTAGTCGGCAGCAGAGAAGTCCAGGCAGAGATGGAGACATGGCTTCCCCACCAATTTTAGCTGCACACCTCTGACCTCATGGCCATAGCTTGAGCTTCATTTGTCATCCTCCACCGCCCACACTGAAACACCACAACTTTCTTTGTTCACTTTTCGCTGCGCATACGTCGTCACCATGCTGCATAAAGAGATGGGGTTTTTTAGTTGTCGGAAATCGCAATAGCAGCTGTCGTGCCGATGTGTCGGTGGCGGCCAGGAGACTCCCGAGGTCTGCACACGGCGACCCTGTGATGCAGGGCAAGTTCCTGCTAGAATGATCTATTCTGTTTAATACAACATACTGGCTCACTAGTAATGAGATCGAAGACTATTCATCCGTTGGTTCTCACTCCATCTAGATGGTTACTGTGAAATCTTGACCATAGCTTCAGTCGACGCGACTGACTATGCAGAGCTCCATGACATTCACATCGTCCCCCGACTCCACCGGGCGTACCTTCCTCCTGAAGATATCAAAAAAAAACGACCAAGTTGTAAAGAGCACCTACCGACCGCTGTCCGAGCAGGGACGACCACAAGGCAGGACGAGCGGCGCTCCTTTACACGGCAGTGACGCTCCTCTCAGTCACATGGCACCGTTATCGCCATGGCCGTCCTCCCGAGTACACCTCAATCTTCTTCCTTGCTATCGCACGATAAACCAAAGTACTGCACCTACAGACCCGTCACCCTCTCTCGTTTGCCCTATATTTCCTAGTTCAACATTGCCTTTCGTTACTCTAGCATGATCCTAGGACAGGCACAACCCATCCGCAACGGCAGAACCTCAACGCGAATCTCCAAACCTGCGCGCCCGTTGAAGGACGGTCGCTGTTCAGATTGTCGAGTACGCGACACCAGAGCCATTTCCTCTAAATACTGCTTGACTATCTGTCCTCGTGAGCATGACTTCACTCCTACACGTACGTTGGCACTAGATGACATACTACTAGACGGTTTCTAATATTTACAGCGAACAAATTTAGTATCCTAGCAGAGCTCGAACAGTCGCCCACCGAGCCGAAGTGGAATTTCGATTTTGTTCTTACCGCCAACGGAAGCACGAGGCGACGAGGCAAACGGGGAGGAAAGCGCCATAGAAGCAAAGACGCATCCAATAATGATACCGAACGATGCGAGCATACAAGCATTAGTGCGTCGTGCAAGACCATGGCTGCGTTGCGTCTTAACGGGGATGAGCTATCTAAACCAGGGATGGATGACACTTCTACCCGTAGTCGAAAGGCCGCACCTATCGATCCTACCTCTTTCGATATCGACAGACCTTCTTGGGCCCCACAATTTCTTCCAGATTCAACGGCCACCGCAACAAGCCAGTCCCAGTCCTGCCAGATCAAAGCACCGCGATCTCAAGCTTCATCTAATGGCGCAGCGACCAAGCGGCAGAATTCGCAATTCTTCCCATTCTCCGCATTTCTTGCCTGTCCAGATCCTTCAGCACTGTTTCCATCCAAGTCTAAACTCTTAGAACCAAAGACTCCTGAAAAAGGTCGGCAACCCTCAGAGTCTTCAGTCCCTCCTCCTACATCCTCGCCCCACGCACAAAACGCAGCAACAAAAGCAGCACATCGTGCACTCAATTCAAGGGGTCTACAGACAAAGCCTATCACACCCACTGATAAGTCAGATACCCTGCAAAAAGAACCACCTCTCATAACTATCACGAAGACCCCGAGTACGCACTCTCCCCTCAGTCTCGTCAATGTGTCCTCCACCATGATTGAGCCAACCTTTGTATACCCCTCTGGTGCTTCTCAATCTACCGAACCCAAGGCAGCAGACGGCAAAGCTCAAACTACGCCCATCGCATATGGCTTCAGACGGGAACCTCCATTCTTGAACGCTGAAAGGACGAAAGTCAACCCACGTTTTCACGGCTATTGGCAACACCTTTCAGTACCAACTCCTGCAAAGGCTTTTCAGTCGGACACACTGACGAGCTCGAGCCACGCGCGTATGAAATCGTCGCCGCAAGAAGAGACTGCTCCAGCGAAGTCTCGTGCGCGCTGCTACATCACTCAGCTACCCGGTCGAAAGTCGAAGTTTTTCGCCGACGGCAAACTCGTCGCGCGTGAGAGCACTTCCACGGCCCAGCAACCCGTGCTCGGAACTCCATCGCCTATTCATGACGATTCGCCTGGTAAAATGACCTCACCCACTCCGACTGCTTTCGAAAGGTCTTCTCGTCCACTCTTTAGAGATACGTACGCTAGGCCGCATGCGTGGAATAATTATCACAGTCCGGGTGGGCAGTCACAAAGGTCAGCAGTATCAGGTACATCCTCATTGGATACTTTTCCGCCGTCCTATGCGCCAAACGATCAGGACAGTATCCTACGGCGCTCGCCAACCCTCTACATCAGCCGCGTAAACTCCAAATCGTCTGCACAAGACAAACACAGGGCCACGATCTCCAGAGTGCTTTCACTCCTGAGAGCTGATCATAAGAAAAGTGTCTCCGATTCAGACACCGCTGACTTCGACACGGTCAGTCTTTTTTCCGAGTACGATATCATCGATCCGGTAACTACGAAGTCCACTGCGGATTCCTGGGAGGAAATTCCTGCACCACCTCAGACTAAGGTCGATTTCGAACCTATTGACGACTCTGACTGCGACGATGAAGATGGTGAGTACTACTATGAGTCTTACTTAGAGTCTCAATAGGAGGAGACGCCCACCACGCCTGCAAGTGTTTCTCGATGGTCGAGTGATAGTGCCAGCACGAGCGCAGTGGAATGGCCCACTTTGCAAGAGGCGATGAAATTGGGATATACTGGAGTTGACGAGAGTAGGAGTTCGACAAAAGGTGACGACGAGTTTAAATTCCGGGACGGTGTTACCGATTGGTTCACGTGAGGTTTCACGTTTTGTATAGTGAGTGCGTCTGCTTGATACCGAGAGTGTTGCGGCTATGACAGTGTTGGTTTGGGATGCCGTATGGGCGTGCTCGGATTATGTTGTCTCTCTTAGTCTCTAAAATCCATAGAAAAATGGCAGTATATACAACTTGTCTGACGTTACCACTCCGAATTGAGACCCTGCACTCCTCTCTTCTCAATGTCGTATCACACACATGCAAGCCTCACGCTTCTTTACATGTAACTTTCATTGATTTTATCCTAGAAATTCAACTGGGAATACACTAAACGAATCTAAACATCTCTAAACACCTCCTTCTCAAAATCCTGGCACAAGTCATCGAATGGCAGCCACTCATCCTTGTCTGACTTTGCTCCGCCCTTCTCCGCAATTGGACTCCACCACGCCTGCTCCACGCCCTGGTCATCGTGTACAACAGCAACAGGAGCAACCGGTCCCATGGCATTCGACTCGTACAATGCCCTGGTGTGATTGAAATACCACATGCGATCCCAGACCGAGACGCGGAGGGACTTGAGCCCATCCCGATGCGCATTATGGTGGATTAAGCCAGGAACGACGCTTGTCCACATGTTGGTGTAGAGGGGTACATCATTCCAAGATTTCTCGTCAGGGAACTTGGCACCTGGGGCGACAACCGCGGGTCGGAATGGCGGTTGCGAATCTGTAATGTCTTGGGCAAGGTCGTGGACGCGTACTGGCGCGATATTGAGTTCGGCAGACGCCTGCGCGATGGACTTGGGATCGCCATGTGTGACCCATGCTGAGTCTTCTTCTGCGAAAACTGTGGGATGACCGAGTAGACTGGCATAATCCAGTCCGATGCCAAACTCATCTGGCTTGCCAGCCTTGTGCTCGCGCAAGTGTCGCTCAGACTGCTGGCTGAGGATAGTCTTCCTCCCCGAGAACCAATCCCCTGTCTTTTGTAAGAAACTCTTGTGTCGTTGCCTCATGACCTCACGTTGGAACTCCTGGTCTCCGAAAATCTCACTGAAGATCTTCTGGTCACTACCGAAATTTCGGTCTTTGTCGGCCTTCTCCATGGCGCGTTCGAAGAGCGCTTTCATCGCGCCCACGCGGCCCATAGCATCTCCGGAGTTGAGATACCGTTGACGGAATTTGACATATGGGTTCTTGTCCCAGCCAATATCGGTATCTGTCTGTGGGCCATAGATATCTCCAGGCAGCGAAGACTGCGGTACAGCATAGCAAGGCGGGTCCTCTGGTTTCCAAGGCCAACAACGCTTCTGTGCGGAGAAGACGATGTTTTGGCTTATGCCTTCTGCAGCTGCGGCTCTCGAGCCCATAGTTTTCCTTATCCGCGCATTCGCCGCGTTGTTGATAGCGTGGAAGCGTGAGATCAATGCGCTGGGTCGCAGTTGAAACCAGATGTCGTATCCGTCCACCAGCAGCAACAGATCGTCATCACGTTCCGGCCCAAGTTTGCGCAAGTATTCGAGCACACCACTAATCTTGGCTATATGTGAACCTCCAGCTACTAGCGATTTATCGTCAAATGTGGCGCCCCAGTTGATCAGCGTAGGAGTTGGATATCCAACAACTGCGGCGCTGAGCATTGTCTTGCAAAGATTGACATCTTTGTGGTCTGCCGGGATGAGGACGTGGAGGATGGAGGAGTGTTTCGCCTTGTTCTTGCTGCCGGATGAGAAAGCAGTAGGAACAAGATGGCGGTCGCTGTTGAAGGCAGAAAGGAAAACAATAACAAGTATGAAAGATGCTGCAAAAAGTGTCCAACGCCGGCGACTCCAGCCCGGTAGGCGTGCGACCGCGTCGTTCGAGAGTTGCTTGTACCCGCGCATCATTCACAAGATGGTGCGGACACGGCGGGACTGTGAAGCTCACGTTGCGAAAAAACGGTTGCGACAGCGCCGTAGTTGGCAGTGCATTTGCACCCGACCGAGCGCATGATCCATGCTGATAATGAGCTGTCAGCGATATCAGTTCGCCTTTGGTGCCTTGCTAGTATCTAAACTTACACTCGAGCTAGTCGGATATCATAGCCGTGCGGCGTCAACTCCGGGAAGTGGCGGATGGGCGTGCAGTAGTGGGTCTACTCGCCGGCACCATCCGGAAGAGGTGTGCCGAGATGTCACTAATCTTTTTTGTGGCTTGGACCATATGCTCGGTAAACTGCCGTGCGTGACTGCCACAACAGGGGCGGCGTGGCTATGTGAACAGGAGCGAAATTAGGCATTAAGACTTGTGCGTTCAATCCTTGGTGCGTGGTGGATGAGAGATTCTATACGTGTTTGTACAGCTGGTGTGAGATATGATATTGATATTAAGATATAGTAAGTCCAACGCTTGATGCTTCGCGATCAATGGTATATAGTCTCCGTAAATGTGACTTCCTCGGTTTCTGCCTCTCCGCTATACAGCGCAGGCTCATGCGACTCGCAAAGAGACTTCCACGACAGCGATTCCCCCTGGTCACTCCAAGCCCCTGATTTCTCTTCTAGCTCGCCTACTTTTCTATCGTATGGCATGTTTTTGGTCCACCGAACCCCATTGATAGGATCTGACCCAATCTTCTCGTCGTTCATTTGAGATGCTGCACGTTGAAGACGCTCGGCCTCTCCAAAATACCACATGCGGGGCCACCAAGTATCTCGAAATGACTTGTCGCCTGTGAAGTGCAGCACTGGGAAAGCCTGACCAGTAACCGTGTTGAAGCCCAAAGACACATCCCGCCATGAAGTCTGCTTCAGCGATGTATCATCTGAAACAGCAGCAAATGGCTTCCTTGATTGCAGCACATCTTCCTGCAGATCGATCCGGTACGGCTCCACGGATTTCGATGATGAAGGAAGCGAGGATCGGTTTGTCGTCATCCAAGCAATGTAGTTCCTGTATCCCGCAGCTGTCTGGAACAGGCTTGATCGATAGTCCAGCCCAATGTGATATTCAGTCACTTCGCCTTCCTTGAGTGTTGGTAGGTCGATTTCCTGAACCCCTTCGGGCATCCCGTAGGGCTTATCTCCATGCGATAGTATGCGCGCATACTCTTGGTCGCCCCATACGTCTGCGAAGTACTTCTGATCGGAATTGCGCAGCACGTCTTCGAGATCATACGTTTGCTTGATCTTTTCTTGAGTTGCACGGAACATCTCGCGCATGTCAGCAGCGGGCCCAATGATAGTGCCTGAGTTCAGCCAGCGCGGTCTTGCGTGATTCATATCACCCCAACCATCAGTGTAAGGGCCAAAAGCGTTGGGGTGAAGAGGTGAGTCAGGAACGACCCAACACGCTAAGCGGGTAACATCTTCGGGCCAGCATACTTTGTCAGGGCCGAAAAGGATGCTGTTGTATATGTTGTGTTTCCGTACATGACTTTTGCCGTACCGGTTGACCAGCCGTTCATTGGCAGCCGCCGTTTCTTCGAAATAACGTTTCAACAAGACATCAGGACCAAGCTGAAACGTAACATCGAAGCCATCCACCAGTAGGACTATGTCTGTATCTTGTGTGGGGGACAGACTCTCGAGGTAGCGAAGAGGCCCCGCGATTTTCGCAAGGTGAGTTTCTGCAGCATTGAAGGCACCCGCTCCAGCCCAGTCGATGAGAACTGGAGGTGGGTACAAGAGAACCGACGCGGAGAGAAGAAGGCGGCACAAATCGAGGCCACTGCTCGTCGCTACAATTAACAAGTGAAGACGCGATTCTTGGATGTTCGCCGTGAGTGGATCTTGTATCGCGGCTTGCCGTATGGTGTTGAAGGATTCGAGATGTAGTGCAGTCCAGAAAACTACCAGGGTCGCAAAAACCAGGGTTCCGAAGACAAGAGTCCTAGGACGAAGCATGGCGCAGGTGTATTGAGCCACAGCCGTCCGAAGTCGATTATGATATGATCAGTGGTAATAGAGCGCTAATTTCAGGCCGGCCATAGCCCAGCAAAGCTCTCGTTTGGCATTGATACCGTGCAGCCCCGTGGCGAGGCAGACTTCGGGAGTGTGGCGTCACCTATGGCAATCTCGCACGGTGAGCTGCATGATTGGCATAAATGGCATGATTCCGGAAGAAGCTGATAGAGCGAGGCATACTACCAGGATATCGGGAAAGACGGATGCTAGTCTTACTTGGATCCAGGCTCCAAGCGATCGGTTGGACGCACGTCTGGGGTCACAGAAGAAACACATGTGCACGGACTCTGTTCTCGCTAGAGTAGCGCGTCACGCTAAAAAAGCGCGACGCCATGTGTCATTCGCTCATCCACTTGCTCTCGCCTTTGACTTGAGCTCTATACTACTGTACCACGCTCCACCTGCCAGAGCGAGCAGGATGCCCGCGCCATTCATCGGACTGACAGGCACGTCCCATAGGAAGGCTCCAAGTACGATAGTCAGACATTGCTTCAAGTTTGCGCAGATGGTCAAGGTCAACGCGCCTGCCAGCTTGTTCGTCTCGAAAGACGCGACGTTGAGGCCGAACGCGAGCAGGCCGTTGCCTGAGACTGTCAAGATCCTCTCCCTTGTCAAGTGTCCGGCATTCACAAACTCGAGAAATTCCGAGAACTCGCCAATGAGCACCGAGTACAGCAGAGATTGCACTGCAGCCAAGGGTCCCATGCGGAGGAGCAGCTCCAGAGCGGGCAGTCGCAGGCGCCCTGTCATCAAACGGTTGGTAACAACGGTCTATTTTGAGCTGTTAGCATCCTTCGCGAGAACGTGCGTAATCCTTCGGGTCTTATTCACCTTTACGGCAGCGAGGACCACACCGATGAGTGTCAGGGTGAACCCAATGGCGGTGAAGTAGTAGTCACCAAAGGTAGCCAGTCCGACGCCTAGCATTACCGGTACGATTGACAGATACGTGATCAGTGCATATCTTCGGGAGAAAATAACACGGTATATCAGAATGGTAAAGAGCGGGCATGTCGCTCGCATGATTTGATGGAAGGGAACAGAAACCATGGCTCTTTGGGTGGTCATTAGCGCATGAATACGGGTACATGTGAGGTAAAGACACTTACAACGACAGATTCGACATTGCAATGTTCAGCGTGAACAATAGCGAGAACATGAAATGGACCAGATGCTCGCGCGGCGTCAGTCTCGTTAGCTGGAAATGCCCGAACATCAAGAAGATGGAACTTCCAAGAGCAGCACTTCCAGTGTGTACCGCTGTGAGTATCCATGGGAATGGAAACTAGATATCTCGTTAGCTCCATCGATTCGTTGCATCTGCTTCTGCCACACACCGAACCCATAACAGCTTTGTTGTAAAACGTGAGGCTTAAGTTCATTATGAAATAAGTCGCCAGGTAGATGAACGTCTTCGTCCTGCTGGCAGCCGGCTCAGTAGGACGCTGAGAAAGCACATGCTTCGCATCTTGTTGGCTTTCGAGGTCCAGTAGTGGTTCATTCTCCTTCAATTCTAGTTCAATGGGATATTGCTCGTCGCTTTCGGCCGCTTGCTTAGATACAGGCTCGGCCTGAGCCATCTCAATTTTTTCCATGACTTTGTTGTCTTTGTCGGTCGACGTAGGGAAGGAGTTGTTTACTGCCTCGCAATGGGATGTTTTGGCGGTCTAAGGGGTGTTCGGATTTAGGTGGCTGAACCGGTGTCTGATCCGACAAGTATTAGTTGAAAGAGAATATAGCGTCACTGTGGCTAGGGCCAACAAAGTCTCTTGGTGTCTGATCCTCAACGACAACCGGAAAATGCTGCGGTTGGCCGATACCTTAGCCCCTTCGCATGCCTGTCTGCCCAGGACCCGCTGAAAACGGTGTGTGCCGTGTCACACGATAGATCCGGGTAAGATGTGGCGGTCGGGGACCGGAGTCAATACTGCGTCTCAGGCAAGGGCAAATAGGGTGTAGTGGCTGCACGTGTGCGTTGGTCCTCTGAAACTGTGCTTACCATTGACTGCGCCATGGAGTCCAGCTAAGCCATAGTTTAGGCACAGTGGCTTCATCCGCTGTGACTGTGCGTTGCCGGGTTCCGATGTTAGCTGTATGAGAACAGTCTATCTTGGTTAGTGTCACATGGCACTCGGCTCCTCTACGCGGTCTCTGGGGCGAAGTGAAAAACTGCGTAAGTCGGGGCGGAGCTTGAAGTCCTGCGATGAAACTAACTGAGAAGCTACGGCCATAGCCATAGTAACCAAAATGCAGAATCATTGTCAAGCCTCGCCGAGTGGTGGAGTTCTCGTGCTAACGATTACATCACAGAGATAACAAGCGACGTTACTAAAAAGGCCCGGGCTGGCTTGGCAGGCACCCCATCAATTGATGCTTGTGGCGTCCCCGGTACTTCCGTCACGCTAGCGGTCATCTCCCAACCAAGCGTTTCCTAACCGTCCGATACGTTCAGGCCCATCCTCGGCACCAGTAGTTGCCAAAATGAGATCGTGTAAACGATAATAGAAGATGCCGATAGCCGTCCAGGCGACCATGAGTATCTTCGGCCGCTCGGTCCGTGACCATGGCTAGTGGATACTTCATCCAATATCTCGATAGCCTTGTGTACCTATACGTATCCAGCTCACTTCCACAGCGACTTCTTTGTCACTGTCCCGCTCGACTATCAGATATTTCATTTTACACTCGTTTTTGTAAACCTTCACATACTCCTTATGTCTAGTCACACACGGCAAGATGCGCCAACCCCGGCTCCCTCGTACCGCTCCACCCATGAGTCCAAATTGTTCGGACGCATAACCAAGATATGTTGTATCGGGGCAGGATACGTGGGAGGACCGACTTCGGCAGTCATGGCGAACGCCAACCCTGACATTCAAGTGACGGTGGTCGATTATGACAGCAAGCGCATTGCCGCATGGCAATCTGAAGAACTTCCCATTTACGAACCTGGCCTCATGGAAGTGGTTAAGCCAGCGCGTGACGGCATACCCAACAAACGAACGCCAAACCTCTTTTTCTCCACAGATGTCGACCGTGGCATCGCCGAAGCCGAACTCATCTTATTGAGCGTCAACACTCCCACCAAGACATTGGGTCAGGGTGCAGGACATGCGAGCGAACTTTCGTATTTGGAGTCTGCTGTGCGAAAGATCGGTGCTGTTGCTACAGACAACAAGATCATCGTAGAAAAGAGCACGGTGCCATGCCGAGCGGCAGACACGCTGCGAGATGTTCTAAAAGCAACGAGTCGACCTGGCGTCGAGTTTGAGATCTTATCAAACCCTGAGTTCTTGGCCGAAGGAACCGCCATTCAAAATCTCTCGAACCCTGATCGCGTTCTTATCGGCTCTCTCAAGACTCCCCACGGGTTGGCGGCTGCACGAGCTCTTTCCCAAATTTACTCAGCCTGGGTCAACCCAGATCGCATCATCACGATCAACTTGTTCAGCTCCGAACTAGCTAAGCTGGCTGCAAATGCACTGCTCGCTCAGCGGATCAGCAGTGTCAATGCGCTGGGTGCCATGTGTGAGGCAGTAGGCGCCGACATCGATGAGGTGTCCTATGCCGTTGGTTTGGATAAGCGCATCGGGTCTCGAATGCTTAAGGCATCGGTTGGCTTTGGTGGCTCCTGCTTCCGCAAAGACATCTTGTCCCTTGCATACATCGCCGAGTCCCTGAACCTGTTTGAGGTCGCCGCTTACTGGCGATCAGTAGTCGACATAAACGAGTACCAGAAGGACCGATTTACCCGCCGCATAGTGCGATGCTTGTACAACTCACTTTCTAACAAAACGCTTGCTATTCTTGGCTTTGCCTACAAGAAGGACACAGGAGACACTCGCGAGTCAGCAGCTATCACAGTCGTCAACAACCTACTTGCTGAAGGTGCCAACGTCAGGATCTACGACCCACAGGTCAAGGAATCGCAAATACTGCACGATATCGAGAGCAGCAACCCACATCCACAGGGTATCAAAGGCAGACTCACGGTCTGTTCGTCGACTTATGACGCATGTACCGATGCCGACGCCGTGGTCATATTGACAGAGTGGGACGAGTTCAGCAACAAGCAGCCTACGAGAAGCCCCGGACACGCTCGCGGCGATTCCGTACACAACGGTCCTGTGGAAATGATGCGCAAGGAGATATCGTGGAAGCGTATTTCGCAGGTCATGCGTCGTCCAATGTACGTCTTTGATGGACGTAACGTTGTCGATCCTGTGCCTCTGGAGGCACTAGGCTTCCGATACGAAGGTGTTGGTAAATCGAGGGAGTCGTAATCGGTCTGAATGTTTTAATGTCGAGATATCCAATTTGCTTATGTATTTAATGAGGTATAGAGTCAGTACCCAGTTTTGGCGTTGGTCAACCGCTGTCGCAGCAATAGACGATAGGATTACAGCTCTAGTGATCAGCTTGCTATTTCGATAAAAGATCTTCAAGATGTTAACTTTCCCGTGAAATAAGTTCGTTGGCCCTTGGGCTGTAAGTGATCTGATCATGCCGCCAACGTACTTGGTGATGGAAGGGTTTGCACGTGTGAAATATTGCCCCGCCTGCGTTGTGTTTTGGGTTAGCCCTGTAGGCGGAGGCGCCACCCGCACCGGCAGGCGCCTTCCAATCCAACACGCTTCGCACTCCTTCAATCCCGCTCCATATACATTATAGTAGTAGCACAAAAACATTATATTCGTCCTCGAATGCAAATATGAATTCAATCTCGGGATTCGATATGCTCACTTTGAATTTGGCTCTTGCCTCAGGGCGCATCGCGCAGGTTTCGTGGCGCTTCTGCTGTACGCGCCTTCAGCGAATGACTTTTGCAGCAACCCATGTCGATGCATCACAAGTCGTTACAGCCTTGCTGCGCCGCACTCCTGCATAAATCAAGTCGCGCCCGTTCGAAGGCCTCGCGATGGATTCCTCGTCGTTGGGTGCTCTTACTTAGAATCTTTGTCTTCAGTTAGTCCTCCTGTCTTACCCGCAACGCCATGGCGGAATTCGCAGCTGTTGGTGTCGCTGCCAGCATAATCCAGGTTATCGACATCAGCGTTAGGGTGATTAAGCGTCTCAACGAATATCGCAAGAAAGGGGACAGTCTCCCGGACGCCTTCAAACATGTCAGCACACGGTTACCGATATTCGTTCTTGCACTGAGAACAACCAACACGAAGATCGAAGACATGACAGATGACGCAAGGAGGGCAATGAAGCCAGCAATAGAAGAATGCTTCAGTCAGATCAGGAACTTGGAGACGATCATCGATAAGGTCTTGTTCAAACCGGGTGATAGAGGGACTACGCGAGGATGGAAATCCGTCGTGAGTGTGAGATACGACGGCGACGTGAAGGAACTGGACAAAGTCATCCGAAGATACATGGAGGCAATGCATTATGGGCTTTCGAGCGCGACACAACATCTGGAGAGTACGTCTGTAATACTTTCAAGCTTCATCGCAAAAACTTGACTAATGTTTGCGTCGTAGACAAGAAGGTTCCGCCGAAACCAATGAGTACATGCCCATTCGAACGAGAAGCAGACTTCGTAGAGCGTGATGTGATCGGCGATGTCATTCTACGGTGTCAACCTGGCTCAAGGTTGGCTTTGGTAGGCATTGGCGGCGCTGGGTACGTGCCCCGATTATCGCGGCTGGTGATCAGCCGGCGAAATGGTACTCTAATACTGCTCGCTTACTTACCATTGTTGCAGTAAGTCTCGGATAGCTATTGAGTACAGTTATCGCATACGACAAGCCTCGCCAGATACCTGGGTATTTTGGGTAACGTTCGATACGCCAAATGCTGTCGCTCAAGACTTCCGCAAAATAGCGAAGGCAGTCGGTCTTCCAGGTTGGGACGAAAAAGCGGCAGATATCTTTGGCATGGTCCGAGATTGGCTCCGAGATGAGTCCAATGGACCGTGGACGATGATTCTGGACAACGTTGACTCTGTTGACGTTCTCACTACACCCACACCGAAAGCCGCATCCAGTATCAGTATGGACGACGTTGCAGTCATGCCGGAAATCCGAGATTTTATAGTCACTTCGGCCAGAGGATCCGTCCTGGTTACATCGAGGAATGCCGAGGCTGCACAGATGGTTACGGGTAATTGCGCCTACCACATTGACATAGAAGAGATGAACGAGAACGAGGCAATCACCCTACTCAGGAGAAAGCTCAGTAGTAAGGTTATCCATACTGAGGCCGAAGCTGCTGAGCTAGTTAAGACGGTCGACTTTATGCCATTAGCCATATCTCAAATCGCGACAAACATCAGCATGAACTATCCGAGGCTTACGGTTTCGAAAGCGACTGAGAAGATCCGCACACCAAGTGAGGAGACGGCGCAGTTATTGGAGACAAGTGCTCACGAAACGAGTCGCAACGCACGTAGGACGAATTCGATCGTCAAAACTTGGCACCTATCCTTCCAGTACGTTAGCAGGGCACACCCTTCAGCTGCAAGGCTTCTTTCGCTGATGTGTTTGTTCGATCGACAGGGCATTCCGGAGACGCTTCTCACCGGTCAATATGGCGAGGAAGTCATAGCCGCAGCCACCCCACTTCAGCCCCACCTCAGTTGGTGGAAGCGAATCAGACAACAGCGGTCGCATCTCATACGGCGCAGACGTGCGACTGAGAAAAGGGCAACGGGCACTGTAACATCCAATGCTCCTTCCTTTGAGGAAGACTGGAAAGTCCTCACGAATTTCGCACTCATCAAAACGAACTTGGATGGATGTCACTTTAACATGCATCGGCTAGTGCAATACACTACCAGAAGGTGGCTGGACATCAACAGACAACTGCGAGCCTGGACGCAGAGATTTATCACCATCATCAGAGACCGCTTCCCGAATCCTGAACATGAAAATTGGAAGATCTGCCAATATCTTTTCCCACATGCCCAACAAGCCGCCGGATATCGCCCAGACAATAAGACAGTGCTTCTGATGTGGGGGCCGCTCATCCAGATGGTATCACGATTCGCCTACATCATGGGAGACTACACGGCAGCGGAAGACTTGGGTCGCAAGGCACTAGCCGCACTCAAAGAAGTTCAAGGACCGCATGGAGAAGACGTCCTTCGCGGATTCCATCAACTAGGCCTTGTGCTCAGCATCTTCAAGCGACACAACGAAGCAGAGGAGATGTTCCGAAAAGCGAATGACGGAAGACTAGCTTTGCTGGGTCCAGACCATCTAGATACCCTAGACAGTGCGAACAATCTGGGGTCTCGATTGAACATGCAGAAGAAGTATGAAGAAGGAGAGGCCTTCCATATGCGGACAATTGAGGGATACGAGCGGGTTTATGGACCTAACAGTACAGAAACTCAGTCACTCATGGCCAGGCTTGCGCTCGCGTATATCAACAATGGGCGTTACGAACAGGCAACGGCGCTTCATCGAAGAGTTCACGGCATTCAAGAAGAAGAGTACGGCAAAGGAACTCACGATACCTGTCATAGCCTACGCGCCTTGGGTGTTCTACTCAGCATGCAAGGTAAAGCAGCTGAGGCTGAAAACATACATCGTCAAGTTGTGCGTTTCCGATCAGAGAAGCTGGGCCCCGACCACTACGAAACGATTACGAGCGTTAACTTTTTGTGCGAAGCGCTCGTCAAGCAAGGCAAGCTGGATGAGGCTGTGGCGCAATGGCGTGACGTTGTTGAAATCTATACCGACCTCGATAAAAAGGCACGACAAGAAGCGTTGCAGAGCATGAACAGCCTCGCCGAGACGCTCCTTCAACAGGGTCGACTTGAAGAAGCAGAGACAGTCTGTCGTCACCTTATTACAGAGAGCGAGAAGCTCCTAGGAGCAAATGATGTCGAGACGCTGGTTGCCGTTCATACACTTGCAGACGTCCTCAAGAAACAAAAGCGATACAAGGAGGCTCTGCCGTTGTACGCGCACGCTCATGTCGGCACTGAGAAACGTTGTGGCGTCGATCACCCTGATACAAAAGAGTTTCTGGAGGATTTAAATCACATGAAGAGCATTCTGTTCGTGTAGCGGGTCAAGCACATGTGGCTTTTCTGCGCCGCTCAGCCCTGGAACTCATTGACCATTGCTCCGTGTGCAACGTTTATCGCGCATCTTTCTTCACCTCATTGTCTCATCATGATCTGCTTGCATGTTACGTGCATTGCGTACTTGCAGTTGTACAGGTCGTACGAAATTCCAGTCGTAATACATTATTCTGTTACCAATAGCTATTTCTTGTGGTTGTTTAATCTGTGTGAAGAGAATCTAACGAGAACGTTATATCCATCCTTCGATTACACAGTCTTCTCGCAGTTCTCGCAGGCTCTTCATATCTGAGGGCAGTGAAATTCTGTATTGGAATAGACGTAGTTGTGAGAGCAGTGACGTAAGTCGAAGTGAATGTGACTTCAATTGAGAAAAGGTCCCACCGTAAAAGCGGATCAAGAACCCATGGACCGACCGTGGACCTGAACTGAGCGCACCTGTTCCCACGTTTTGGATTATAACAATAACACTACCAAGCGCCGGAAAAGACATCGTCGCAACCACACTGCTCTCAAGTTCGAATACCAGAATTCCCTTCGCAACTTCGGCGCTTTACGTTCATCAAGCCTACATCTACCTCAGTCGCGAGACCCCACAGGCTTATGGCGACACCGCCACAAAAGGTCGAGCCCAAAGTCTCCGCACTCTTGTTGCCGTACGAGATCGAGCTCTACAAGCGCTGGCGCCAGTCCACCTTTAATATCGCGATCGAAGACGATGACGACATCCTCCTGCCCACTGCATTTGAGCACATGGATTTCGTAGAGTGGCGCGCCAGACAATGCGCAAAGCTCGATGGGACTTCAGAAGCGGAGAGAAAGTCGCCAGATCCAACATTCGCGGGATACATACTGGCGGAGCGATGTGGACACCCGCTACACCTCGGGGATCCACGTCCAGATGCTCAACGGCAACAGAAGAATGTAGAAGAGGAAGAAGGCGAGGAGCATGAAGATATCGCATGGTGTTCGATGTGCGTATTGCATATTCATCTCAAAGTGCTTGCCGAGCTCTGGGCCAAGTGGCTAGACTCTGGCGGCCCATGGCGCGTCTTGCGTCCCGGCTCCACAGTGGAGGGCTTCCGGACTAGCAAGCGAGCGTACTATAAGCGGAAGACCGACTTGATCAACGATGTCGATAACTTGGAGGATATCGCGCGTTTGGAAGCTGCTTGGAAAGCTGCGCATCCTGCTGCGGACATTGAGGTCGTGCGTCCCTACAGCGCTAGAACGGCAGTGGATGTATACGCGAAGGGTATTCAATTTCCTGCACGCTTAACAAACGCTGATGAAAGTGCTCCACGAACTCTAGCATCTAAGAGCAAGAAGAAGCGCCTTTCGTATTCCCCAGATACACCAGAGGATACTCGTCATCGCTCAAGTGCCTTTTTTTCTCGAAAGTGCATGGCCTATGATGCAAATTCCCAGTATCGTTGTCCCGACGATGAAGGATGGGCCGAAACCTCGTTCATGAGCAGCTGGGAGTACAGCGTACGACAGTGTCGCACACTGCTTTGCGATAAAGACCCTTCCCAACAAGACCCTTCCCAACCGAATGTAATCTATCGCGAACTCACCGATGAAGATTCCAAGGACAACCTCATCAAGGGTATCGAAGAATGGTTGAGCAAAATGGAGGATGACTGGAAGCAGCCCTGGATCAATTCATTGCTTACCACAACCGACATGTTCATTGTCTGGAACGACCCGTCCTTCGATGATGCATGCGACAACGAGTTCAACAGTTGGGACAGGGTCGAAACACTTGTGGGAACCAGCTTGGAGACCCATGCACGACAGATTCGTGATATCATAGAGGAAGACTTAGAAACAGAGCAGGGCCAGTCGAGCGCCGATGCTCAACCACTCGAAGGAGAAGACGTTGAAGACTTTTTCGACCAAGACCCTCTCGCATCCGAGTCTGACGAGGAGTCCCAACTTTCTGATCTTATGGATTTAGAACACGAAGAGACCGACGTGGACGTTGAAATTGCTGGCCAAGAACATGAATTCAGTCACGCGACATCGGAGGAAGCCGCTGGAAGTCGAGATTGCCTGCTTGACTAGGTATCTGAAGATCAGGGCTGAGTTCCAACAGCAGAGAGCGATATTGGGATGTGCAAAATTTGTTCTCCATATGACTTGTAAAGAGTATGCGGGATTGTTTGTATCAAGTACCAAACCCAGGTATAAACGCCCAAAGAGAGATGAATGAGCCAGCAAAGCGAACCCACTATTTACATGACGATGCAGCACGAGTTTTGCTTCTTGGCCTGGTACATGAGTTAGTTAGTGGCTGGGTTGTTCCGTACATAGCTACAACATACCTGTGTATAGAACATCTTACTCTGTGCGCTCAACCCGTCACTCTTCTGCACCAAGTTGTCGATCTTCTCGCCTCGCTCTAGAACACTCTCGATGGTCTTGTGCAAGACGATCTTGGTCTCGTCTAGCTCCTTCTGGATCTTCATGATACTGTCCGCCTGCTGTGGGTCCTGGTACTTTTGGATGTAATCCTTTAGCTCAGGGAACGACATCTGCGGGCTGTCCTTGGTGGCGGACGAATAGGCGGACTTGGGGTATTTAGATACGAATTCGTCGAGGACTTTGGAGAGCAGCTGATGTGCGACGAGCTTAGGGTATTCGAAATCGGTGATTATGATGCCGCAAACGCCTTCCGAGCGTCCGTATGCGTGGAAGATGTAGTCTGCGCGTGCTGTTAGGCGAGTAGAGGTTGCGCGTATCAGATGGCATACCTTTCTCCTCCACATCTTGTCTTTGCCCAGGCTTTGTCCGTTCGGCAACCTGTCCCGCAAAGAACGACATCTAGGCACCCTATCAGCTCGACTGTCTTTCCCACCCTGTTATCGTCCTAGGCGATCTGCTTGGCCTGGGATATTATCGTCACGTACGAACTCGCTGATGCTTCCTCGTGTGAATCGGCCGTAAGAGCTGAGCTCGCGCTCACACGTCAACTCCACCGTGGGTTTCGTCTCATTCTTCCAAACCTGCATGTGATGTGTGTTAGCAACCTGTGGCGGTGTCATGAAGGCGGTGAGAGAGTACTTACGCCGATATAGACGACCTTCATGCTGGCGATTTGATGCAAAGGGTGTGGGTATATGTGCGTGTAGAGAGAGAGACAGAAGTGAGCGCAGTAGGTATGGGCCTTGTGACTATCCGGTCTCGAAAGAGGTGCCTGCGACAGGCCCGTGGTAGCGCATCATGCGTCAGTCCCGCCAGCGAGCGCGCTCTTGATTATGTCATGAAGCTAATGCGCGGGGGCGGGGCAAGTCCGGCCGAATGCAGGACACTCACCCATCATTGATTCTGCCAAGCCTGACGCAGAGGCAATCACGCTCTCCATCGTGAAGAGCGGGTAAGGAGCGTGCATCTATCACATCGATCCCCAACATTCAGACAAGCTGCGATAATGTCGCCCGCCGTCGAAGACGCCCAGGCGCAATGGCTCGAGCAGCTCGACACCATGCGCAAAGCCATCGCCGAACTCAATCTCCCTGCTGACACCGAAAAGGCGCCCGCCTACGGAGACGACCTCGAGTTCGATGATGATGATTTCTCAGGAACTGTCAGCGGCGAAGACATCTGGGACATCATCAGCGACGAGTATGAAGAAGAGTTCAGCAGTGACCACCTGGACCAATTTCCCGACGGTCAAGTCGGTGGCGAGGCTTATAGCCAGCAATGGCTCGCAGAGAAATGCTCTTCAGTAGCTCAAAGCGGTTTCGGTCTGGATTCTGGAGCGTTGAAGGAGCAGATCACTGCAATTCTGTCCAGTGACAGTAATGGTGAGGCTTCATGCCAATAGTCGATATCTGCAGCATGCTGACTGTGAATAGACGAAGAGCTACAGATGATGCTCGCAGATATCGTTGGGTACGGGGAGCTGGATCTTGTAGCCGAGCTTATATCCCATCGCAAGGACATCATGCGATCCTTGCATGAGCCTACTCCCGCTCAAAGCAACGGTACCATGGGCCGTTTACAAACACGCGCTGAACGCGAAGAAGCGTTGCGCCGAGCGGACTGGGAGCATAAGACCGCCACTCTGGCACCTTCTATGGACCGAACAGGTCCCCAATATCCTCACGTTTATCGCACGCACGAAGCTGGCAACAAGCTCTCGGCTTATGGCAAAAAGTACGCACTACCTCCAGATACTGAGCATCGCGACAACAACCTTTACGAAGAATATGAGATCCCTGCAGTCCCGGTAGGTACTGTTGGCGTCGGCCGAAGGCTACTCGAGATCCAAGAACTGGACGGCCTCTGTCAGCGCACCTTCAAAGGCTACAAGTCCCTTAATCGCATGCAGAGTCTGGTGTACCCAGTCGCCTACAAAACCAGTGAGAACATGCTGATCTGCGCGCCTACTGGTGCGGGTAAAACAGATGCTGCCATGCTTACGATTCTCAACACTGTCGCCAAAAATGTTGTGCCGAACCCAATCGACGAGCCTGAGGCGACCGACTTTACAGTTATGATGGAAGACTTCAAGATCATCTATGTCGCACCAATGAAGGCGCTCGCTGCTGAGGTCACAGACAAGCTTGGAAAGCGCCTAGCGTGGTTGGGTATCAAGGCTCGCGAACTGACTGGTGACATGCATCTTACCAAAGCCGAAATTTTGGACACCCAGATCATAGTCACTACGCCAGAAAAGTGGGATGTGGTAACGAGGAAAAGCACTGGAGACACCGAGCTGGTACAGAAAGTACGTCTGCTCATCATCGATGAGGTTCACATGCTTCATGACGAGCGCGGCGCTGTTTTGGAAAGCTTGGTAGCGCGCACTCAGCGACAGGTTGAGAGTACACAATCACTCATCCGGATCGTTGGTCTATCGGCGACCCTACCCAACTATGTCGACGTAGCTGACTTTCTTCGAGTGAACAAGATGGCTGGTCTATTCTACTTTGACGCTTCATTCCGTCCTGTACCTTTGGAGCAGCACTTCATCGGCGCCAAAGGCAAGCCAGGCTCTGCAAAGTCACGTGAGAACGTGGAGCGAGTGGCTTTTGACAAGGTCGTCGAGATGCTCAAGCGGGGCCACCAGATCATGGTCTTTGTGCATTCGAGAAAAGACACGGTCAAAACAGCTAGGCGTTTATACGACATGGCTATGGAAGAACAGTGCACCGATCTATTCGATCCGCAAGATCATCCTCGGTATGAGAATGCTGTACGCGATATGAAGCAGTCAAAGGGCCGAGAATTACGCGAGCTGCTCGGAAAAGGCATGGGTACTCACCATGCTGGCATGCCTCGCTCTGACAGAAACCTGATCGAGCGCCTGTTCGCTGAGGGCGTTTTGAGGGTGCTCTGCTGTACAGCGACATTGGCTTGGGGAGTCAATTTACCCGCGGCAGCCGTCCTCATCAAGGGCACCCAAGTCTACAATGCACAAGAAGGTAAATTCACCGACCTGGGTATCTTGGACGTTTTGCAGATTTTCGGTCGTGCCGGTCGACCCCAATTTCAGGATACGGGTATCGGCTTCATCTGCACGACGCATGACAGGCTCGATCATTACATGCGCGCCGTGACTGAGCAACAGCCTATCGAGTCCAGATTTTCCGCAAAGCTTATAGACAACCTCAATGCCGAGATCTCGCTTGGTACAGTAACGACGGTATCTGAAGCTGTGACATGGCTTGGATACTCGTACCTCTTCGTACGGATGCAAAAAAGCCCGCTGATGTACGGTATCGAATGGTCTGAAATCCGTGACGATCCACAACTAGTGGGAAGACGTCGCAAGCTCATTATCGACGCCGCACGAATCCTGCAGAGGAGTCAAATGATAATCTTCAACGAGACGACAGAAGACCTTCGAGCAAAAGATGTCGGGCGCATTGCGAGTCAATATTACGTCCAACAATCGAGTATAGAGATCTTCAACACTATGATGCGACCTCGTAGTACAGACGCGGATGCTCTAGCTATGGTCAGCATGAGCGGTGAGTTTGACCAAGTGCAATCACGCGAATCCGAGGAGAAAGAGCTTTCAGCACTCAAAGAAGAAGGGCATGTGATCACACAAGTCAAGGATGGATATGCTACTTCTCATGGAAAGACAAACTATCTTCTCCAAGCTCACATCTCACGAGCACGCCTAGAAGATTTCACTCTGGTTTCAGACACGAATTATGTGACCCAGAATGCCGCACGTATCGCGCGTGCGCTGTTCATGATTGCGCTTAATAGGCGCTGGGGTTATCAGTGTCAGGTACTTTTAAGTCTTTGCCAGTCTATCGAACATCGATGCTGGTCTTTCCAACACCCACTACATCAATATGATCTACCGCAGCCAGTCTTGCGCGCGCTCGACCACAAGTATCCGTCGATACAAACCCTGCGCGAAATGGATACAACAGAGATCGGAGATCTGGTACATAACAAAAAGATGGGTGGCGTCATCTCAAAGCTTATGAACAACTTCCCGACCTTGAGCATTGAATCTGAGATCGCTCCACTCAACAGAGATGTGCTCCGCATACAGCTATTTCTCACACCCGATTTTGTCTGGAATGATCGTCACCATGGTACTTCCGAATCATTCTGGATCTGGGTCGAGAACTCGGAAACATCCGAGATCTACCATCACGAGTTTTTTATTCTGTCACGCAGGAAGCTCTACGATGACCACGAGTTGAACTTTACTATCCCGCTCTCTGATCCTCTGCCTACACAAGTATACGTTCGCGCCTTGTCTGATCGCTGGCTAGGCGCTGAGACGGTCCATCCTATATCCTTCCAGCATCTCATTCGGCCGGACACAGAGAGCGTTTATACCGACCTGCTAAATCTTCAACCTTTGCCGATCGCTGCTTTGAAAAACCCACTGTTGGAAGAAGTGTATGCGCAGCGCTTCCAGTACTTCAACCCTATGCAATCACAGATCTTCCATTGCCTGTATCACACACCTGCCAACGTCTTACTTGGGTCGCCGACGGGTAGTGGCAAGACCGTTGCTGCCGAGCTCGCAATGTGGTGGGCATTCCGTGAGAAACCTGGCTCGAAGGTTGTGTACATTGCGCCTATGAAGGCACTTGTACGCGAGCGAGTCCAGGATTGGGGCAAGCGCCTTGCTGGCCCAATGGGCCTAAAGCTTGTTGAGCTAACTGGTGACAACACTCCGGACACACGCACAATTCGTGATGCCGATATTATCATTACGACCCCTGAGAAGTGGGACGGTATCAGTCGTAGCTGGCAGACTCGTGGATACGTTCGTCAAGTCAGTCTGGTCATCATCGACGAAATTCACTTACTGGGTGGTGACCGTGGTCCAATTCTGGAGATCATTGTTTCTCGTATGAACTATATCGCATCGCAGAAGAAAGACGGCTCCATTCGTCTGCTTGGCATGTCAACTGCGTGCGCTAATGCGTCTGATCTTGGAAACTGGCTCGGTGTCAAAGAGGGCTTGTTCAACTTCCGCCACTCTGTGCGTCCGGTACCGCTTGAAATCTTCATCGATGGCTTTCCAGAGCAGCGGGGCTTCTGTCCGCTGATGCAATCGATGAACCGGCCTACATTCCTTGCGATCAAGGCTCATTCACCGGAAAAGCCAGTTATCGTTTTCGTGGCCTCGCGCCGACAGACCCGTTTGACGGCTCGCGATCTAATCAACTTTTGCGGCATGGAAGATAATCCGAGGCGCTTCCTACACATGTCTGAGGACGATTTGGCACTCAATCTCGACCGAGTCAAGGATGATTCACTGCGTGAGGCATTAAGTTTTGGCATAGGCTTGCATCACGCTGGTCTTGTCGAGACTGATCGGTCGCTCTCGGAAGAGCTCTTCGCAAACAACAAGATTCAAATTCTAGTCGCCACTAGTACGCTTGCATGGGGCGTGAACTTGCCAGCCCATCTTGTCGTAGTCAAGGGCACACAGTTCTTCGATGCCAAAACGGAAGGGTACAAAGACATGGACCTCACAGATGTGCTGCAGATGCTGGGACGTGCCGGACGTCCTCAGTTCGACGACTCAGGTATTGCGCGCATCTTCACGCAAGATGCAAAGAAAGAGTTTTACAAGCATTTCTTGCATACTGGATTTCCCGTCGAGTCATCCCTGCACAAGGTGCTGGACAACCATTTGGGCGCCGAAATTTCTGCAGGTACCATTGCTACAAAACAAGACGCGCTAGATTACCTGACTTGGACGTTCTTCTTCCGCCGGTTGCATAAGAACCCGTCCTTCTACGGTCTAGAGATTTCAGCAGAAGAGCATAACACGATTGCCGCGCAATCTCTGGCCAACGACTATATGGTCGAGCTGGTGGAGACCTCCCTCAGCGAACTGGACGAGTCCTCTTGCGCTATCGTTGAGCCAACAGGCGAAGTTGACCCAACGCCACTCGGCAAGATTATGAGCTACTACTACCTCAGCCACAAAACAATTCGTTACCTTGTAAAGAATGTCAAGCGCAACGCGACCTTCGCGGATGCTCTGTCATGGATCTCTCACGCCACCGAATACGATGAGCTACCTGTTCGTCATAACGAAGATCTCATCAACGCAGAGCTTTCGAAGGCCCTTCCCATTCCCGCAGATGACTTTGGTTTACCCTTGTGGGATCCACATGTCAAGTCCTTTTTGCTTTTACAAGCCCACTTCTCGCGCATTGACTTGCCAATCTCTGATTACGTCGGTGATCTGAACAGTGTGTTGGATCAGAGTATCCGTATTGTACAGGCATCAATTGATGTACTCACTGAACTGGGGTACCTCTCCTCATGCGAGACAATGATCACAATCCTCCAGGCTATTAAGTCAGCGCGCTGGCCAACTGACGGGCCATTATCAATCTTCCCGGGCGTGGAAGTTGACAGCGAGAAGAAACGTCTCGAGCATCCTAAGGCCAATCCAAAAGATCTCGTCGAGACCACCACCGTATCGCCCGCAGTACTCGAACGTGCAGCCAAGTTCGCTGGCGTCGCAAACACTGGTATCAAGCGTTTCATCGAGCCGGTATCTCGTCTGCCCGTACTAAAGCTTGACCTAGGCAATGTCAACGCACTTGCCTTGGACTTTAAAATCTCACGCCAGAACCCGGCCAAAATGCAACAAGGTGGTATACGCATTTTTGCACCACGCTACCCAAAGCCGCAGACTGAAGGCTTCTTCGCCATCATATCGTACTCTAGTACGGATGAGATCATTGCTCTGAAGCGCGTCAATTGGCCTGATCCCAGTAAGAACGGTGGCCGTGGACGGGGTGGACGGGGCTCAAGTGCGTCTGGTGGCGCACAGTCCAGGTTGCAAGCTTCGACTAAGGTCTCATTGCCCCCTGAGACGCAAGGCAAGAAGTTAGATATCAGCGTCCTTAGTGATTCATATCCAGGCATGAAGTGGAAGATCGAGGGGGTAGAGGTGCCTGAAGCACCTGTTGTAGATGCATATGGGAAAGGGAAAGAGAAGGTGTAGTAATGTAGCCATGGCAGATAATCCTCTTTAGTGTGAATTAAGATGACTGTAGAGGCATAGATAAAGTGTCTCAATGCAAAATTCAAAGAAGTGGACACTGAACTACTTCATCCTCCTCCTTGTCTATTCTATCGCAATCTGCCCCGTAATCTCTAACATCAACATGCTGCTGCCCCAAGAGCGTACGCCCTTCCTTATACGCTCTCTCGTACAAACGTCTCGCGTCCCCTCTCTTCCCAGCCTTCTCCACAACAAACCCCAACGTCCAAACGCTCTCCACCGTCGCCTGCTGTAGCCTACCCAAGAACCTTTCTCTCGTATTCAAGGTCTGCCTCGCCACCCTCTCCGCTTCCTGCACCGCGCGAGAAGTGCCCTGACATGCAAGGCTATACGCGAACTCATTAGAGATCTGCAAAACCTCTTTATGTTCTTCTGGAGATATTTCTCCGTAGCTAGCTAGCGCACGTCGAAAATATGGCTCCGCTTTTTCGTATTCGTGCTGAGCGACCAGCGCTCTCGCGAATCTGGCAAGGGTTTCGGACATTCTTTTATTGTTACGGGCAAGCGTCTGCTCTGTATACGCGAGCGCTTCTTCGAGGTACGTTGCGGCTTCCTTAGGGCGCATGTCGACGTGCAGGCTTAGACCGATAAGTGAGAGAGCATCGTACCAATCGTCGTCGTGGACATCGGGAGGTGTGTCGCGATTGCAGAAGGCTGCGTACCATCCTTCGTAAGCATCAGGGTAGTGATCTCCTCTCAGGGCCCAGAAGGCGAGCTCGTTGCAGCAGCTCTGAACGTCAAAGCCGAGAGCACCAAGTGCAGACATCACAAGTGAGGCCATGATGTTGGATTAGATGTCCCGACGCAATGTCGTGGTAAGGGAAGGATAGGTGGAACTGCGATACAATGATGCTCTGGGGATGAAGAGAAAAGAGTCATGGAGATGGATCAGGCGTGTCAGAATAATGAATTCTTGTCATTGACGATAGATGAGTGTCTTTCCGATCACTCACATGTGTGCTACCAAGTCCGCTGCTTCTCTTCACGTCCGCGCCACGCGACATCTGCCAGCCTTTATTGGTGACCTGTTTGTATGCTTTGCCTCTCTACCATCATCCCCAGACACGGTCCTTCGTGCCTCTGTCTCCTATCTTGGGTATATGTACATGATTCGTAGCGATCGCTTCGTGTGAGGCTGTCTTTGGGTGGCCGCGTAGCGGCGGGTGTATGGGGTAGATCGCTGTGGATCAGTTCAGTCGTCGCCAAAGACGATAAAGCTCGCTTCTTCCTCTATCTCAAAGTATGCGCAATCACTGTCGCCGAATTCGCTTTCGTGGTCAGAGTTGTCCTCGTCAGAGTCAACGTCTTCCCAGTCACTGTCCCCGTCATCCTCTTCAATCTCACAGATTGAGTCAAGAACTGCTTGTGACTCCTCTGCTTCGGTCTGCAAAGTAATGTCGTTTGACTCGTCTGTTGAGCCAACATGATGGATCTTTGCGTGAGAGTAGTCTTCCGAATCCTCCGAAACATCATCTCCCTCTTGTCCCCCTTCTTCAACAACCGTATATTTCCCAGGCTCGTAGCGCGGCGATCGTCTGTGGAAGTAAGGATTGGGTCGCCCGGGCTCGAAAGCGGTGTCCGGCGCAAAAACTACTGCAGCCTGTTTGTTCGATCGCGGTCGCTTCTCTAGGCAACCCGTTGTCTCTGACCAGTATAGCTCCACTGCCTTCGCTGCGGTTCGCACGTCTTCGTGCGCGACCTCTGGATGCTGCGCAGACCATGAAGCTTCTTCTTCGGCCATGAGCTCAAGTCTCGATAACTCCTTGAGTGTGCTGATCTTCCCCTTGCACCAAGCGCTGTACACGGTGTGTTGGTGTTCTGAGCTCGTGAGTGTACAAGACGGCGCGCAACCACCTGCGCTTTCGAGAGCCTCTGACAAGACATTCATGTATCTGACGTGCAGGTCGATGATACAGACGGGACATCGTGATTGTAGCTGGCCAGCTGCTACGGGGTGCATGGGATGCTGACATATCGATGCAACTGGCGATTCGAAGGAGGATGACGTTTCCGCAGAACATCCTTGGGTGATATGACCGGAGATGTCTTCAAACGGGTCTGAGAAGTATCCAGAGTCTTGTCGTTTCAACCACTGGTGGAAGTCTTCGTATTCGCGTGCTGTGGGGATGTAGCCTTGCTCAGCTGGCCTAGTATTCGTGTGCAGGCATTGCCATCGCTTGTACTGCTTCAGCTCGCGGGGCGGCATGATGACGCTTGCCGGTATCTTTGTGCAAGCCATGGTGGCGTCGTGCGTTGCGTGGTAACGGCAGGTCCGTGAACTGCACGTATGAAGCAGGACTTGTGGTGCCGTAGACGTGTCGCGGGGCGGTAGAAATTGACTGTTGTTACTGTGTATGCTAGGAGTATTCACGGTCTCGTCTGACAGATGTAGTGCGTGTCCAGGTGGTCCCTGAGTAAAGTCACGGGTGCACCACAACCACGGTTGAGCGGTTCGTTTGCGAGGAATGTGACCGCTGGTACCAGGGAAACTCTCGGTTGCGCAGGTGTCTTTTGAACGAGCCTCTGTTCGTTCACCGCTGCGACCACGGTCGTGGTGTTTGTGGACGCGTTGTGAAGGGTGAAGGGTGAAGGCGAAGAAGAGTGTTTCGGATCGCTTGGACGTCCTTTGTCACAAGTTGCGACTTGTGGGCACGACTGTCGCTGCGTTTCCGCTTGAAACGCTCTCCCTCAAATTTCGACTTCTATGCCAGGAGGCTCTAGGTGTATAGATATATTCGGAGTGGCAGTGTCGCGTTCAAACGCGGTGACCAGTGCGGACGACGTCGCCCAACTTCGCGATCTTGGGGAGATTGGAGTACCAGAAAAAGGCCATGATTCTCGGGCAGATATAATCCATTCCTGTCGCTTTGCTGGGTGGAGTGGAAATTTCGCGATGTGTCGCGCGGGTGTTGCCGTGGACTTGGGCCGGCGTCGGATGCGGATGTGGGGGAGGACGGCTGCTGTGAAGAAGAAGGCGGGGCAGACGCGTCTGCTATGAATGACTTGTTGAGGCGGCTCTCTGCTGGGCTTCACTGTCGATCGCGAGTGATATCGCGTCTTCAGTGTGGGTAGGGGAGGGGCGTATGGGTGTGAAAGGGTCAGGTTTCGCGGGCTGGGCTCGACACTATCGAATGGACGGTGCGGGCGTTTCGTCATGACCCCCTGACTCATCCACGGACCCTTTGGCTGTGCCACACTTACGCCACACGTGCGCTACACCAAATACCTTAGACTTCCGAGGTTCCCCACAAATAACGTGATCATTTGACAAGATATCACTATGGAATTCGCATACTAAACTCCCATAACGACGCTTGCGATGTTAACCACTCCTGAGTCTAGCTCAGCGGCCTCGCACCCCTCGCAATGAAGCACCGGATCTGACCCACCTCTTCGCTTGGTAGCTCAATCTCGAAGTTTCCCTGCAGCACCTCAAAGTGGAAATCGATCAACCCAGCCTCCCGCATCATCGACGCCATGTCACTCTCCTTCTGTTGTGGATGTTTCGCTTTGCCTGCCTCTTGAACAGCTTCGCTTGTAACGTAGCTGTACAGATCCTGAATGAGAAGGACGCCTCCAGGCTTCAGCCTGCGCCCTAAGAGCCGGAGAGCGTCCTTCGCAGAGGGGAAATGGTGCAGAGCTGCGCCGACTGTGATGAGGTCGAAATCGCTATACTCTTCGCTGTCGAGCGAGGAAGGCTCGGGCGGGTCTGACAGCAAGTTGCCGACCATGAATGCAATCTTTTCGCGAGTAAGGCCGAACGTATCTATGTTGTTGATGTATTTCTCAATCATGGCAGAAGATACATCGACTGCGTGTATAGAAGATACGTATGGTCCGAATATCTGATTTACGGTCAGCAAAGGACCTGCGTATCGTACGCAAGTGTACACACCTTACTCTGCAGCGAGGTACGAAGTCAGTATATGTCTCACATGCACTTCCTACAGCCAGAACTTACCAGGAACCCGGGCCCGCACGCATAGTCCAGCATGTGCACTGTCTTGCCCGTTTCTGTGCCACCAGGAAGCTTAGCCCAGTCGATGCCTACAAAGGCGGCCCTATCGACAATTGCACGAGCAATCTGTTGACGACTGGCCTTGTTGATTGGGCGCTCCTCGAACCAGTCTGACACCTGCCTGACACGCTTTTAGCTGATGCAGTACTGCAGCGTCTGCGGATGGTACAACTGACCCTGTGTCGTTCTCGTGGTGTGGAACTGACATACTGTTCAAATGTACCTTGCCTTGCGATACGATGTGATGCTGCGCCTTGCTGTGTGCTCTGCAAAGCGTAATTTATACAAGTCATATGCCACTGATTTCTTCATGAGCACCCATTGGATCTGCCCTGGTTTGCAACAAGTCTCCGGCTTCACAGTTGTCGGCGACTTTCAGGAGCATGCTCGGATACATAAAGCCCTCAATGAGGCTACACAAAAACGTCCGAATAGAAACACAGCGTATTATTGGAGCAGCGCTCCTCCTTTGTACCTGCTTCATGTCCCACATTACTTATCGTATCCGCTTTGGTGCGCAAATAATGTCGTACGTTGCTGATAGCATCCAAGTTGAAAAGGTCAGCATTGCTAGGTCGGCTCTCCGCCAGACGATCAAATCAGACATGTTGTGCACCAACCGGTGAGCCTGGTCAGTCATCGAGTCACCACACCTCGTGGAACTAAAGCCTACCATGAGCTCAGCCCGAATTACGGTTCGAGCGCGTAGCGCGAACTTCCCGAACAGCCGCAACGTCGTATATCTAGGTACGTACATCTACCTAACCCAGCCACAACGGCTCTTCAGACTAACAAGTGAGCCTTCGAATACTGGCTCCCTCGGTCAGATTCATAGAGTCGCACATCGGTTGAGTGCATGCTCCTCCACCTCCGCTGCTACAATGCGACACCAGGTTCTGGAGGTTGAGTTGCGGGGTTACCGGACACTCCCGCACGACGCTGCGATCTAGAGGAAGACCTCGCCGTCGGACCCACCACACCTGTATAACGAACGAACAATTCTGTCTCCTCCAGCTGATATATTCTCGGCTTTTCCGGGCCAAGCGAGATGGCATGGAGCATGACTGGACCCAGCAAATCACGAACCTAATATTAGTCCTGCTTTCAGCCCGACCCTAGTCCAGGGCTGAGCTTTGGCTGCTACCGAAAGCGACAACGCTGCATCTGCGACGAGGAATGCTATGTCTTCGCAATCGAAACAGATGGGAGGATGTATCATGCGATGCAGGTCTGTCGTGAGAGCAGTGCTGTACAACAGTTCTCCTGTTAGATCTTTCGGGCTATGGAGTGCTTACGGTAGACATTCAGCGGCTGAATAGCATCAAATGCTCAGCTCCATTCGCATTACTATGCAAGCGATCGAATCATAAGTAGCATCCAACGAATGGTAATGTGTTCGTTGAATGAACGCTGGATGCGGTGGTGCTGACAGCAAGCCTCACGAACCCCAATTGGTCCTTGTCATTGCTTGGTACATGCTAACTGCTGTGCTTACTGTTATGTGGTAGACACGCCCTAACCTATGTCTGGATGATTCACGACCTAGAAGCAATCAGGCGCGCTCAGGTATGCATGCTACCATGTCCTTACCCGTCAGCACTTCTCTTGCATTTCATCGGGGCGCGGCTGCATTCGGCGCCATGTCCCTTACACACTTGGGCAGGCTCAAAGCTGGTGAACTCGCTGTTCCGTCAAGATTTTGATCCACCCTTCATACCTAGTACATTCTACCAGGCAAAATTGATCGGCGCGAAGAACACCGTGAGAACATGAACAGTCCCCGAAGCTATACTGATAGCCAGTGGAGCCCACCATCACACTTTCAGGAACAAAATCAGATATACCCAGTCGATGGTTTTTCACAACCCTACCCCAACTCAAACACCTCGCCAGCAGTCTCACCTCCACTGCCATATGAACAAGAGCACCATCAGCCTCCGCAGCCACAGAGTTATGAGGTGTATCAGGAAGGGTATGTCTACTCTCATTCAGTGCTCACTTTTTCGTTGTATTCATCGAAGCGCACCATCGCTCCTGCATTTGGTCCATGATCTGACGCTGTAGCAGGTATTCGACAGAGAAGGAGACCCCGTACGGTACACTCGACCCAATCGGCACACCTACTCCAGACTTCTCTGGACCTCAAGTGTAATTGGCCTTGCACGAAGTACATGTGAGAAACACACTGACTTTATTCACGGGTTTGTAGAGTGCCCGGCCAATTTAGTCAATACCCTCATGGAGGCCGACCTATGTCTCCTTCGTCACATGGAGGCACTACCATCACGTCTCCACACATCCGGCCCTACGGTTTCAAAGAGCATGTCGACTCGTATGAGAGCTATCACGAAGCTGCCCCTCCCCCAGTGCCACCAAAAGACGACCGGAGATGCGGGATGAAGAAGCGCACTTTTTTCATCCTCATAGGTCTCGGTGTTCTTGCACTCATCGGTCTTGGTCTGGGACTCGGTCTGGGTTTAGGCCTAAGAAAGAAGGGGTCGTAAGTCTTAACATATGTCCTTTTTGATGCACTCCATGTTCTAACGCGATGCAGACATGAAGATATTGTTCATCCCTTCTGTCGCGAGAATCCTGAGTCCTGTATTGGTGGCTCTCTCAACGCCGAGTATCTCTCGAAGAAGGGTGTATTCAGTAAGTGGTTATGTACCGGGTAAACGTGAGATATACACTGACGCTTGACCCACTCGCTTCCAGACGGCACTGGCATTGCACTAGCTGGAGAGTCATGGAACAAAGGCCAACGACGAATCTTTACGCTTTACTTCCAGCATCATACAGGCGACATCAGGTTCATGCAGTATACTACGGACAGGCAATGGATCGGCGGAACTAAAGCTCAGACTGTAGCTAGCGACGCGAAGGACGCATCGCCCATATCCGCAGTCGCGTTCGCTATCGATGAAACTCAATATGTAAGTACTCGTGAGCTGGAGTCGAACAATATTCCATCTTGCCATCGCCTAGCTATGCTAAGTATGAGCAGTTCCACATCTTCTACATCGACAAAAACAACACGGTCAAGCAGGTCACGCAATCTAATATCACCGACATCTGGGAGCCCGGACCACTCAGCAAGCTCGATCTGAAAGCGTTTGATTCGCCGACTACTGGACTACAGGCGTGTTGGAAGGGCAATTTCTATGGCGATTCCGACTTTTCAAAATTCCCCACTGCTTCTGGTCTCAACAACACAGACCCATTTGTGAATCAGAAGGGCATGGTAAGTTCGAAATGTACATGGCATCTCAACGAGATAGACTGACACGATTACCATCGAAACAGGACATCTGGTTTGCCACCGACGAGTCGACCTTTGAGCAATATGCTTGGTACAGCGGCCAAACGCAGGACACATGGGTACCTCTTAAAAAATGGCCCGGCTTCAATGGCCACGCCGGCGTAGGCTGCTACAGCTGGGGCACAGGCACCACAACATACGCCATGCTAAACAACCAGAACAACGACGTGGAGTTTTGGTGGAAAGACGTGAACGAGAATGTCACGTCCACAGAGTCGCACCCTACCAACTCGTGGCAAAACGCCACCATGGGCACCATACAGGACGTGTATCCTATCACGTCTCTGGGCTATACGACGTACTTTTATGCGCAAATGGCTGATCGAAGTATCAAAGGGTATAATGTCACGTACCAAGCTGAGAATACGACGTTCCTCGAAGACGAAACATTTGCTATTACTGACCCTGCGGGTCCGGTGCTAGGGCTTGGTGGTACGCATCTCACGGTCACTGCATTTGCGGAGAAGCGTGGGGAGGAGACCGTGTGGGATAGTTTGTATGTCTTTTATCAGACGGAGGGGGATGACATTACGGCCTTCACGCGAGGTAAGTTGGGCTTCCTTCCGGTGTCTCTGATGAAGTTCCGCTAACACGTCATAGGATTGAATGGTGGCGAATGGAATCAGGGGGTTTTGAGTATACCGGATGAGTAGACATAAAATGAGAGAGCAGGCTTGGTGACTTTCACTTCATATCAAGGTACTGGTGCTTTTCCTTGTTGCTATCACTGCGACGGCTCGTCCTGGGCGTTTGCACTGGGGTACCATGTTGTATGGGTGTTTCGAATTACGACTTCACGAGCTTCACGACAGAGCGTCCGTGGTCTCTTAGATTGCCCTTCTGGAAATATTGTTTCAACGTGCAACGTCGCTGCCATCATTGATATACATCGGAACATGAGCCCACAGAAGAACACAGGATTTGTATTCTTGCAGCCTGTCTGAACACCCTCGATGCAAACGTAACACATTATGTTTATAACGCGACTGTCCAGAACTAGCTCTTGTCTTTCCAAGCACCAGCGTTATAACCAGCAGTAGGCAGTTTTCCTGGAAACGAGTATGGTAAGCGACGGAGCCATTTACAGCGGGCGGATGGCAGTAGCCTCGTCGGAGAGCGAGCGCGTCCATCAATCCTTGAGCCGCGTACCTGCAATATCTTCCTGAGCGTCTCTGATAAGGAAGCTGAAAAGCCGTTAGCTTACATCACCGACAAGACGGTGATTTAAGGACCCAACTTACTTGTACCACAAAACGGTCGGCAAAACCGTGCCCAGATGCCACAGGCTGTGCGCATCAATCATGCCCATCCAAGGCGGGAAATCCAACAGCTCCAAGCTCATAGCCAAGATGATCCAGGCCACACACAGACCAGGCCACACAGCCCAAGTCCTCCCAATCTTCTGATACTGAACGTAACTGAAGCCACTCCAGAGCAGGTTTGACACAATGCCAACAGCGACATTGGCAGCCATGTTGTATGTGTAATCCCAGGACCAGAGCGAGAGGTACAAGACATGCAGCGTATACAGCGTAATGCAGAGTCCTGTCCAGAGCCTCAGCAAGCTCTGTTTCCTCGGCTCCTTCCTGTCGAGCCTGAACACTCTGATGGGCGCATAGTACAACCCATACAGCACGTTCGCGCCCGCAGCGAAATAGTCCAACTTCTCCGTGACCCCAAAGTCTCTGGTATGGAATATCATGCTGAATGTCCAGCTCGCCAGGCCCACGTATCCAAACCACAGGTAGTATTTCCGCAGAGGGTACGACGCGGGTATCTTGTCGCGGAGCTGCGACATACCCCAGTCGTGCGCGAGGTAGTTGAAGAGGGAGAAGATGACGCTAAAAGGTTCTTGCATGCCCATGAAGCGGTAGAAGGGCCATTTGCCGTGGAATTGGTAGATGGGCTGCATGTACGGAGGGTCGCGCGCGAGACGTTGGGTGGTTATGATGTGTTGGCACGTGTAGTCACATTCGGAGGGACAGTCCCAGAGGAGCAGGCGGCGGTGGAAGGCTGCGCGAGTGTGAGTTAGGTGTGGATAGGTAGTTGGGGTGTATCGTACGTATTGACGTGCCATCTGGACCGCAATTGGCTTCTTTACACACCTGCCGACGTACTGTTAGTTACGTGTCTCGGGCCAGTCAAAGGCGCATGGTCTTTTTCGCTCGTCTCTCAATCATGAACACGGCTCTTTCTACACGTACCTGAACACAGTCCTTGAAATCGGGCAGTCTGTCACCGAGAGAAGCCTGGGCAGCTCCGCCCAGCAGAAGCAAGACGGCGAATGTGTGCCATGCAGAGGCTATTCGTAGCTTCATTGTTCACCGGTGTGGGAGGGCAGCGGCTGCCATGTGGTTTCGTCTCGTGTTCTCAAGTCGCGTGTCTGAGCGATGGATCGACAGGGTCTTGGCGGGCCGGTAACTCCGTCGTTTTCCTTGGGGCACGTGTAATGGAAACTGGACGACGACGACGAAGTTCGCAGTACGAACATTACGCGCAATGATAGTGTCTATCGCTGCCGTCTAGTCTATCGCCTTAACGGGGAAGAAAATGAACAGGTGCGCGGCGGTCTACTTAGTATGAGAACAACAGCTAACGAAACCCTAAAGCAATGTCAACTTTTGACTTGAATACTTCCTATTATCCTCTGCTAAGAGTAGACGTTTCTTTTTCTCTTGAATACGTTGCCATCGTGTCCCTTCAACTTTCGACATCCCCGTCAGTAAATTGACTCTGAACGAAAGCATGGATCGGCCAACACGCGGACATTTTTCGGCATTCCACATATACCAACAGCCCCACCTTTGAGCTACCGGTTATAAGAGAGCCTGCCGGTTGTTGTACAGTTTTTGGTTGGTCCAAGCTACGGTGAGGGGCTCATCCCCGCTTCCGCCCACCTGTTTTTACTAAGTTTATAACATACATTGTTTCGTAACTCCCCATCAACACCACAGTCTCTCAAGACTCCAGGGCGTGTGGCTCAGTGGTAGAGCGTCCGCTTTGCATCTTCCTGTCCTCTTGCGGAAGATTGAAACAATTGCGGAAGGTCCGGGTTTCGGTAAGTTGATGAATTACATGGATTCGAGCTCAATTGCTAACAAATCTCTCAGATCACCCGCCCGTCCATTCTCTTTTTGCCCCCACAAATGCCTGACGTCTACTATCATCTCTATCCGAGTGGCTGGTCTTGTCCAGCTTCTATATTTATTTTTGGTCGACCTACACAACTTATGCTCGCAAGATATACCGCCCAAAGAGACAGGCGAATGCTACTGTTCCACAAGTCTACCTTTACCGCATCTACTTGCTTTAGAAACGCAAGAAGCAGTAGTAGCGTCATCGACTGACTGCTTTTAAAATTAAGATGAGCGGTCGAAGATTCACACAGCACGTGAAACCCGTGAGATGACACATCGTTCATGTGCTCTTGAATACTTTCGCAGAAGATATGAAAAACACTTTTTTATCTTCCCCCCGTCACTCTAGGTCTCCAATGTATCTACTACGCTATGCAAAGCCGTTTTGACTGAGGTGTGTTTGAGCACACTAACCAACAAACGCCGATGAAGCGCAATTATGCTAAGACGAATTTCCACTTCATTGCCTTACATTTGAACACTAACGAAGTCGAAGAGTACATATCTGTGTAAAGTGAAAACAGCGTGTTTGGGAATAATACCTGCATTGCGCTTGTACGCAGCTTGCTCACACAACCTCACACAAGAAAAAAACCGAACATGTGCACTGCCGTCCAATTTGGTGTAGAAGCTAATGTTTACAAAATTAAATGGTAAGTAGACTTCCAGGGAGTAGGCATTCGACTGTTTCCTTGTGCAAGGTCGCACTCATCCAGCACACCAAGGCATTCGAAGACTGGGCATGGCATTACGAGCATGATGTACTTTTCATTCTTGCATTCGCTCTCATGATCTAGCTGAAAAGCATTCGCATTACCACGGAGCTACCAAAAGGTGTAGTCCGACAAAACCGTATTCGCCGCCCATGACCCTACGTTGCCTCCTAGAAGACGAGGTATCTACGTCTAAGCCTGGATAGCCCGTCCCAAAGCACCGCCAGTGAACTGCTGATTCCTTCCGCCCCTCGGGCCGCCGCCTCCGCGACCACCACCACCACGGCCGCCTCCTCGGCCACCGCGACCGCCGCGACCACCTTGCCTCTCAAAGGCGTTGGCGGTTCCTTGTGTGCGTTGCTCCAGTGTCTTCTCGTTCGACTCGATGAGACCTGATGCCTTGTCTGACAAGCTAAGCGCGAGGGTCTGTAGTCTTGACAGCTCAACACCCTTCCTAAAGATGATGGCGGAGTTGACTTGGTCGAGAGCGGCAGCGAGCTCCTCGTGTGAAATCATCTTGGAGACGACTGCGGAGACCTTGCGCTCTGACAGCTCGAACATACCCGCCAGTGTGGTGATGGAGAGAGTGTCGTAGAATGGTGCGTATGTGAAGAGATATGTCCGGAGACCCTCTTCCTGGATTTGCGAGGAAAGCATCTCCTTGATCTTCTCCGAGTCGGCCATGAGTTCCCAAATCTTGATCGAGTTGATGAACTCAGCAGCCTTCTTCCATTCGCCAGCAGACAGTGCCTTGGAAGCCTGCATGACGTGGTCGCGGGTGTTCTCAGGAGGACCAGTGAAGATCTGACGCTCATGGTACTCTAAGAGACGGCGGTAGGTCTTGCTGATGACTCGCTTCCTCAGGTCTGGCGAGGAGCCAAGCTGTGCGAGAAGAGGAATCTCAAGCAACATGGAGCAGGTCAGGTAGACGCACTCTAGCAGCTCAAGGTTGATGTGCATGTGGAAAGGAAGTTGCCGTTGACGCTCAAGACGCTCTTGCTCGGGCGAGATCTGGGAGTATCGCTGCATTTGCAGACCTTGTGCGAGCAACTCCTTCTGCCTGTTGCTACCGCAGATCTCCTGTAGCGAGGTTTGTGCCTCGTAGACAAGACCGGCACGGAACGCACAGAGACCGACTTGGACCAGCGCGCGGTTGAAGAGAATCTGTGTGTTTACGTCAAAGTTGCTAATCGTCTCTTGCAAATGCGACATGAGCATCATGTCGCGAGCCTTGTAGTACTGGTCGTGCAGAGACAGGAAGTAGATCTGGCACAGCATGGCGCGAGCGCGGATGATGCCCTCACTGTTCTGGAAGAGGTATGTGCATAGAGTTTGTACGAGGGAGGCGGTGTCGTTGGAGATGGCGCGGGGGGTGATCTCGGAGTCAAGGCTCTCTGGGATCGCCTTCCAAACGTTGTTCTCGAGGATAGTGATAACTTGGGAGGGCTGTAGATGTTAGCATAGATCAACAGACTAAGGCACATTTGCGCACCTTGAAGTAGACGTGTTCCAATCTCCGCATGACAATGCGGTTCAACGGCTCTTGTGGAAGTTCTAGGCTTGGGTTCTTCTTCATGCTCTCAACGTATACCAGGGTGCGCACCAACTGAGCATACAGCAGAGCCTCGTCGGTCAACCGTTCAATGTACTCGGAAGTGTGCGGGTCGATGTGCTGCAGCGAGCGGGTGAGTTCGTCGTCGAGCCTCTCAACGAAAGAGACGATGCTTCCTGGGATGCGGAAGATCTCGCCGGGTGTGATGGTGGGGAGCTTCTCGTCGTCCTCCCACTCCTCGGCGTTCTCGATGACAACAATCTCGTTGCTGTTCTCAAGAATCTCAAGAAGCTTTCCGAATTCCTGGTCGGCCCTACGTTGTGTTAGCAAATAACAAACATGTTAGGCCAAAGGTACTCACAGCTTCCACTGATCTTGGTGCATGTGGCTGGCAGTGCCGGATGTCAAATCGAAGCGCGTCGAGATGAGGGTCAGAAGAACGCGGACCTTTTGGTAGTCGTTGACGGCGACGTCGAACAACTTCTCCAGTGTCCGGATGTGCTCCAGCTTGTCCGAGTTCTTGCGACCACGCTGCTCGACAATGGCGCGCAAGTGCTTGAGAATACCCTCAGCCGTGTACAGAACAGCCTTGCCACCAGCTCCGACTGTGATGAAACCGTCGTCAGTGGCCTCTTCAACGACCTCGGTGCCGAGTTGAGGGATCTTGTTCTTCTTCTTCTTTTCCTTGGGTGCTTGAACAACTTCCTCCTCCTCGCGCATAAAGTCCTCCTTGTTCTCCCGGTAGGCGTTGATGTCCTTCTCGAAGTCGCGGTTGTGCTTCTTGATCTTCTGGCGGACAGCGTTGAAACCGCGACCGTTGACAGCGTTCATCTTCTTGGGAGTGACCTTCTGCTTCTCGTGGGTCTCGATGACAACCGTCTCGAGGTCGGCAACGGCCTGGATGTACAGCTTGGGGACCTTGCCATCGTTCTGCTTGGTCAGAGTAGGCACCTGGCGGATGAGCTTGTCGAACTCTGTATAACGAGATGTCAGCACTGTTTGTCTACCCCGCCACCATGCTCTATGCCACCTCTAGAGCCACTTCGGAAATAGACCTACGTTCTGAAATGACGGCCCAGTCGTTGATCTTCTGCGCGTTCTCAATGAGCCGGATGGTCGCCTCGAGCTCGTCAAAGCGCTTGTCCTTGGCACTCTTCAGCACCTTGTTCACATCCTCGTCGTCGCTGTCGCTATCGCTCGAGGCGTCCTTCAAGAAGCGATTGGCTCCGGTTTCGGATCCAGAGTCGGACGAGTCATCGTCATCGGATTCCTCGTCGGAGTCCTTGTCGCTGTCCTCCTGTTCAGACTCCTCGTCGTTGGAGTAGAGCTCCTCCTCGCTGGACTCGTCCGAGGAGCTGTCGCTGGCGGCAAAGAATCGCGACGCCATGGTTGCAGTGCTCGAGAGTAGGGATTTGCCGGAGGGGTCGAGGGTAATATGTGTGGCGGGCGCCGTGTGGGTTGACCAGAGTCACTGCCGCCTTGTTTGAACTTTCCGGAGCCGAATTTCGAGCCAGCGCCAAGCCATGACTGTGTGCCCCGCGCCTAACCCTAAGCAGACGCGAACACCTTCACAGCAATGCGCTAGTAGAGTTACTCTATTGTACCACGTAGTATTCGACGTTTCATTATTTGCGTCTCACCACGCAAAGATGCCGATTTACTCAACGGTACAGTCAGCTCTACACAAAGCTCATGTTATCCTCCAACACCATCACATGCATCGCGAGCTGAAAGTATACACACGCTTTTGTGGCCACAGACATAGCCAAAGGGGTTTACGAGAATGCTAATAAAAGTACATGTGCTGTCATCCACCGCTTCCCCGACTGCTGAGCACGTTTGAGTCATGGCTCGACATCTGGCGACACCAGCTAAGCTGTTGAACACGCATCTGGTCCGCCCTGCTGTGTACCATTCAATCAAGACCCAGCTTCTCTCGCTCGGCGATTCCCAGTGCAGGCCGTGAGTCATCAATCTGGCCCAGCAGAGAGCCTGTCAGAAGCCAGTTGAGGGTGCTGTGCATCGTCAGAGCGTGGTACAATTTGAGCAGACTGTGGGGAACATGTGCGGCTTGCGCGGTCATCCGAGTTCTGCTCCCCCTGTCGATAGCGTCATGTTGCCTATCTCATGTCTCGGGCGACGATACTGACGGAAGCACTCCGAGGGAAACGTGCATCAAGGAGAACTCAGAACGCCGCGACTCATCCACCGTCGCATCTCTACGTGGAGCAGAGGGTTGTTTTCGTAATATGAGAACTACTCGTCGAAGCCATCCCGTCACTGCCAATGATTCTGACCCATAAAACCCTCTTCAAGCGTCCGGTCTTCCAAGTTTCGCACAAAGTTCTGGTTGCGGTTTGAATTGCCTGCTCGTGACCCTCTTCTCCTGGCGGCGCTGCTGGCGCTTTCAGGGGCACCATCAGGTGGCGGTGGGTAGTATGCTGGTGATGGTTGCAGACGAACGGGCGCGTTCGGATCGAGGTGACTCATCACCCTCTGAAGAGCAGGGGGGATACCAGATTGTCCCGACTGCTGTTGATCCATTGTCGTCGCTCGTTGCCGCCCAGCGCGGGTAGTAGCTTGGGCATACAGGTTCTGAGGCTGGTTGTATTGTCGTGGCTGTTGTGGCTGCATCATATTCATCGGCTGACCGTATTGTGCTGCCTGTGCAGGATATGGTGGAGGAGCGCCCTGGTGGTTTGGGGCATACATGTTGTAGGGGTTTTGCTGAGCCTGCGGGCTTTGCGCAGCGGCATACTGGTTCATCTGCATGTTCGCATACGCAGCATGCTGGGCTGCTTGCGCTTGTTGCTGTTGCGCGACGGCCTGTTGTTGCTGCTGCTGTCGCTGTCTGCTCATGCCCTCGAATCGTTGCTGTTCCTGAACACCAGGGGCAGGCGACCTGCTTGAGCCGGACTTTAGAGTCATCGGAGGTACGAATGGACCAGTGAACTTGGCCTGGGTTATGAACGGATGTAACTTGGCCTGCGCAGGGGTCCAGCGTTCTAGAGGGTTAAGATTCAACAGTCCCTGTGCGAAGTCGATAAAGGCTGCTCGGTTGGCCATTTCTATGATAGGTTAGCCATGAAGGTGACACAATCTGTTCGCCTACTTACCTCGCTCGATCTCGTTTGGCTTCATGTTCTTCCGCGGCATGGGGTAGTTCTTAATTATGTCGGGCAGAGTCGTGGCAGAGAAGTACTTTTTGCTGGGCTGCTCCTTCGTGCCATGTTCCCGTGAGTACTGCTCCATTGACTTCAGCCGGTATTGCTTGCGGCCATACTCATCCTGCGACTTCTCGTAGAACTCTCCTGATTGCTTGCCCATTTCGAGCATCCAATGAGGTGGTAGCCCCAGCATCTCCGTTATCCTTGACACTTGATTGTACTCAGACGAGCCTGGGAACAGAGGCAGACCGAGGAATAACTCGACGACAATGCAACCCAATGACCACATGTCGATCGCTGCTGAATACGGCAGACCAAGCAGAACTTCGGGTGATCGGTAGAATCGCGATTGGATGTACGTGTACACGGTCTGGCGTTCGTCGCATGCGGAACCGAAATCGATGATTTTGATGATTGGGCTCTCGAGGCTACCAACAGGTCAGTATACGCGCGCAAATGTCAGACATATTACGTACTTCTTCAACAGGATGTTCTCGGGCTTCAGGTCGCAATGTATCAGCTTCGCCTTTCCAAGCAACGCGAGACCATTGATCAGCTGCTGTGCGAATACGCGCACCAGGGTTGTGGATAGTCCACGGAACTGGTTTTGTTTGATCAGCTCGTACAAGTTGACGCTGAGCAACTCGAAGACCAGACACAGATGTTGCCTGTGGATGAAGGTGTCTTTCAGCCGCAGCAGGTGATGGTCATCGTTCTTGTCCATCTGTTTGTTCAACTGCGCCGTGTTAGAGCCGTCCTGCGTCTTTGTGGTAGAATACTGACCAAATCAAGCACAGACACTTCCATCATACTCTGGTTGAAGTATGCTGTCCGGTTCTTGATAACCTTGACTGCAACAACCTCCTGTGTCTTCAAGTTCTGGCACTTGACGACCTGCCCAAAGGTACCCTGACCTAGCACATCCAGAATCAGATAGCGGTTCTTGTGCCCTGACTCCTCTGACCCTAGGATGTCGTTCACGTAGAGTATGTAATCGCTATCCTCGTTGTCGTATCCGTCGTTCTTAACGCCCTTGCTCGGTTTGGTGAGTACTCGGCGAGGGTTGCGCGACGACTGGTAGTTGAAGCCGCCGTTGCACAGCTTGTAGGTCATGGGCAGGTGCGCAGTGAGCGCTTGTAGGGGCTAGTCGTTCTGTTAGCATGAAAGCTGCCGACCACACTGTTCGACTTACGCTAATAAAGCCACCCTCAGGATTTGCGCGACGAAAGGGCGGCTGGGCGTTGATCTTAGGTTGCAGATCGGCAGTGTTGACACACTTTTCGAATTTTGGTACTGGCCCTCGGCCTGGCAGAGGCAGCTGTGGGGGGTTTGAGCTGGAGGAGGCGCGCGGCGATCGAGCGTCTCTGTTGTATACCGCGTTCAATTGCGCAGTCGCAGATTGCGGGTAGAAACTCTCGGGGCTCATGTTGGACTGTAGAGGCGGCAGTTGAGGCGCATGCGGTCGGGAGGCTAAAGCGATACTGTCAGTACTGGAAGGCTAAGGCATGGGAATCTCCAAGCACAGGCTGAACCTACATGGCGGAGAGTAGTAGTTGTTGGGCGGCGACATGTAGGGATTGTTGCGCGTCGGGCTCTGCCGACTGGCTTGCGTCTGCGCTTGGGCCTGAGGGGTAAAGCTGGTGTAGTTCTGTCCGCCCTGCTGTGCACCGCCCGAGTAGGGCGAGGTAGGTGACAGGTTCATGGGCGAGTATCTGCGGGCAGCGGCACTCTCCTCGTGCTGCAGGAACTGCTGCGATTGCCTCTGTTGCTGGGTAGGGCGCGACATGTTCAGCCGCGGCTTGTATGCATCCTCCATGGGAACATCGCCATCTCCGTCGTTGTACTCGGGGCCTCGGCTAGCAGTGCCGCCAGGCGACTGCAGAGGCATTGAATTCTGTCGTGACGGCGTTGCGTATGGGTCCGGCTTGACCTGCGAAGACACGCTGGCGTCTCGCGAGGCGTGCGGAGACGAGGCCATGCTGTGCGAGTAGCGGTTACCCGGTGCCTCCGAGTAGGCAGTCCACTGCGGTTCCATGGCAACCGAGAACGGCGAGGGCAAAGGGTGTAGAGCGACGGTGTCGCGGATAGAGACGCCAATCAGTCCTCACTGCCGGTGTTGCATGCCGAGGATACGCGCCCGCTGATGGAGAGGATCGAGCTACCGCGAAGGGTGACTGCGGCGCAGCACTGGAGTCGTGATTGCAAGAGGCGTGGGCTCGGAAGGAGCGCGCTTGTTATGGCCGTACGGGACTCGGGGTGACGGGCTTGGAGCGTTTGGCGGTTGCGGGGTGGTGTTACGTGGTCAGCGGCTGTACGCTGTCGCAGCAGGGCCTGGAGCAGCCGCAGGGAAGAAATGCGCGGACGGGAAGCGCAGAAGGGAATGTTCACAAGCAGAGGGAAAGGATGGCTTCAAGGTCAGCGTAGCGCTGATGTTGGCGCCATTGCAACATCCATGGAATTGGGCTCTTTCCTTGGTTGCGCTAGCGACCAAAGCGGCCAGCCTCCTCGCGCCCATCATCGTGGGGTGACTGCCGTCATTCACTGTGTGGGTTGCAGCTGCCTTTCTCTAGAATCTTACTCATCATTATCACGTATTCAGCAGGTACACGACGGTCGCCTCGCAGCTTCACGTTGTGTCGAGTGCAGCTTCTTTGGGCTGCTTCCCTCTTCAGGGTCCTCAAACAGGCAGGCGCGACCCTGGATGCCCTAGGCACCGATATCAAATTCAAATAAGCGTTGCTTTTTTCCCTCACAGCACCCGCCGCGGACCGCAGCAAGTGCAACGGGCATGTGCAACTGGGGCGACAAACGAAATTTGACGTCGCTGGGCAAAAGGCTGGCGTGACCAAAGACGTCATAGTAGTATGTGCAGCTGAAAGAGGAGTGTACCTAGTTACATGATATCTACCGACGAACCATCCATTACTCGCGCATCTCATACCCGCCCAACACATCGCCGTTGTCCCACGTAGCAGGCTTTTCGAAGATGCTCCTCACCATCTCACCTCCACGCGTCGCAAGCACCGAAAGAAGGGTATCGCTCAACTGTCACCATGATTAGCACATCTTCCTCTTCACAAACATGCCCAGGCAGTACTTACACCATGCGTAGTCTCACAGCAGCCCTGCAGCCAAACACCGGCATCGTCACCAACACTCTTCTCAGTGAAGTTGATCTTGTAATCCCTCTGCACCTGCCACTTGGTACCCTCTAGCTCTCCACCAGGCATGAGGTGCCTTGCATCTTTGAGTAGTGTCTCGTGAAGGTCTCTGTGGTATCCTGTCGCTACAAAGACGGCATCAACATCCAGTGTTTCCTGCCTTTCTTGGGCACCTGCACACTCCGAGAAATACAATGGACTAGTGTCTTGCACCTGAAGACGTACGCCGCCCTGTCGGACTGGGGAGTCAGTCACATCAATGACGCGACGGTATGGCATGATTCGGTGCGGCCAGTTCTCTTCCTCGGCAGGCGAGTTTCCATGACGAATGCGCTGTAGGTACAGCGTCTCGTAGATGTGTTCGAGAAGCGGAAGGCGGACGACGCCGTAGTTCGTGCCCTTGTCTTCGAGCAGCGTGGTTGCGCGAAGCTTAGGGGCGCGCGCGTATGTACAGTCTGTTCGCGACGGGTTGAAGATTTCATTGACACTGGCATATTAGTAAAACAGTTCGGCAACAGTCGTTTCTCACTTACAATGGCGAGTCGTCGCTTGGTCTTAGTGCTCCTCCCTTGATCAGCATTCGTGTTCGCGAGTTGGGGTAGTTTGCGTGTAGGAAGTCGAAGATCTCAGCGGCACTCTGGCCATTTCCGACTACCGCCACACTGTAAGGTGCGCTGTGATCCTTCAAGATCTCCTTTGAGATATATGAAAACTTTGACGAGTGGACAACCTTGGGATGGTTTGTCGGGAATGGCGCAGGAATGTTGGGTCTGCCACCCGCAGCGATGACAACATGCTTGGTTCTCCGCGACTCGATGCGTCCTGTCAGGGTATTGCGCGAGACGACGGTGAACGTGGTTATCTCGCCATTTGGCGACTTCTCGGGCATGACCTTGATGACTTCTTGGCTGTATGCTACCACCTCTTCGAACCAGCTAGCGCACCACTTCATATAGTCCTCGTACTCCACACGAGCTGGTAGGAAAGTGTTCAGATTTGCAAACTCGACTAAACGCTCCCTCTGGTGCAGATAGTTGATGAAGGTGAATTCACTTCTCGGGTTTCGCATGGTGGCCATGTCTTTCATGAAAGTAATCTGCATCTTCGCGCCCGGTAGAAGCATGCCAGCGTGCCACGCGAATTGCGATTGCTTCTCGAGAAACGCGACTTTTGGTGGTCTGCTTTGGAGGCCAGCAACATCCACTAGGGAAGGATCAGTCCCATCCAAAGCATCATGCAGAGCCACACCAATGGCTAGTGACGCTGGGCCAAAACCGACACATATGAGGTCGTGCAGTTCATCTTCTGCAGTGTATCGGAGGTGTGATCGGTTCTCAATCGTGGGAAGATGGCTTTCATTAAGGTTCTCGGTCAAAAAACCGTTGAAAGCTCGTTGGACGGCTGGGGCTGGCCCTTCGGACGTGCTCGATGACATTTCGGCGTGAGGACTCATATTTGTGATATGTTCGCGGGCTGTCACTACCACGTATACTTCTTCCGTTAGTATTGCTGGCACACATTACGCAAGGTCATGTCGTGCTTTGCGCGACTGTTGGCGGGACTACGTACACTGACAGCTTTCACCGACGCTTCAAATTGGGGTTCTTTTGAACTGGGCAATTAGCCGTCAAGAAGCTCAAGTCGCAGAGCTGTAAGTGGAAAGCCGACAGTCAGCGGATTCATGTGATGAACAATGACGTCTACACTTGGCGCAGATGAACAAGACGAAAAGACGGACCACAGCAACGTACCTATTTGATCGCTCAATTGTGAGATCGCAAAAACCAACTCACTCGCTGGATGGTCAACGTAGCTACCGTCGTCAAGTTATGGAAGAAGGTCCACGACAGCGGCCATGAGTTGTACCTTGGCCATAGCCGTGCCCAGGATCCGTTCTTGCGTGTAGCACATCCATGTCGATCGATAGCGGCCGCGATGCTGGTCAGAGAATGGTCCGATGTCACTTCGTAAGAGCAGACCCTGACGGTCCGTTCCAACCTAGTGTCACCATCTGCGGTTCGCTAAACAGGTGATGGCAGCACAACCCCCATGTCACTGATCTTCGGACGCGCCATCTGATAAGATGACGGAGCATAGCCCGTCGAGCAACAGCTTTTGTGGCACTGCTGAAGCGTATTACGGAGGCAAAATTTTCAGACGTGCCCCGCAGCACTTGTCCTGTAGTTGCGTCGAGCGACGCGATTGAGTATAGTCTCCGTGGGGTCGTGGGTAACATGCGCGCTTGGCGGAGTAAAAGTTATCAGATGGAAATGGATCAATCCATCAGATTAGATGAAGAGATTTCTTGCGAGTTCGGAGCGGCCTCGGTCTTACTGGTGCACGCCCAACGACACCCACCATCAACTGCATGTTCCGGCGTTGCTACTAGGCTCGGTTAGCACGCCGCAGCCGCCGATCATTCCGAGTTCCAGAAGCATGTCATGCTAGCGCATAGTGAAGCAAGCTGATGACGAACGAGGCGCTCGAAGACGCTTTCTTGCGCTGATCATGTCGCCTTGGAATCACTGAGAGCAACATACGGTAACAGAAACAGGACATGGACAGAGCAGGAGCGTTGAGTTTGTGAACGGCTGTGGAGATAGAAGATTGCACCGGCCAGTATTCGGAATAGTGAGCTCATTTGGATAAATGCATTTGTCGCTGTTCTATCCTAGGGCCCACTGTGAGTATAGCATTTCACTAGCATGCAAAGGCGGCGCCATTTACTGAAGAGGATGCACCAGAGCGAACTAGGCAGGTTGAGGAACAAACGCATATACGATGCTTGACGCATGAAGCACTAATTAATTATGAAAAGAACTATGACAGTACAGAAACAAACATTGTTCAACGCCTTCGAAATGCGAGAGGTGCTTCGATGAGTAGTCAAAACATGAGGATACTGGTACATACACAAATTACAATGCGCTAGTCGCCTAAACAATACACATCGAAGAGACAGAACGGTCCGGCGGGATTGCAAACTGGAGAATCGGCAAGATGCATAGAAGAGCATTTAATCCAGTTCCTGTGTTGCGACCATGGCGGCATATATGCCTCCCATGGCTACGAGCTCATCGTGTCTACCCTGCTCAACGATACGGCCAGTATCAAACACGAAGATACGATCTGCGTGTTGCACACTTGCTAATCGATGTGCTATCATGATCGTAGTTCGGCCTCTAGAAGCAGCGGCGATAGCCGTTCGGATGTCGCGTTCGGTATTGGCGTCGAGTTGAGACGTCGCTTCGTCGAGAAGAAGGATCTCTGGATCACGTATGAGAGCTCGGGCGATAGCAAGGCGTTGGCGCTGACCACCTGAGAGTTTGGAGCCATGTGCACCGACTTCCGTGTTGTAGCCCTCTGACAGGCTCATGATGAAGTCGTGAAGCTCACATTCTTTGGCCACCCGTTGAATATCGTCATCGATGACTGTAGTACCTGGCCGAGCGCCGAGTCCGATATTGAACTTTACTGAGCCTGGAAAGAGATCTGGCTCTTGCTCCTGCTAGGTGTCAGCCATCTTCATATGAAACTCGCCCCATGGAGAGCGACCACGCTCGATTGGCATATAACAAAGTAAAGTGTGTATTAATCTGGACGAAAGCAGGTAACTTACCACAAGTGCTAGGCGCGCACGATGGTTTCGGACAGGTTCTTGCCGTATGTCTTGCCCATCGAGGTACACTTGTCCAGCATTTGGATCGAAGAATCTCTCTATCAGGTGAATCGTACTCGACTTTCCAGCGCCTGGTGACGAAGTCAGTACTTATCGTGCAATACTCTCGTTGACTTACCGGAACGACCGACAAATGCTACGTTTTCGCCCTGGCGAATCTGAAATGAGACGTTGTTTAAGGCAGGAACATTGGGCCGACTCTCATAGTAGAGACTGACGTTGCGGAACTCCAGTTCTCCGCGAACTCCAAATGTTCCATACGATGCTGAAGGGCCAGATAACAAAGCGCTACCGTTGGATGTAGTGGTGGTGGCGGATTCCAAAGGCGTCAGATCTGTGATGATCGACGGCTTCTCGTCATGTAGAGAGAATACGTTTTGCGCTGCGGCCTTGGCCCGAGTTATTTCAGGTGCCAGGCTGAAGAGCTGACCTGCAGATTGTGCAGAAAAAAGAAGCGCAGGGAGTACAATGAAGAACTCTCGTTGACTGTAGTTACCGTTGCGCACTTGTTTAGATCCCCTGTCGCATCGATTAGCATGTCGCTGACGAAAGCAGCATCAACATATATACTTACCACCAGTACGCCAAAGAATAGACAAAATATGTGACTGAAAGTGAAAAGGCGAGCAAGATGTTGCCAAGCACACTGAACCTGAGGTGCTCCTCGTACGGCTTCCTGATTGCTTCTCGATAACCATCCAGGAAGTGCGATTCCAAGCCAAAGACTGCAACGATCTGCATAGAAGAAGTGGCTTCCGACGCAAGGGCTGCAGCGTCGTTATAAGCGGTCTGATGATGCTCCTCTGCCATGGCCAAGATACGAAGGCGCAGGAAACCAGCTAGAAGCATGACGGGGACAGCCGCCAGCAAGACTATGGCGATTCTCCATGCCACAATGTGGGCCAGAACAATTCCGCCAAGAACAGACGTCGCAATGGAGAAGACAGTTCCGAGTATGACACCAGATAGACCACTAATACTGCCGCTATCAGAGTTTAGACGCGACATAAGAGCGTGATGAGAATGACCAGGCTTAGAGAACCAGGCAATGTCTTGTTGGAGGATGGTTCGAAAAGATAGATCTCGGACTCGTAAGGTAAGGTTTTCGGAGACCATGCCGAAAGCAGTTTTGCCAAAAGAGTGGGAAGTCAGGGCGATGATTGCCAGTCCGAAGAAAAGCATACAGTAGAACGATATTCTCCTCGTGAGATCGTCCGAGCCGGATGTATCGTTCAAAAGTTCGACCAAGTTGCCAAATATGAGCGCCTCTCCGATGATGACTCCACCACTGAAGACGGAGGAAATCAAACCGACAATTATAGCTGGCGTTTCACGGCGACTCAATGCTAAAGATCTGCCAATCAAAGTCAAAGCACTCATCTTCGGTGCATCAATTTTTGATGCTGAATTCGACCGGGAAACATTGCTTGATTCGCCTGGAGAGTCCCCATGCTCTTTGTGGGTAGAGCTGGCAGCAGATCGGATCGACGAAGTTGCTGACGGCCGCCCCTTTTCGAATTGCTGTGCTTTGATAAGCTCTGCGTAGATGCCGTTCTTTTTTAGAAGATCTTGATGGCGCCCGTCTTCTTCTACACTCCCGTCTTTCATGACGACGATACGATCAGCATCCCGAACAGTTGCCAGACGATGTGCAATTATAACAGTGGTCCGGTTGGCGTTAGCTGAAGAACGACGGAGATTTTCCAAAACAATCGCTTCGCTTGTACCGTCCATGGCACTTGTAAATTCGTCCAGTAGAAGCAGGGACGGGTTACCCACAAGCGCACGCGCGAGAGTTATACGTTGCTTTTGGCCTCCGGAAAGTTGAGACTGGGGTCCGGAACTGATCTTCGTGTGTATGCCCTCAGGAAGTCGGTCTAGGAAATCACAGTATGCCTCTGTTGCCGCCGCCTCACACCGAGCAAGAATCTCGTCTTCAGTCAATTGTTCTCTTTCGGCACTTGGGATACCATGCTTGATATTATCCAGTATCGTTCCAGTGAAGAGAACCGGATTTTGAGTGACGAGTGCGATGTGTGTCCGCAGGCTGTGGACGTTGAATGACTTCAAGTTGTCGTTGCCGAGGTTTACGGCGCCATAAGTTGGATCGTAGAGCCTCAAAAGCAGCGATGCAATAGTGGACTAAGAAGAAGTGAGGTCAGCCAATGGTTTGTGCTGGTCGAGAGTTGATAAATACCTTTCCTGAGCCGGACGGTCCAACTAGACCCGTGACTTGCCCAGGTTTGATGCGTAAATCGATACTGTCCAGGATTCGCACAGTAGGACGAGCTGGGTATACAAATGACACCGATGAAAGCACTAGATCCTGTTCGAAATGTGTCCCGTCCGCTGGTTTTCCCTTTGGGGAATAGACATCGATATCGGATGTCGGATGATCGAGAACATCCATTACCGCAGCCCCAGCTGCGGCAGCCATAGCAAATGTTTGAATGAATGGGCCGAATGACCCAACAACGAAAGAAGCGTCCAGTATAAGGAAGACGACTGCGTAGATGGTACCGGCCTCGGCGCTACCGTCTCTTAAGCGATCACCGTACCAGAAAGCAAGTGCGTTGGTGGCATATGCAACGAAGTAAACCGAACCAAGCATGACAGCCCCCGCAACGCTCTTTCGGATTCCAACCCGCAAGGCAGATCGAAGGTGATGAACGTGTTCCTCACTAAGCTGCTCGAATAGGCCGAACGCCTGCACGATTTGTACTGCGCGGATGGCACTCTCAGCAACCGAGGCAGCTTTTTCGGTGTATAGTGCAGCCTGCTTAGCGAGATCGGAAACTTGTTTAGTACCGAAATAGACAACGAATGCCATTGAAGGTATGACCGTAACGAACCTAGTTATGTTAACAACTCTCTTGACATCATAACAATGATAGTAATTACATTACTCCGGTCAGTTTTGCGTTTAGCATAAAACCCACAGTGAATGCGGAGATAAAGTAGCTTATGGATGCGATGAAGAGGCCCACCTTCTCCGAAGTACCGAGTTGAATAGTCTGTGTCTTCTCCGTGAGAATACTAGATAGATCAGGCGAGACAGTGTCTACAACAGGCAAATCGAGTCAATACATAGTCTATGCGAGGCGTTTCGCGGGCATCTACGCACCATAGTAGGTCATGTCCATGCCTAAAGCACGATGCAAAAGTCTTTCTCTGGTTTTCCTACTCACGCGTTCTCCGATGATAGCCCAGCACACCGCCCAAGCCCAGGTAATGACAAAATACCCAACTGCAACTGACATCAGACGGAACAGCAGATGCTTCAGCTCATCTGGGTTGGGTGGGAAGTTATTGATAATGCGCCCAAGCACGACGCCTATCAGAGGAAGCGGCAGCCCGGCCAGGATCGCAGTGACGATACCCAAGATGAGAATTAGCTTGGATCCAACATCATCCAACTGCCTGTACAGTGCAAAATAGGAGGTTTTGTTCGAGCCAAGGATTTGGCGGATAAATCGTTGTCGAAAGACGGTAGGACTTTCAAAAGCCTGAGGCTGAACCGTCGCTAACGACGGTTCTACATGCCTCTCCCATTGCGTACTGTGACGGACAGAGGGTTCATTCTCAATTTCACTTTCTTCGGAATCCAGAAGGGGTTGGCTCTCGGAGCTGTCATCGTCGTGATAGTCGGGCATTGTGGCGCGCGCCTGGCGTTACGCAATGCGATTGCGGGTATGCAGTGCCCGGCCGCTGCTCAGATGAGCATTAGCGAGCGAGAGATGCAGCGATAAACTTGCGACTGTGAACTGGAATGAGCGAGGATGCCATGGAGGCGATGTTGATGAATCAGCGTTGTTGATGTCACATCCATGGCCAACACGGAAGACCTGGTAGGAGCGCAGGACTAAATTAGAGTCTTGGCATGGTCATAGATGGCCGCCCTGCAACAACTTCATGCACCAGAAGGGCGGCGACGACCAGAGACTGTCTGAACATCCGGAGAGGCCGCATGTGAAAGGCTTACAATATATACTCTGTCATCGGGCTGCAGCAGGTGAGCTCAAGTTAGGCAGTCGGGTGACAGCCAGACGGACGCGTGCAGCGTGCATAGCTAGTACATCATCTGTGGTAGGGCTGGGCTAGCGGCGACATGAAATCAGGTCAGGGGTAGACTGCATCTGATAATTTCTGCTCAAGGGATGACCCGCCTGGTCTGTCACGCAAAGCACGGGATTTTCGGCGGCATGCCCGGCCGCGTCTTCCCCACCAAGCAGCGGCACAGCTCCGAGGTCGCGTCCACCACCACGTTGCGACAGGATCTTGCGACGCGTTTGCGCTTGACAAACTGATTCTCCTCCATAGCGTGGGGAGATAGCAAAGAGGCTATGGAACAACGACGCCCAACCAGCCAACGCGACGGCCTTGTCGTCATTGGAGGCGCGCCCACGCCTTTACGTCCACCACTTCACGCTACCACTCCGGACTAGCATGATTGAGGTGGAGCTTCGGTTTTCAGTCTCGATTTAGTCTTGTCTCGAACAGTTTTTGCTCCTGTTTTCGCCCACTTGCAAAGCCGCCGCCAAACGCGTCTGATTGACTGTATCAAATCTTACGCGCCGCTTGTTGAATGACACGTCCACTTGTCACTCAACCAGAATGTATGACGCTGCATCTACGGACAACGTGCTCAACATCACGGAGTTGCGATACCAGAAATCATCGAATCAGTGCACGCCTCAGCTTGGATTTTCTCTACTTCTAATTCCAGCAGTACTCGTTCATTTGGAATTCGGCGACCGCGATACTTTCTTGGGGGTCGCTTCTTGAAGATTGCTTGCTGCCTGCTTGCTTACAACGGAGCACTGCACACTCCGCCGTCAAGCCTCGAACGCGCTACCCAGGCACAGAGCGTTGGAACCCGTTCTCACGTGCGCCACCCCTGTGTGTACTGGTCTCAAGGTACTTGAAGACCTTCGACCAATCATCGTGCCTCAGTTTCTCATCATCGAAACCTGCGATCGAGCATCGCATTCTACAGATTCCTGTCAAGCAATATCGAGTGCAATTTTTGCAGTTCTTTCTTCAAGGAATTCATGGACGTATCGCGAGGGACGACAGAGACTCGAATGTTTTACCAGTCAACGTTGCCATCGGTCGCCATATCTAACAATTTAACACAAGATGATTCAAGAAAACGGCGCGAACCAACGACTGTCGGTACTTAATCAGCGACCCTCGGTCTTGAGCGGACCAGACCTTCTCCACGAGCTTGTGCGTCCATTTGATCATGACGCAACTGCTATCGATTTCCTGGAATATGGATCGAAAAGGCGGAAGTTCTCCTACAAGAACTTGCATAGTCTGAGCGATGCCTTGGCTGGCAGGATCACAGATAGATTGGCAAAGCTCGAAAGTGCCTCGCCTGTCATTCCGGTCTTCCTACCACAGTCCCCAGAGCTGTATATTGTTCTTTTGGCCATTTTGAAGGCAGGCAAGGCCTTCTGCCCTCTTAATCTCGACACACCTACAGAGCGGCTGAAGTTTATCCTCGATGATATTTCCGCTGACCTGCTCATCTCATCTTCGATTCTAGATGGGCGGATACGAGCAGCGATCAACATCGATGTGGTCTCCGTTGACAGCGAACTCGGCAACCGCGAAGACCAGCCTAAAATCGATTTGCGGCGACCAAACACCACCGATCTAGCCTATGTACTATATACCTCCGGCTCTACCGGGAAGCCTAAGGCTGTCAGCGTAACTCATCATGCAGTCACCCAGAGTCTATTGGCTCACAACCGCCACATTCCCGACTTCACCCGTTTTCTTCAATTCGCAGCCCCTGTAAGTGCACATGCAGAACAGGCGCTCTTTCTCTACTAATGTAGTGCAAGACGTTTGATGTTTCCATTTTTGAGATATTCTTTCCCTGGTTTCGAGGGCGAACCCTGGTCAGCAGCACACGTACGCACATGCTCGATGACCTTCCAGGAGCCATTAACAATCTAGAGGTCGACGCAGCTGAACTTACGCCAACAGTCGTGAGCAACCTTCTTCAGGGCAGGTCCAGTGTGCCCGGCCTCAAACTGTTACTTACCATCGGTGAGATGCTCACCCAACACGTCATCGATGAGTATGGTGGTGACGAAATAAAGGAGAGTATGTTATGGGCCATGTACGGGCCAACTGAAGCCTCAATTCACTGCACGCTGCAGCCACAGTTCTCGACACATTCATCAACTAGTATCATAGGCCGTCCCTTAGATACTGTGTCAGCTTTCATAATCGCGCCTATGACTGAGGATCGACCATCGGCTGGCATTGAGATACTGAGTTCCGGGGAGGTTGGTGAACTAACCATCGGAGGACCCCAGGTTGCCGAAGGGTATTTGAACCGCCCAGATCTCACTTCTACATCATTCATCGAACATCCGGAATATGGTCGCTTATATCGTACCGGCGATCGCGCAAGAATCAACCGTCACGGGGTCTTGGAATGCTTGGGCCGTATCGTTGCTGGTCAGGTAAAGCTGCGAGGGCAACGGGTCGAGCTCGGCGAAATTGAACAGGTTATCATGAGGATACAGAGCTGTCGGACAGCAACCGTAATCATTGTCCAAGAGTCTCTGGTTGCCTTTTGCGCTGCCGACTCGCGCAAAGTCACCCGCGCAGATGTTTTCGCTGTCTGTAACCAATGGCTTCCGGCATTCATGATCCCATCAGACGTACACTTCATCGATACTATGCCGCAGCTACCGTCAGGAAAGGTTGACAAAGATGCTCTCGCAAAGACACATCTTTACAAGACTGACTCTACTGGACCGTCTACGTCGACCACCATATCCACAGGCGATCATGTGAGCCAAGCAGTCCTGGGAACTTTTGGGCGTCATATTTCTCAAAACCTTGGATCAGATACAGACCTCATCTCTGCTGGCCTGGATTCCCTTCGAGCTATTCGCATAGCGTCTGCGCTACGTCGAGAGGGATTCATCCTAGGAGCGATGGAAGTGCTATCTGCGAGAACATTGAGAGATCTTGTTGCGATATGTAGAGATTCTACACAAAGCGCTAATCGGCATAATCCGACGCATGATTCTGCGAAGATGAACGGCAACGTAGAGATGCCTCAGCTCAAGCGGTGGAGGAACGATATCACATCCGTGATACCTTGTACTCCATTGCAGGAAGCCATGCTTGCAGAGACGATGTCCAGGCCTACTGCCTATTGTAACTGGATCGAAGTTGAGCTAGCAATTACGCGGACGTATGAAGATATCCGAAACGCCCTGAACTACTTGGCCAGTAAGAGCGAGATTCTGCGTACCGGCTTCGTTGCGGAATCACAGCGCGCAGGAACGTTCTCGCAGATCATTTGGAGAGAATTACTACCAGCACAGATTCAGGAAGTTGACGTCTTTTCGAGATCTTACTCAATGAGCTCCGATGAGGAATTTCTTCGTCCATTTCACGTACAAGTAATGTCAATCTCTGGACGACCCCGTCTGTTGTTCCGCATACACCATGCACTGTACGATGGGTGGTCGTTCGATTTATTGCTCCACGACCTTGACACACGATTGCATGGAAAAGAAACAGTATCGCGGCCACAATTTCGTGAAGTAGTCCAGTACTTCACCCAAGTCATGCCTGAAGATCAAGAAGTACTCAAGGGCTACTGGAGTAGTCTCCTCGGTGGCTACCTTCCGGTGGCGCTCCCTAATTACCATGGAAAGCTTGTTCGCGATCCGGCGACACATCACTTTTCGGGCCGATCTGCTGTCAACAGATCCGAACTATTCCAGCGAGCTCAGGAGATGGTTGTCAACCCCCAGGTCTATTTCCAGGCGGCTACTGCGTACATACTCAGCCTTTATAGCGGCACAAACGACATAGTTCTTGGAAATGTTACCTCAGGACGGACCATTCCCATCGCTGGCGTGGAGGATGTTATCGGCCCATGCATTGCAACCGTTCCTTTCCGCATAAATCTCGGTAACATGCTTAACATTCATGATCTGTTGCATACGACCCAAGCATTGAACAGAGAATGTCTGAGTCACAGCACCCTTCCTTTCCGGGACATAGTGAAGGCGGGGAATATCCCACCTGGGACACGGCTCTTCGACGTTTTGTTTGTATGGCAACAGTCACTTATCTCAGACTCAAGCTCGTCGCTCACTGCAAGAGTCATCGACAGCGCGGACGATCTGGAATTCAGACTTACGCTGGAATTCGAGCCGCGCGAGGACAACATATTTTTCCACGCTACGTACGACGCCTCAACTATATCAGAGCATCAGATCAAATATCTCTCTCGCCAGATCGACGAGATAGTGACCCTGCTCTTATCAAACACCAACCATGACATCGATGCCACGAAACGATGCTTCACCACGCCTTCCTTGTCAATCGCCAACCCCACGCCTCGACAGCGAACTATAGAGCATGGTCCTGCTCATGCGGTAGAGCAATGGGCCCTGAAAGATCCGCGAAGGTCAGCTCTCAAATTCGCTCGTGTCAAATGTGGTGTCGTGGAAGTCGAAGAGGTGGCGACCTATGGTCTGCTCAACACACGCGCTAACCAATTTGCCCGTGTCCTCGCCGATCATGGCGTAGGCAACGATCAATTGGTTTGCATCATGATGGAAAAGTCGACCGAGCTTTACGTCTGTATCCTTGCTGTGCTCAAACTTGGTTGCGGATATCTACCGATAGTCCCTGATACGCCGATCGACAGAGTCAGAAGCATTCTGGACGACGCGCAAGTAAAGGTGTGCGTTTCCGACACAACAACTGCAATAAGCATTCGGAATCATCTTCCCGTCGACCTTATTGAATTCAACACCACCCAACTTGCGAAACAATATGATCAGAACCTGGACATGTCATATAACGGACAGCATCTCGCCTATGCTGTATTCACTTCCGGCAGCACTGGAGCGCCCAAGGGAGTTCTTGTTACCCAGGATAATCTCATGAGTAACTTGCAATATCTTTCAACTATATACCCCGTTCCTGCGGGCTCATGCCTGCTTCAGTCTTGCTCGCAAGCATTTGATGTCAGTGTCTTCGAGATATTCTTCTCGTGGCACGTTGGCATATGCCTATGCACGGCAACGAAAGACGACTTGTTTCACGACTTTGAGGCTGCGATCAATTGTCTGGGCGTCACACATCTAAGTCTTACGCCAACCGTTGCAGCATTGGTAGATCCAGAGAATGTGCCGAAAGTCGAATTTCTGGTGACTGCTGGAGAAGCTTTGACGGAACATGTTCGAAGAATGTGGGCAGGCAAAGGCTTGTACCAAGGCTACGGTCCTTCTGAGACCACAAACATATGCACTGTACGAGCGGCGGTAACTCCGGATGATCTGATCAACAACATCGGTATGCCTTTCGATAATACTTCAGCCCTCGTGCTTGATCCCGAAAGCGAGGCAATTCTCCCCCTCGGTGCCGTAGGTGAGCTTTGTTTCGGAGGGTACCAGGTTTTCCGTGGCTATTTGAACCGACCGGAGCTGAATGCCGCGAAGATCATCAACCACTCCACTTATGGTAGAATATACCGGTCAGGCGATACAGGTATACTACTCCCGGACGGATCCATACTTTCCAAAGGCCGTATGGATGATCAAGTCAAGATTCGTGGTCAGCGTGTCGAACTCGGTGAGATAACCTCAGTGATACTCGATCATCAGGCAGTGCAAGACTGCGTCACCCTTCTCCTACCGCGTTCCGACGATACCCAAACACTGGTAGTGTTCTGGGTACCCGACGGAGCTGCATCTAACTCTTTCCAACGTTTGGAGCCTATGGGGTTTGAATCCGTGATATCGGATCTGTCTGATCTGCTATCGCGCCGCCTGCCTTCATACATGATTCCCTCGCACCTCGTTCCCGTTTCGCGCCTTCCAATGACAATGCAAGCCAAAATCGACAAAGCTCTCCTTCAACGTATGTTCTGGGACTTAGCGGAAGAAGAACAGGTCGCCCTGCACTGGACCCAGGGCGATGAAAAGGTGGAGGATTTCTCACCGTGGGAGAAAGCCGTGGCCCAGGTTCTTTCATCGATACTCAATATCTTACCAGAAGGAATCCAGCGGACGTCATCATTCTTCAGTCTGGGTCTGGATTCAGTTTCAGCTATACGCTTTTGCAACGGACTTCGAAAACAGGACTTGGGTGACTTCTCCATCTCTACAGTATTGAAGAACGCTTCAATCGCTCGTCTCGCATCTGTCTGTCGACTGCATCCGCGACCATCGACTCGGGAAACGGCTAAGCCTAATACCGTCAGCCTAGACAATTTCTTGAAACCAGAAGAAGTGTCTCGTGTTCTTGCGCGTTACACTAAAAGCGGATCACAGGTGGTAAAGATCCTACCGTGCACACCACTTCAAGAGGCTATGCTTTCAAGCAGCCAGCCGTCCTCACATTCGGCGTACTGCAACATAATGCTTTTCGACGTCAAAGGAGACGTCTCTCGGTTGCAGGAGTCCTGGACGAGTATGCTACGGCGACATGAGATCCTTCGCACATGTTTCGTTGCTACTGAAAACCCGTCATTCGCCTTCACGCAAGTTGTGCTACGCAATACTAAGCTGAATTGGCATCACTACAACACCCTGGACGGCCTACCGCCCCGTATAAACAGCGCTATTTCTGACCAACTAGCAGCCGAAAGCCCTCCAATTCACCTCGCGTTGATACAAGACGGGCGATCAACAAAGCTACTTTTTGGCTGCCACCATGCGCTCTACGACGGCATTGCTATCTCTACGCTCATTCAGGAAGTACAAGATACGTATCTCGGCATCAAAATTCCGCCACCGGTGTCTTACGATGTATATCTGCAATATATGCTCCAGCAAGATTATGCAGAGGGTGATAAGTATTGGGCCACTCTATTGAGCGGGTTTGAGCCTACGCTCTTTCCCAATCTTACCGGCAACGATTCAAGAGCCCAAGGAAACCCTGCATCTTCATCGAAATGTCTACAACTACCACTCTCCACCATACGCACAGCATGTCAAGACATGTCGCTGTCATTACTGTCGGTAGTGCACGCGGCTTGGGCCAAGCTTCTGCGCTTCTATACAGGTGAAAACGACATTTGCTTCGGAAACGTCGTTAATGGACGCAATATCTCCAGAGACGACCTCGGTCGCATCATTGCTCCTTGCTTTAATACCTTACCCGTCCGCATCATTCTCGATCCTCAGCAAACTAATGACGCTTTAATGCGCCTAGCCCATTCTATTAGCATCGAGTCGCTAGCTCATCAGTTGACACCGCTCCGTCGCATACAAAGCACTGTACTCCGTGAGGGTGGCCGTCTTTTTGACACCTTGGTGATACTTCAGCAGCCGAAAACAACCTTGGACTCCACTATCTGGACACTTGAACAAGATCTGGGTGACATGGATCTACCCATCGTATGCGAGCTTATTCAAGATCCGGCCCAGAATACTCTAGAGTTATCACTGCACTACCAGACATCACTGTTGTCTGAAGCGGAAGGTCAGCTGGTAATGGAAACCTTTGACACCTGCATTTCATCATTGCTGGCGTCTCCGGAAATGAGCTCCACCGACATAAGCACACTGCCAGCTCACCTTCGAGCAGAGTCCAACATGGCTTATGAGCGATGCCAAACCGACGCAGCCTTGCTACATTCGGGTTTCGAACGCATCGCAGCAATGCACCCCGACCGTGTCGCCTTGGAATACTTGCTTCCAGATGGTGGAAAGACGATTTGGTCTTTCGCGACTTTGAATGAAAAAGCAAACTCTGTTGCACATGCGCTCATTGGACAAGGGATTGGTCCTGAAGATATCGTCCCAATTCACATGCAGAAGAGCCCTTGTTTCTATGCAAGTTTTCTGGGAGTTATGAAAGCTGGGGCTGCTTTTGCACCGGTATATCCTGGTTTGCCTGAAGCACGCAGACGAGTTATGTTCCAAGAGCTGAAGCCAAAGCTTGTGCTTTGCTCGGAAACCTCAACACTTCCCGCTCATCTAATTGAAGCGAGGGTTGTCAACGTTGAAGCTATAACATCTGCGCCGCATCATAATCCCGTCATTGAAGGCCTCGTGGACTCGAATCTAGCCTATTGTCTGTTCACCTCTGGCTCTACAGGCGTACCGAAAGCGGTCAGCATGGAACATCGTGCTCCTGTCCAGACCATCGCAAGCTCAGAGTCCCGCATTCCCTGGAACACTTCCTCACGACTGCTACAATATGCGGCTGTAACTTTCGATATGTGCTACTACGACTGTTTCTTGGCTTGGACCCTTGGGTTCACGCTCTGTACCACTGACCAGAATGAGTTGTTGAACGACCTACCGAAAGTCATCAATTCTTTGCAGATCAGCTTGCTCGACCTGACCCCTTCAGTAGCGGTTTTGCTCAAGAGATCTGATATACCGAGCGTCAAGTTATTGTACTGCATCGGAGAAGCCATGGCGCACGTTATCGTGAAGGAATGGGGCGATGCATGCGTCAACTCGTACGGGCCTACTGAAGCTGCATTCTGTACGACAATAAGCCCTGTTTCAGTAAACGGTCGTGTTTCAATCATCGGCAAACCCTTCCCAAGCACATCTTTTGCAATCTTCTCGCCAGGATGCAAATCGATCTTGCCTATGCTGAGCACCGGCGAACTCTACATTGGAGGCGCACAACTCGCACGAGGCTACCTCGGCAATCCCGATCTGACAAGCGAACGGTTTGTCATTTGGGGTGGGCAACGCTTTTATAAGAGTGGCGACATGGCGAGGATGCTGAGTGACGGCAATTTCGAATTCATAGGACGCACTGACGATCAGGTCAAGATACGCGGGCTCAGGGTAGAGCTCGGCGAGATCAATCACGTGCTCCAGAATTCCCATTCAGAGGTTGCGTTCGTCACTACACAGATCTTGAGAAAGGAGAAGACAGGCAAGGACCAACTCGTGGCATTTCTGGTTACGCGTGGCAAGATCGAAGAGAGTGAGCTCAAGAGGATTGCAAGCAGCCGGCTACCGTCTTACATGGTACCCCAATTCTTTCTCTTTGTCGACAAGATTCCGAGATCAATGGCTGGGAAGATTGACAAGAAAGCGTTGACGAACATATTCCGAGACCGCAGCGGTACCCAATCGCTCACTAATGAATTTCGACATGGCTCAGATCATCAATGGACGCACGTGGAAACCGAGGTGAGGGACATTTTTGCGCGATTATCCGACGCTTCGCAAGAAGAGATCTCCCCAACAACCTCCATCTACCAGCTCGGTCTTGACAGCATCAGCGCAGTGCAAATTGCAGCTGCTCTTCGAAAGCAAGGTTACTCCGTGAATGCTGCCGATGTTCTAAGTCACACAACATGCGTCGATCTTGCCGCTTTCATAGATCAAGCGAAAGCATCGGAGGTGTCTGCACCTTTGCAGTTCGACTTTGGTGCTTTTGAACGCAAGCACAAGACGCAGGTACTAAGTGACCATAGCGTCTCTGATGAGTATGTCGTAGCCGTTCGTCCTTGCACTCCACTCCAGAAGGGCATGATATCACAATTCCTCGCGACAGAAGGAGCTGTGTATATGAATCACATTCGTATGCAGTTGGAAGTGGGTACAGACCTCGAAAAGCTCAAGAAAGCATGGGATGTGACGAGAGAACGCCACAGTATACTGCGCAGCGGATTCGCTCAGATCAAGGATCCGCTTCACGCCTTCGCGATGATTGAGTATACTCCAACTTCGACGGATCTGCCATGGTCTATCACCTCAAGCACTACCTCCGACCCGATTGATAAATGGCTCCAAGGCATACAACGCGCATTCTTGAAAAGATTATATTTACCACCTTGGTCGTTGCGCATCATCCAAGAAGAGGGTCACTTCGCTGTTGATCTGGCCATGTTCCATGCTCTCTTCGATGCGCAAAGTCTTCAGTCTATCTTGAATGATGTTACTGCTGCATATGAGGGCCGCGCTTTGCTGCCGCCTACATCTATCGACACAATCATTAGCAGTATTATACAGCTCAGTGCTACAAGGACGGAAGACGGAGAAGCAGTATGGATTGAAATTGGGAAGGGTGCAAATCCATGCCGCTTTCCCAATCTCACACCTTTGAGACATTGTCCAAGCCCCCCTTCCGTTTGCACTCGCCAATCCACGAAACCGCTTCATATCCTGGAGAATGGCTGTCGGAATACCAACATTACTATGCAAGCCGCAGGCATTGCGAGTTGGCTTTCATTGTTGAGCTCTTACACTGGAGAAAGCTCAGTAACATGCGGAGTTGTCTTATCCGGTCGAACCTTTGACGGAGCCGAGGATGTCGTCTTTCCATGCATCAACACAGTACCCATAGCATGCACCGTTTCGAAAGACATGGCTGTGACTCTTACTAACATTATGGCGTTGAACACCCAAATCCAGCAATATCAATCCACATCACTCAACAAGATCCAGAGAATTATGGGCTTTCCAAACGAAGCATTATTTGACACAATTTTCGCTTACCAGAAGCTGTCTAGTCGTACAGAATCTAGCCAGTTATGGAGAGTTGTTGAAGAGAACGCGGCTATTGAGTACCCGATTTCAATCGAACTGGAACCGATGGAGGGGTACTTGGAGTATCGTCTTACGTTCTTGCCTCATATCGTACCAAACGAGCAAGCCGCTCTGATCCTCGAGCAGCTAGACCACTTGATGGAGAACTATACGTCAAGCATTACTGCGACCGAGACCCACTTCTCCGAACAACTATACTCTATCACGCCTGCTAAAGAACCTGAACTGCCATCTGATGTTAGGTTACTCCACGAGCTGGTCGAGAGCACTGCGACGAAGTACCCTAGGCGTGTCGCGTTTGAGTTCGTTTCCGCGAAAGACAAGGGCTCACGTACTATTGAGCAATGGACGTATGCTGAGCTAGATGCTGAGGGTAACAGAATTGCTCACCTTATCACTTCGCATGGTGTGCAGCCTGGTAATCTGGTTGGTGTGTGTTTCGACAAATGTCCTGAAGCATCTTTTGCCATGCTGGGGATATTGAAGGCTGGCTGCGCTTTTGTCGCTATCGATCCTGGTGCGCCTGCTGCACGTCAGGCTTTTATCGTTGAAGACTCGCGCGCTCAAGCTGTTATATCTCTATCTTCTCAAGCTGGTCAGTTTGAGGGCAGCGTTAGTGTGCCAGTACTAAAGCTTGACAAGATCGACTGGCGTTCACTACCCGGATCTTCGCTTTTGCGCAACGATCAGATCCATTCTCAGGATCGTAGCTACTGCTTGTATACTTCTGGTACTACAGGTACGCCAAAAGGCTGCGAGCTTACTCATGAGAATGCTGTGCAGGCGCTTCTTGCTTTCCAGCGCTTGTTTGCCGGACATTGGGACACGAATTCGCGATGGCTTCAATTCGCCTCATTCCACTTCGACGTTTCAGTCCTTGAGCAGTACTGGAGTTGGTCGGTCGGCATATGCGTCGTTTCAGCACCTCGGGACCTCATCTTTGAAGATCTGGCAAAGACCATCTCTAATCTCAATATCACCCATATCGATCTGACGCCCAGTCTCGCCCAAATTCTCCATCCAGATGACGTACCCAGCCTTTGTGAGGGCGTCTTCATTACCGGCGGCGAAAGCCTGAAACAAGAAATCCTTGATGTGTGGGGTCCAAAAGGCGTAATTTACAACGGATATGGGCCGACGGAAGCAACGATAGGATGCACCATGTTTCCACGCGTTCCATCCAATGGAAGGCCCTCCAATATCGGCCCTCAGTTTGACAATGTGGGGTCTTTGGTTCTTCATCCCGGATCCGAAGTACCTGTCCTACGAGGTGGCGTAGGCGAACTCTGTGTTTCAGGAAAACTCGTTGGCAGAGGCTACCTCAATCGCCCAGGGCTGACTGCAGAGCGCTTCCCTCACCTTGAACGTTTAGGTGGGCGTGTGTATCGGACCGGCGATCTTGTTAGAATCCTACACGATGGCACATTCCAGTTCCTTGGGCGGGCAGACGACCAGGTCAAATTACGTGGGCAACGCCTCGAGGTAGCCGAGATCAACTCCGTCATCAAGCAGTCCAGCTCGGCGATCTCTGATGTTGCAACGCTAGTACTAAAGCACCCAAAGCAGCAAAAAGAGCAGCTGGTTGCCTTCGTTGTGTGTAGCAAACTCTCCAGGGCACAACCTCAGGTACAGCTAGGCGAGTTCGGGGCGATGGGGATCGCGAAGGAAGCCTGCCATGAAAAACTTCCTCCATACATGATTCCCACGCACTTAGTTCCTCTCTCTACAATGCCATTGAACATTAACAACAAGGCGGATGCCAAAAAGCTCAAGGAACTTTACGACGCGCTTTCCTCTAGCGATCTGCAGGCAATCTCGGCCACTTCAAACGACAAAGACGAAGTTTGGTCGAAGTATGAGAAGAAGCTTCGTCAAGTACTCTCTCAAGCTCTAGGTGTTAGCGAACAATCTATCAGTAAGGATACTAGCTGCTTCGAGATGGGCATGGACTCGATCTCCGTCATTGGAATATCACACACACTCAAGCAGTCAGGCTTCGCAAGTGCTACTGCATCTGTAGTAATGCGATGCCCAACCATTCGACGTCTCGCCAGAGCCTTGGAGGCTGGCGGCCCCACTGATCAGGCTTATGGATCTGTCCTCGCGGCACAACAATCTATTCACGCAGTACAGCACCGCTACAAACGGTCTGTCGCTCAATCACTCTCGATCGAATCCAGCGTCATCGAAGTCGTCGCGCCATGTACTCCTTTACAACAAGGCATGATCGCGAGATCTCTGGAGAGCGAGAACGGACTTTATTTCAATACCTTCCATTTCAAGCTATATGACAGCATCGATGAACGAAGGCTTGAAGCCGCATGGGAAAAGGTACATGCTTTAACTCCCATACTTCGTACGGTCTTCGTCAACACGGAAGAAGGTCATGTGCAGGTAGTTCTCCGTGCTACTCATCACAGTGGAATGGCACACACTTCAACCAAAGAACACCACCTCGCTAAAGACCTACAATCGTTGCGACAAGGCTGGTTAGAGTTCAATCAACCCGATATTAGACAACCTTTTGAGTTACATCTCATCACTAGCCCAACGCAGAAGCTACTATCTGTTCACGTCTTTCATGGACTCTACGATGGCAACAGCATCGAGCTCATCTTCCGGGCCGTTTGGGACGTCTACAACGACAGGAATGCACAATTACATGCACCTGCTTTCCACACTGCGCTTGCTCATGGTCCGCTCAGTATCCCTGACGGGGCGAAGGAGTTCTGGCAGAACCATCTGGATAAGCAAACCCTTCATTTACCCACCGTATCCAGCGAGGCTAGCCAAGAAGCTGTGGTTGTTACACGTACACTGTCTGGGTTGACCGGTTTCGACTCTGTGCGACGCCAACTCAATGTTACAGCACAAGCTATTGCCCAAGCTTGCTGGCTCAGCGTACTTTGCGAGCAGGTCAAAAGAGCTGTGACGGTTGGAATAGTCGTCTCTGGACGCAGTATCGACCTTGAAGGTGCAGATCGCATCATAGGGCCAATGTTCAACACCATCCCCTATCAACATTGTGCTCAGCGAGGCGAATCTTGGTCATCGGCAATCAAACGAGTGCACGATTTCAACGTCGAAGCTCATCCTTATCAGCACACTCCACTGAGACAAATCATGAAGTGGTTCAAAAGAACTCCAAGCCAGCCTCTCTTCGACAATCTCTTCGCGTACCAAATCGCTCAGGGAGATGACGAGTGGGCAAAAAACGACGCTTGGGAGATCATGGACAGTGATACTGTCGCTGACTACCCTCTGGCTCTCGAGGTTGAGCAACGAAGGGGCGATGTGTTCAAGTTGACATTGGTCAGTCAAGATCATGTCGCACATGAGTGTCTGGCGAATGAGCTTCTTGATCGATTCGAAGAAGCATTGCGACAGGTCTTAGTAGATCCGTCTACTATTCCTGAAGTAACCTTCGAAGATGGAGTGATGCAAAACGGTATAATATCCGAAAATGAAAAGATCCGCAACGGCGACAAGACGAGCGATTTTAAATGGACGAGCGATGCCATCAAGATCAAAGAGGAGACTGCTCAACTATCGGGTCTTGAGTTTACAAGCATCAACGAGAACACCTCCATCTTCGAACTTGGACTCGACAGTATCGATGCCATCAAGTTATCATCCAAGCTCAAGAAGCGCGGAGTGGACATTCCCGTAAGCGGCATCATGCGCGGGCTGACCATTGCGAAGATGGTGCAATTTATTTCGCCCACAGAAACGCCAACCCAAGCGACTCTGCAGCTGAACCTTGACGCCTACAAGAGATCATTGGAGAGGTGTCTCGAACAGCATACGTTCAACAACGCCAGTGTTGAGGAAGTTCTACCCTTGACACCTTTGCAAGAAGCTATGGTGGCTGAGATGATCGCGTCAGACTACACAAGATACTACAATCACGATGTACTCGAATTGGATCCCAATACAGAAGTCAAGAAGCTCCGAGAGGCTTGGACAGTAGTCGTCGCCGCGTCACCAATCTTACGGACTGGATTCGTGGAGGTAGATGATCCGCAATTCGACAATTCTTTCGTACAGGTTGTCCACAAACGACATCATGACTTCTGGACCCGTGTTGAATTAGAGGGCAGGCCCGACTTTGCCTCGATCTTTCGTGAACTTCGACATGATTCCCTACGGAAGTCGCTTTCAACACCTCGCTTCCACCTTAGCTTCGTGGAGACACCTGGCCAGTGCTACCTTGTTCTCTCCATTGCTCATGCTCTATACGATGGCTGGTCTCTTGGATTACTGCATTCTGATGTGCAACGAGCTTATAACGATGAGTTTAGCCCTCGACCAAGCTACGAGGCTTCTTTGATCAACATCGTCACAACATCCGGATCTGCTTCCGCAGGCTTTTGGCAAGATTATCTCTCGGGGGCCATAACAAGCTCTTTCCCTCGAAGGACGAACATCTCCAGCGAGATTGGCAGCCATGTTCATCGCCACGAACGAAAGAGCGCAGTGGTACTAGATGAACTCCAGCCGTTCGCGAGAAGGTGCAATGTGTCATTGCAGACTATCGGCCAAACCGTCTTTGCTCTCGTTACTGCGTTCTACACCAACAGTCTCGATGTCACCTTCGGCTCTGTATTGTCCGGAAGAGACGACGAAGAACGATCCCAATTGTTATTTCCCATTATGAACACGATTGCGATACGGTCAGTCCTGCACGGATCTGGAGGAGACATGTTGCATTACATGCAAGACAACTTCACAAGCATCCAGCAGTGGCAACACTACCCACTTCGGAAAGCACTATCTGCAGCAGGTGTTGATGGAAGGCTGTTGAAAAGTCTATTCATTTACCAAAAGGGTTTCGCGTCAGAGAAAGACGAGGGAGAAAAGCTGTACACAAGCATCGAGGGCCATAGTGATGTTGAGTATCCAGTGTGTGTAGAGATGGAGGTGATGGACAAGAGCTTGGTATGGCGCTGTGCGGTGAAAGAGGAGGTGTTCGACGAAGGGGGTTCGAGACAGCTCCTCGATCGAATGGATGACGTGCTTAGACACTTGATGGAGCAGCCAGAGACGTCTGTCATTGAGGTCACTACAAACGGCACATCGGTATGTGGTATGCCGGCTTTCGAGCAGAGACGAGGTCGTGCGACAAGCAGCCCTGAGGTAGTCGACGACGAACACGCTGTGGATCCACTAAGCACCAAAACAGCTCGCAAGATACGCGAAACGCTGGCCTTTGTGTCAAAGACACCCGAAGATGGGATGACGAGCGGCATGACCATATTTCACATGGGCCTAGACTCTATCAGCGCGATCAAGGTCTCTTCTCTTCTGCGCAAACAGGGCATTATCCTCGGCGTTGGTGAGATGCTCCGAGCTGGTACGGTCGAACAGATGGCAAGTCTTGTGGATTCGCGCACCACACAGGAGCTGGAAACCAGTTCCGATCCTCACGAGGTGGTTCGGGAGGCTCTCAAAGATCTCGATAGAGCGCACATCCTAGACCGGGCTCATATTGACGATGCAAGTGTCACCGAAATTCTACCAGTTGCCGCCGGACAGCTATACATGCTGTCGAAGTGGCTAAATACCAACGGTAGCAACTTTTACGCCGAGTTCACATACGCCATCCATGGAGGTATTGGTCTCAACGACCTCAAGAACTCGTGGAAAGCCTTGGTTGCGACAAGTCCAGTTCTGCGGTCCTGCTTCGTTGCAACTGGCGATTGTCGAATTCCTTACGTAGCAGTCGTGTTGAAAGATGTGGAAGGCTCTATCACAGACATCACAGGCTGCGCATATGACGATGTCCGCAAGCGCGTCCGAGTTACAACGACCACACAGCCATGGGCCCATCTCTTCGCCTCACAAACCTCCAGCGGCTGGGCGTTGAAGCTGAAGATCCACCATGCATTGTACGATGGTGTCAGCTTACCTCTTTTGATGCAGAAACTGCAAGCTTTCTGCAACGGCGCTAAAGCCGCTCCGCCAGACGATACATTTGCCCGAATTGTCGCCAATGGATACAGGGCATCGGAACGAGAGAAGAAGAAGGCCTTCTGGACGCAGTATCTCACAAACTATGCCGAGGGGCTCCTAGTACAGCCTTCTGCGAACCCCACAACGAGAACAGAGCTCTATAGGCCAGCCTTGTTCGCAACTCCCGATCTAGAGGCCGCTGCTCGTGAACGCGGTGTCTCAACGCAGTCAACCTTCCTCGCTGCGTACGCAAAAGTCCACGCCACGAACACATCAAGGACTGAAGACGAAGATGTGGTCATCGGTGTCTACCTCGCCAATCGCTCGCTGCCTATCAACGATATAGCCTCTGCCGCCGTACCAACAGTCAATCTGCTACCACTACGCGTCAGGCAGCCGCTCGAGCGACGGGTCGTAGAAGTAGCTGTAGATATTCAACGCGATCTGCAAGACATCAGTAGCCCCATGAACGCTTCTGCTAGCCTCTTCGAGATCAGCGAATGGACGGGTGTCAAGGTCGACACTTTCGTAAACTTCCTGTCTCTGCCGGATACCCCAGAGGCAGAGGGAGAAACCCAGAGCAAGGACTCTATCACCATCAAACCGACTCAACAATGGCAGCAGCCGGTCAGTAGGGTGACCGAAGTGGAGGAGCACAGCTTGGAACCACCTGCTGAACTAGTGGACGAGCGTGTCAATGGCGCATATTTAGTGAGTTTGCCTCCTTTACGCGATATCGGAACTAGCAGGGACTAATAGACGCGTAGCATGCTATCGATATTGAGGCGACAATCCGCAACGGCGCCTTGGACGTAGGCGTTTTCGCACCAACCGCCATGCTGAGCCTTCATGATAGCGAAGGGCTGATATACGATCTGAGTAGACAACTCGAAGCGCTTTGATTGCGTCCATATTTTTCCTTTATTGGTTCTGGGATTCAACAACAATAGGCGTCTGGTCGACCTCTTTCCCCATGTTCGACGGCGTTGGGTTCGTTCGTTCCCTGTATGCTCTAGATACTAGATTTTGCATCCCCGTATATTTAGACTTTCCGCAATAGAACTTCACTCAGTCATCCTACGTACCTCCCTACTCACACCATGCCCATGTAGTTCGAATGTATGTGCTCCATGTCCGCGCAGGCCAACTTTATCAGGTAGTACCAGTTGGAAGCCTCATCGCGTGTGGTGGCTGTGCAGGTTTGTATTTGAAGCGGCAAGGAGGAAGAAGCTGCGGAAGCTATAGGTAAGAGTTCTAGCGGTTGGTGGCGCGGGAAGTGGAGAGGACGAGGCAGAGAAGAAGCGGGTAGTTGGCGCTGCCAAGGAAGAAGGGGTTGAGATGGCAGCGTGCCGTCTGTGAGGATCGGTCCTGGATTCTCGTGTCAATTAAAGCGACTTCGAACTTTTCGAGGCGATCGTCGTGCGTCTATAGGACGTATCTGAGTGATGTCGCATAGTATCTGGGAGTGAAGAGAGGACGCTAACAGGGTTACAGATCAGTAAACACCAGGGCTGGTACGGTGAGCATCCTCATCTCTAACCCCATAACGGGGCCGCTCAGGTACTCCGAGGCCCCTTTGGCAATAGATATCTTGAACAAAGGTACATGGATTGGTGTTGATGTGCCAGAAGGTTGTTGCGCAACCTTTGTATAACGGACGCGTGCGCGCAGAGGCTCGGAATGAGGTTGATTTCGAGAGATTGCGATGGGTCCAAAGCTCGCAGCACAGCAGCCAGCCAACAACTCAAGTAATGCAGAATGTTATTAGACTATATTCATAGTTTGAATGTCATGGTATCTCATGTACTCAATAACGCCTCGCTATCATGATCGTTAAATGTCGCTCACTTGAACTACCCAGTAAACGCAGAACCCGCTCTTCTCAGTATGATCTCGTCCGCACCACGAGACAGGTGTGCAGACTTAACTTCACAAGCTAACATAGCTCAGAAGGTCGTTATTATAAGCTGCTTACACCATCTGCTCACCGTGCCTGTCAGCACCAACAGGCTTCCTCTGCACGCGGCTCGAGGCGCTGCCGTGGTGACCGTGAGCAGGCCCGTCAGGATGAGGCATCATGGTACCCCTAGGACCATCTGCGGCATCGAAGGGTGCACCACCCCAGCTGGTTCCCTCAATTGTACCCCATCCAGCCTTGCGGGTGAAGACAGTGTCGTGGAAGCCGTCGAAAGAGCTTGGGCCGGCGCCGTAGACGAAAGGAGCGTGGCGCATGAGAGGAATGTGGTTGAAGCGGAAGTCCCAGACGGAAGCATAGGTCATACGGTAGGCACTGAAAGCCATCAGAGTGCCGATGACTGCTCCGGCGAGGATATCGTACTAGAGATCCCATTAGTAACTGTTCTAGTACATGATGCAAAAATTGTCAAGTCATACCCAATTGTGGTACTCGTCAATGGTAAGAGCACCTCCGATCAAGCAGGCTCCGAGAATAGGTGCGTAGAGAGCGATGAGCTTCCACATAGCCGGGTGGTGGTTGGAAAAGACCTTCAACTTAGCGTTGAGGTACAGGTAGAGGTAGACGAAACCAGCGAACGCAGCCGTGGTGTGGCCGGAAGGCATAGACTCAAGGCTGTCGTTGATCTCTTTCCTGTCACCTGTGCAGATGCTACGGTCGAACATGATCTGACGGTATCCATTTGCGACGTTGCCATAGGCGCTACCGGCTTCAACACCGTTGTCGTTGGCGCCGACAGTGTTGAGAATGTCGGCAGGGATGACAGGCTTGCAGACGGCAAGGAAGTGAGGGCGAAGGCCTCCAATGAGCCACTTGATGAAGACTTGGAAAACGGCTGCAGTGATCAAAGCGTAGAGAAGTCCGATGACAGCGTTGTTGAGATCCCAGAAGCTGCGAGCGCGGATCTGCACGATGAGGAACACGGCGAAGGGAATAAAGAACGCCATAAGAGCGGCAGCCCAAATGGGAACAATCTCGTTGCGCATAGGGTAGGCGAATTGCGGGTAGACAATTTCTCCATCTTGGAAGATGATGGGGAAGCTGCGGCTCGGGGCTGGATCAGCGAAGTATACACCGAGTCCGACAGCACCCATGAGAGCCATGGTGAGAATGTCGAGCCAGGTAGCCTTGAGCCATGATCCAAAGCCAGGCCTGCTGTTGTAGGACGAAGAGCCGCCCTTGGAAGCACGTCTAGGCCTGGCGCGCTTCTCGTGAGCACCGGTTGCGGTAGTGGTGTCTGCGGCGACAGGCGTCGTGTTGCGCTTGTTGAAGAAACCCATGTTTGTGGATGGTGGTTTCGTTGTCGAATAGGACTGCTGTAGTTGAGGTATCTATACGCGTGCTGATGACGTATTGTTGTCTCTGTTATGATTGTTTGTTCCGGAAGGGGTCAGGCAACAAATGGCGTAGCGTGGTGCCAGCGAAGCCAACGGCAGCTGCAGCTAGTGGACCGACTGAGCAGTTAAGGTGAGAGAAGAAGATGGATTGGCCTTGTGGAAACTCGATAGAAAGGCTTGTAATGCGAGTCTTATATCCCAAAGCCAATTTCCACACTACAAAGCGTCACACGGCCACGCACTCTGTCAAACGACATCATTTCAGCATCTCTGCCACTACATTGGTAAATTACCAGCCACAAACCGGTTGCTAACCCTGCCATTACTCTCGATCTGGACCGCTGGCGGCATGGTGATGTGGAGGGCATGGCGATCTTAACGCGATTAAGAGGCCTGACACAAGGAACCTTGGAACCTGGCAAAAGCTTGGTGCCGGTAGCCAAAGCTTGGTTTTGCTAGCGGTGGCTTTTGTGTGGCTGATCTGGTGGCGGTGATGTCAGGAAAGTGGCTTTCACGGCATTTTGGTGCCGGATCTGCCTTCGATTCTTCACGATGTGTGGCGCTGGGTCAATGGTGTTGCGCAGCCTGCATGTTCTGGTTTCTCATGTGCGAGGTCGATGCGCAATGACCGCTGGTGACGTCAGAGGGAAACATTTTGGAGCGATGCGCACATTTCGATGGGGTGAGCGTTATGCTCACGACACATCGCATCTCATTAGCACATCATCCAAATCATACACCATACGATGAAAATACTTGTGTCGCGTGCAGTCCTCCTGGGCTACTGTCATTGAACGGATATCTCTCGGTTTAGTACGTTGGATCGTGGGTTTCCGTTAAGCTCGCGTAGTCACAGACAACAAGGGATCAAGTAGAGACTCCATGTTCTCATTCAAACTCAATCAAAGCTGGGTACTGCAAAAAGTCTCCTTGCGCAAAACACGTCATGATGACAGACAAAATCAGGGCTGCTTGACCCACCCTACAGCCGATTGCTCCTCCAACTCCCGTTCTTCACCTGGGTATCATCCGCTTCCAACAATCGCACACACCCTTCCCCTCTCCATAGTGCATTCAACTCCCAACACCATTGCAACATGATCTAAGAGTGGATGTGGACCTCGGTGCTTCCGCTGCGATGCCATGTCGCAAGAAGCACGCCACAGCGACCACACTTGTGCTGGACGTCCTTGAGTGAGTTCATCACATACGGAATGCACCCCAAGCAGCAGAGGCAGCAAAGACCGAGAGCCCAGGCGTGCGTTGAGTTTCCCGTCTCGAATGCGACGTTGGTCATGGCACGCTGTCCACATGCAGGGCAATCTGTAGGCGCAGGTCCACGGTTCAGGTTCGCGATTGGTGTGGCGTTCTGGTAGACGGCTCCACTTTGTTGTTGGGGAGGCATGCCAGGCTGGGTGCCAGCGTGGTCAGGTTGCACGTATGCACCTTGGGGATGCTGAGGCGCTGGCGAGCCAGTAGGCTGGTCTTGAGGCTGTTGTGTGTACATGGCTGGTTGCTGCTGGTATTGTGCATTGGGATCTTGGGGGTAGATGGGTGGTTGACCGGTCGCGTCTGGCGACTGAGGGTATTGCTGCATGGGCACTTAAGACTGTTAGCAAGATAGTCATAGTATTTGAGATGGGTAAATTGAAGGCTATGAACGGCGTAGTCATTCAACGGACTATGCGCCTCATAACGGCGCAGTTCTTGGGTCGCATTGAATCGCGGAGAATCCATACACAACAGTAGACGGAGGACAATTACTAACCGTTTTGCTTCTCCATTGTGATAGACTATATCGTCAAAGCCTGTGGGATATTGTTCTGTGTTGCAGTAGTATGATGCTGCAAAAGAAGTTGGGCGTTGTGCAGCGGCGTTTACGACGATGTGAGATTGGACGTGGCTTTTATCGAAGCCTTTAGGCGTTCCGCCATCGCTTGGGTCCACGGCCAAGGGGGCTCAAACCGGGTGTCGCAAGCACAGCCTTCATTTCGCGTGATGATCACTGGCCGTTCACCCCGCGTAAGGCTCTTAGCTGCTTGACGAGGCCAATGAACGGTCCGAAGCTCGTACACGTATCATGATTGTATGCATGACTTGGAGGCGCTTCAGCCTCAGCTGCCCGCATTGGTGATGGGGCGAAGGGCGTTGGCGATGAAGGGTGCAAGTAGCGTGCCAGGGAATAGCGAGCCAAGGCTGTAATTTCCTGAAGCGGTTTGGCGCAGTCACGAACTTGGGGGCCAAAATCTATACTATTCTCATGTTATGCAAAGCCTTCTGTTGAACGCCTGGCTGACCCGCCGCACCACAACGGACATCGGCATGCTTTGTTGCCACATCGTCTTGGCTACATCACATAGATCTCGAACTGGACATTGCGCAGAAGTATGATGGCATTTGACATTAGGTGTAAGGCTGTGCAGACAACAGCGATCAGCACGTGGTTACAGAATATCTACTAGCGACTAGGGGGCTGCCCGTTCCTGCAGATGCCTATTTTTGCACCGCTGTGCCGCCGCAAGGTTTGTTGATTTCGACCAACCGAGACGTGACGAGACCAGGTGTGTGGAGATAGAACCGGTGAGCTGAGCGGGTGGGCAGACTGGTTCAATTTCACCGGTTATGCACGGTCTTCTCACGGCTTCAGTATCGCGTGTCCATGTCGTCTAGATCGACGTCGTCCTCTGACTCTACGTCAACGCCGCCGTTCGTTGGCTTTGCGTGACCGACATCGCTCCGGTTTAGCAGCTTCTGCTGTTCTGGGGTCAGGTCTACAACAGTAGGTGCGTAGTCGCCCAACTCATCATCAGCGTCTGCACCATTGACTTCCATCTCTACCCTTTCACCGTCCTCTAGTTCCAGCATACCACGCTTCAAATAAGAGCCCTCTGGTTCCCATCCGAACTCCTTCTGCATATAGTCTTGCAGATCCTCTAGCTCGTCTACCAAGTCAGCTTTCCACTTTCCGTCGAAGTCGTCGAGAGCTTTGCGGAATTGGCCGAAGAGCGGTTTCAAGAAGCCTCCACCAACATCGTTCATGTCGAATAAGTCGCCTTCTATATTAGCGCAATGGCCAAGCTGTATTCGCAAGCATCGCAAGAAATCGAGGAACAGGCGCGATCGCTGCTTAACGGCTTGCCGACATGTGAGTAAAAGGCGCAGGAGTCGCTTCCACTGTTCAAGACAGGAATTGTTGTTGAGGGTCAAGACCATAAGGAAAGTAAATTGCAGCTCGCCCAAGATTTCGTCCTCTCGTCCACGTAGATCGCCCGCCTGGCAGTGGTTGTCGATGAGGTCTCCCAGAAACCAGGATCGGTCTTGCGCAGCTTCTGTACGCTCTCTCCCGGTCGCGCCTTCTCTCCAAGTCTTTTTCAGATCGATGGGCAGGAATCGTAGCTCCTTCTCCGGATGTAGCATGCTGTTGCTAGTCTCTAGGCCGGGTATCTCATCCAGGTCCTGTGAGGCGGATGACGCGGATGTCAAGTTCCAGTGATCCGGGTTCAGGCCACATATCCTCGATAGCACAGTGGGTGTGACTTGCGATGTAAGCTTGCTCCAGTCCGTAGATTCCTCAGACCAGCCTTCTTCAGCACCAGAGTCCCCTTCCTGGACGCTTTGTCGGTAAGGTGTCAGGCCATCTTTCCATATGCTTCCGAGGTTCGCCTTGTGTCTCAGGACTTCGGTCTGCGAGGTTTCGGCTACAAGGTCCTCGGTACTCTCATCCCATTTCTTAACAAAGACTTGCGGCGAGCCTACGCCAGGCGTGACATAGAACCAGGCTCCGTGCCTTACAGACAAAGTACTGTCGCTTGCAGTGAAAACAAAATGCAGGCCTGGTGGAATATTTTTGACTCCTCGAAAACGTGGTGATGAAGTGAAGGACAGGAGGTCGATGCCAGCAAGTGCCTTGGGGGGCAAATTGAGCAGCAATACACAGTTGTTTATTATTGACGGATCCATCCTGGGGCGGAAGATTTCCTCGAACCAGGAGTGTCGGAGAATTTTGAGGATAGGTTTTTCGCAAAGCTCTACTCGAGCAGGTGAGAAATGGGGTATCATTAATTCCAGGAAGGGCAAGACGCGAAAATATCAAAACACGTGAGCGCGGCAGCCTAGCTCTGATGCAGGGTCCAGGCGATTAACGCGACGAAGGGAAGAACGCAGACGCTGAAGGGGGCCAGGAAGAAACAGAGGCCGAACAGACGCGTCGACCCCAGCGCTTAAGATTGTTTCGCCGCATGAGTAGCTATCGGGGAGCTTGTGGACATCTAATGCCATGTACCGGTAAAGAGTGACCGATATCTCCCCGAAACACACGCCATACGTCATCGAGTTAGTAGGAGGCTCGGCTCGGTATGGCGATCTCATCCCGACTCTCCACTTGGGATGGAGGGAACCATCTGATTGACGGGTGTCCCTTGACAAGAAGCCGTCGTGGCAGCCATCCTGTTGTCTAGACGCGATCTGCCTGGGCGACGTGCAACCTTCGCGACATCTCATCGCCCTACCCCGCCCGGCCCGGCCTACTGCCAGCAGTGAAACCTTTACCCACTCCCGGAGACCAGCGCGCAAGCACAGCAGCAGTTGCAGGTGACAGGAGCATTTGCAGCCCTTGAGGAGCCCGCTGCCCGCTAGTCGTGGCCTCGAGCTGTTACCGTGGAACTGGCGCATTCAACAGACCCTGCATATGCCCACGCTCTTCATGTTACCGGCAGAAGCATCCGTCCGAGCCATCCAACACACGACGCACTGAAGACGCACGCGCACAACCGCCGTCATGGACCGCCGTCGCACCCCCGGCCTCTCCTCGCTCTCCTCGCGCGGGCTGCAGAACCACCACTACACGTCGCACGGCGCCACGCTCCGAACCCGCAATGCCGACTCCCTCTCGACCCAGCTCTCCGTCTTCCAGTCGCTCCTCCACAACTTCGCCGTCACACACTCCAAGGACATTCGTGCCAACCCTGCTTTCCGCGCCGAGTTCGCGCGTATGTGCTCGGCGCTGAATATCGACTTCCTCGCCTCCTCGTACCACCGGGACACTAAAGATGGCAAGCCAAGTGGCGCTGGCGGGGAGAGCATCTGGGCACAACTGCTGGGCGGGAGTGTGAATGACTTCTACTTCAATCTGGGCGTCCTGATTGTCGAAGAGTGTCGGGCCACGAGATCAGAGAACGGCGGGCTCATCAGCGTCTCGGATCTCAAAGCACGCATATCCAAATCCCAGCGTATAGGCGGGAGCATGGAAGTCAGCGATGACGACATCAAGCGCGCCGTAGACTCGCTCGCTCCGCTCGGATCCTGCTTCTCTATCATGAAGATTGGGCACAGAAGCTTGATAAGAAGTGTACCCAAAGAGTTGAATACCGACCAGAGCACGGTACTCGAAGCCATACAGGTTCTTGGCTACGTCACCGTATCCATGTTGCAATTGAATCTCAACTGGGAGAGACCTCGGGCCCATGCTGTGGTCGAGGACCTCATGGCAGACAGCCTGGTGTGGGTCGACACACAAGCTGGGGAGAACGAGTACTGGAGTCCAGCCTTCCTCACTGCCGCAGGCATGAGCTCGTAGCATTCATAGGCTTGACACCAGAAACGAGCGCACGAGATATAGCATTATGATACCTGGTGTTACACACCACAACGTGCAGACGGCTAGAGTGGTATGTTTGGAGGCAAATTTATCATTACATATACAAACTATTATACATCTATTTCATCACCACAAAAGTTCAGTGTTGCAAATCCTCGCCTCTTCGCTGTCTTTCCACGCTCCCCTAGTATGGCTCAATTCAGGCAGTACTCTGCGATGCCACCTCACACTCCATCTGCGAGCAGTATCCTCGTCTTCAAAATCCAGCACCCATCGATTATATACGCGGTTCATGACTAGCTGACTCGTTTGGCTCGGGTTGTCCTCGTTTGCGCCAGATAGCATGCTCTGAATCGCCGGGTCATCATACATCGTCTCCAACTCTACATTCGCTGACTGATCAAAGGTGCCATATGCGCGAGGACGATTCGACGAGACGGCCTTGGACGACGTCTTCAGATTAATCACCTCGCGAAGACGGTGAATGGATGTCTGCGACTCGTTGCGCAGGGGAAGAGTCATGCCATGCTTGTAGGCATCGCGAGAGAAGATTTTGAAAAGGTCCGAAGTGCTAGGCTCGTAGCCTTCGATATGCATAAGCACCCTCCATATAGGTGCCCCCTTCTCGTCGACCAAGGGCGCGATGGGTTGGTAGCCACCTCTCTCCACCAATGCACGCAGTGCGGGGTTGTAGGGCTGCATGAGAACATTGAGACTCATGGGGTGATGTGCGGGCAGGAGATTGTAAGATGAGATGGCAGCTGTGACATCTTCACCCTCTTCAAGGAATCCTCTAGGGGGTGGGATGGCGGAAAAGATACTCGCGGGCTGGTGGAGAGTACTCAGCTTGTGCAATCTCGAAGCATTCTTCTGATACGCGAGAGCTGCCTCTGCGTTCTTGAAAAGTAAGTAGTAGAAGGGCAGTCGCTCTAGACTCAGCGGATCACGACCAGGCACGATCTTGTAAAGGTCGCCATCTCGATGCCAACCCTCAATGTGCTTGCTTTTCGGTATGATGCGACGGAAATCGGCTTCAGTCAGCTCAGTGCTACAGTTCGTGAGTTGAAGAACGGTAATCTGTTCCCCCTGTTTGCGCAACGAATTGACCACTTGTTCTTTGAGTGACGGAGTAGGGTCGTAAATTTCCCGACGAATGATAGGCGTTGAGTCCGGGAGGTTAAGCTTGGGATATCTATCACTTTGCTCGGGCTGACGAGGTTGCAAAGTAGTGCTTGCCTCCGGGAAGAGTTCTTCAAGAAGCGATTGCTTACTCATTTCGGCGGTACCCGGTGTTGGTTTGGGCGACAGATTGGCAGTAGTGGATGGGCTAACCTCTGGCTTCTGCCGTAAAAGCGGCGGTGTTTCGGTCTCTGTCCTCTTTGATTGCTCGATCGTTGTACTCTTTCTGTCGCCCTCTTCAGTATTGATGCTCAATTCGTCTGATGACCTCATTAGGCGTGACTGTGTATGGATTCTTCGCGTCAACCTCTCGCTGTCAATCTTCTTCTCCGAACTTTTTAACTCAGTGCCTCTTGGGAATTTCTTCACGTTTTCGGCATGGTCGCGAGCTTGCCGGTGATACTCTTCCACCGACGGGAGAACTGGTTTCGGCGCTCTTGGCGTTGTTGGTGAGATACGAGCAAGCTCTTTCTTCAGTTCTTTCACATTACTGCCAATCTTGGACGACGTTGCTTTTATGTCGCTGACTTGTAGCTTCAAGAGTAGATCCGGTCGCCCACTCACGCGAGCAGAGTGTTTTTGTTCCGCGTGGAGCAATTTCCAGTTCCTGTATGACGCTCTTAGAGCCTGCTTAAGCTCAAAGTCACCCTCGATTGCTGCGTCTTCAGCCAATACGCGTATGCAGTCGCGAGCATGCCGGGTAACTGGGGCCACTGCTAGAGAGCGTGTTGTTTCTAGCTCTGTAGCCACACTGCCTAAGGTGTAAACCGACTTCCGGAGGGCTTTCTGGCTATATTCAAGAGAGCGAGACAGGGTCTTCGAAAAGGAAGTATCAGGACGACGGAAAGAAACCGGATCGCCTCTGGTTGAAGCATGTCCTAGTAACGACTGCATCAAGGTAGAAGGTTTCCCATCGTTTTGAGGTATAGCAGGTGCCTCAGTCGGTATGTCCTGTTCCCTGGGTGACGAAGACGGTAACCGTCCCAACGCAATCTTTGTTTCCAATGCGGCCTGGAGGGCTTTGACTTGCTCGAATAGGCCCTGGAGCTGCTGACGTATGTCTGTAGTATCGTCATCTCGAAGAGTTGTAGCGATCTCCTTCTCGTTACTCGTGGTCGGGTTCTGCGTCCTCTGAACTTTGCGTATGGGGACTTGGTGTTTCTGTTCATGTTCTCTTTTTTCGGGAGAGATAGGTAAGGCCAGAATCTTCCTCACAACAGCTGGTTGACCCAAGGGTCTCTCCACCGTATGTTCAGCCTTCCTCACGGACTCAAAATCTTGATTTGGACTGTCTGCCTTCTCTATCTCCTTGTCCTGTGAGCGTGTTCCTGGATGCAAACGCAGCACCCTTCGCTGGCGCTGCGCCGGCGATTCAGTGGTTTTCCTGATCAACACAGCACCAGTATCAGATGTCTGCTCTTCGGAAGTGCCCTTCCCCTCTTCATTCAATTCGGACGTAGGAGGGTTCTGGGCTTGCGATTGTGAACGCGGCGGCGATGGCGGTTGTGATTTGGTAGACGGTGTATTCCGAGTCCAGGGTACAAGTCTGATTAACCCCCCGTTCAACCAGCTTTCCTTCCCTGTATCGCGGCTTTCGGCAGTGGTGGTTTGCGGGGATTCATCGCCGCCGGTCGAGAATGGTGCGGGCGTCGTCCTGTGGGCGCAGCGAATCTGGTACGCGGTCCCCGAAGGATGACATGGCCGAAGATGTCGAGGAAGGCGCGGCGGTGGCATAAATTGCACGGCTTCGTTACATGGCAAGCTACCGTCTCTCGAGCGCGATACTCAGAAAAGCTTCGGAATGGGCCCGCGCTAGCACACCCATCCGGCCTAGCTCCCCAGTCGCTTAGTCACCCAACATACTCCACCATATTGAGCTGCATTGGAGGGCCCTAACAATGCTGCGCTAAGAGGCAATGGTACCTAGGTGCAGGTGGAGATGAATTCGCATACTAATTAGACGCTTCCAAAGTTGGAGCTTTCAGTACGCACGTGACGTGAGTCACACCAACAACGCACCCGAAGCACTTCCGAGATTTTCACCATCCGTCTTGAGATTTGTTGCAGTGCGCGGTGACAATATGAGCCCGGCAACATCTTACACTCTGCGACCTCTGGAGCGCAATCCGCCTAGCATTCCCGGTAACGCACTTGAGGGCGGCGCCTTCCGCATTCATCTATCACAGAAAGAGCTGAAATCGCTGGGGCTTGTCAATGGCGATTGTGTACGGCTGAGTACTGCTGCCGGTTTCAAAGGTTATGGAGTGGCCTGGCTAGCCTCGCAGACAAATCCTGGCAATAAGCCGATCGCCAAGGTGTCTGATCTTCTGCGAGAGCAATACGACCTCTCGCTTAACGATCCCGTCTTCATTGATAAGGTAGACTCATGGAAGCCACTCAAATCCATAGAGATCAGCCTCGCAGATGCACCAAATCAAACTGCCAAGTTCAGCTCAAATGAGCAACTTTTGTATTGGCTACGACACACTTTAGGTAAGTCAACGATCATATTTTGTTACTATTCTAATAGCTATGTAGCCGTGGACTCTGACATTATTCTTCCGGGATGCAGCTTTCCAGTTCAGCAAAAAGGCTTCAAGCAGAAGAGCCAGAAGTTGCGTGTCACTGTGCAGAACATTGATCCGCTGCCAACTGAGAAGCACGCGACATATTTCGACGAGCTTACTACTCAAGTCACTACCACGGGTGTTATCCCTACTCAGCAGACCTCGAGAGCTTCTAAGCAGGTTCTCCAGGTAAGGGGTGATGGCATCGGCGGACTTTCTGCTCACATCACTACGATGAACAAACGCCTCTCTTACCTCATGAACACTCTACCCCATCAACGCGACGTACGCCTTTGTGGACCTACTTCTTTCTTACTGCACGGCCCCGAGGGTACAGGCAAAAGTCTTCTACTAGAGCGGCTAGCGGAATGCCCATGGCAAGAAGTGTACCGAGTAGATCCAGATACGCATCCAAAAGGACAAGCCAAGGCAATATCCGATGCTTTTGAGGACGCTCGTGACAATCAACCGAGCTTGATCATCATGGACAACCTCGACAGGTTTCTCGAAAAAGCTGAGACGCTCGTAAACAAACTGCGGGTTGAGTTGGCCAAGCTAGGCGGTAGCCAAGTGGTCGTGGCAGCAGCAGCGCGTAGCATATACGATGTTGACACCAGGCTTCGATCACCATCAGCCTTCAAAACGAAGCTAGAGCTCTTTCCACCCAACACCACTCAGCGAGAAGATATTATCCGACAAATCTTGGGCACTACGAGTAAAGTTGGAGACCTTGACTTCTCAACGCTGGCAGAGCGCACACACGGTTTCGTCGGACGCGACATTCACGATCTGTGTCTTCTCGCCCGAGACCGACGCGAACAACAGATAGATGAGACGATAAGCGAGGAAGAAAAGACCACCTTTGGCGAGAAGCTTGAGCAAACAGACTATGTTTGCCAGGAAGATTTTGATGCCGTATTCGGAGAGGTACAACCGACGGTCCTCAAAGACAGCATTCTAGAAGTGCCCAAGGTCAGATGGACAGATATCGCAGGTCTGGATCACGTTCGTGCTGTGCTTGAAGCCATTACTATCCGCCCTTTCAAGGTAAGCTATATTTATACCCCGCCTCTCCGTATGGCAAGGTTACACATGTCGCATCTCCATGCGTTCACCTACTTCTGCAGCTCGAGCGAAAGCTGATCGCATCTCTAGCATCCCGACCTGGACATCAAATTCGGCGGCCCTCAATCCCGAAAAGGCGTCCTACTTTACGGCCCGCCCGGTTGCGCGAAGACCCTGATCGCACAAGCCGTGGCGACGGAGAGTAAACAAAATTTCCTCGCAGTTAAAGGCTCTGAGCTCATCAAGATGTATGTGGGCGAGTCCGAGCGAGCTATCCGGGATGTATTCCGCAGAGCACGCGCAGCAAAACCGTGCATCATCTTCTTTGACGAAATCGACTCCATTGGCAAATCGCGCGAGAAGACGCAGGATAGCGGTCTTAACGTCGTTACAACGCTGCTAAACGAGATGGATGGTATCGAAGCACTCAAAGATGTGTTCATCATCGGCGCGACCAATCGGCCTGACATCCTCGACTCGGCGCTCATCCGTACCGGCCGTTTCGATGCACACATCCACATCGGCCTCCCGACTGAAGAAGCGCGGAAGCAGATTCTCCAGATCCACACGCGAAAGAGGCCGCTCGCAGAGGACGTCGATCTCGATGTTGTTGCCAAGAAGACAGAGGGGAGCAGTGGAGCAGATATCAGTGGATTATGCGCTGTCGCTATCGAGTTTGCGATTACAGACTACACAATGGACCCGAATAGCGAGCCGAAAGTGTATATGCGACATTTTGAACAGGCGTTACAACAACACGTCCCGCATACCATTGAGGATGAAGCCGAACGGTACAAGAACTGGCGGCCAGGCACGTCGCTATCGGAGTCGTCGCAGTCGAAGAAATAAACAAATGGCTCTGTTAGCTCTTAGACCAATCGAACTGATGTTGCGCTTTAATCCTGGACCAGAGCTGATAAAGCTAAAAAAAAAAATACATCCTTTAGGCTATGCGAAGAAAGCTGTTCTGTCAAGACTGTACGATAAAACGATCCGGGGTGCTTCGCTTGTATGACAGATCAATGAAGATCCCCGTGGAGGGCTTTATGTTACAACATAGCACACGAAAGCAAGGGTATCCACAAATACTACTCCGCAACGCCGTTCCCCCCTGCTCCTGCTCAGACTCGAAGCACCGTTATATTTGCTCAGCCAGCAAGTTCGGCCTCTTTGAAAATCGGTATGTTGATGTCAAAGTCTTCGTCATAGCCCGCTACTCTGCCCAGAATACAATTGGCTTTCTTTTGTGCCTGCTCGCTCATGTCCGCCACATGCGTGAGTGCGATATGGTTCATAAGTGTTTCCACACCACCGTAAACGCCCGTGACCTTATCCTGGCCTGAGCAAAGCAGGCAGCCGAAGTTGTCATCGTTTGAGCTAGGTTCTGCTGCCTTCTTCTTTACGTGTGACTTAGCGAGAAATATCCACCTAAAGGGTGGGAGACGAAGTCAGCATTTTTCTCACATCCAGTTTAAACATGGACACTCTTACCGATACCGTATCCCGGACATGGAAGTCTTGACGCGCGGGTCCACTATCTCAACAGTCCTGTTCTTTTTCGTGGGGTGCGGCTTCGTGAAGACGTCGCCCGTGAATGTACAATGCTTACACCCCCAAATCTGCCTTGTGTTGTAGTAGCCGGAGGGCTGAGTGCGGACAGTGATACCTTTCTTAAGGTCTTCTCTGACAGCCCAGGCGCCCTTGCAGAAGCCCCAGTAGTCGTTGTCTTTGTTAGCGCGGCCGTTCATCATCCTTTCACCACCTGCCGGTCCGCTTTGAATAGTATCGGATCTAATGTTGTTGCGCATCAGGCGGCCTGGAAGGATGCCAATCGGAATAGAGCTGCTGCTGTCGGTCGAGGCGACAGAGGGCGTAAAACTAGCGTGCCGAGATCGGCTTGTAACTGGAGAACCTGGCATCAAGGAAGTAGCGGCTGCTGTTGGGTTACTATTCGCAGCCGCTTGATGGTCGTTGTTGCTGCGTTGACTGGGTATGCCACGTTCTGTCGGAGTTGATATGTAATGCTGAGGGTTTACTGACTGTCTGACGTCGGCAGAGTGTCCTTTAGCTGGCACAGTATATTGCTGTGACTGCGTATACGGTACAGATGATGCATGTTGTAGTGAAGGAGAAGGATCTCGTTGCGGTTGCGATCCAGGCCAAGGTATGTGGGTTGGTGCATTGGCGTCATTCTTCGATGTAGTGTTGTGCGGCGCGTGAGATTGAGTCCGTAAAGGTGCCAGCGGTGCAATGGGAGAAGGTGTATATCTGTCTTCTGTAGCCATATAGGGGGAACTGTATGGCGGAGCACTACGAGTCTCATCGTATTGATCATATGATGCTACGGGAGGGCGGGCATGATCATCTTGCGACGAACTGGAGCTTTTGCGGCCAAGAGAAGCCGCATTAGACTGCACAGAGCTAGAGGTATCAGACCATCGGGGATGTAGTGTCTGCGTTCCTGTCTGGTGATATGGGTTGATTGCGGGATACGGTTGGTTGTAGACATGCTGCTCCTTTGTCGGCCTGACGGTATTCACTTGACCGGATGTCGACGTTGAGTCATGGAAATGCTTATTCAGGCTTCGATCCAGCCCTTGCATTGATTCAGTATATGCGTCTCGGTCGTTAAGCATGGTCAGCGTATCTCGCCGAGCGGGATGACCACCGCTCTGCCTGTGGTCTTTTGGTAGTCTCGATCCATTTTCGACGCTGAGTCCTTGATAAGAGCTTATCATGTGCTGAATATCTTTCATAATTGATGCACGGTCGTCAGGTCGAAGCCTGTCGAGAGCTTGATTGAAGCCTGGATCTGCAGCATGTGCAAGTGTATAGGGCAGTCGAGACGTTCTCGGCGTGTCTCTAGCATCGTGGGGCCGGCAATAGTCAGGCAGATGGTGCATAGAATACCCAGGGTTGTCCTGTGGCGAGAAGCTTGCCGCCGAATAGTTTTCTGGCAGTGAGCGTATCCTGGTCTGCCTCAATCCACTTGACGCGTCCCTATAGTCCTCACTGGCCGCCCTCAATGGTCGCACCATCGTCTTTGCTATGTATATTCTCTGCTTCAGCTCGTCCAACGTCGTTAGAGTCTCTTTTCGGTTCGTAATGGAGGCTTCGTGGAGAACATGCAGATTGAGCACACAAACTTCGCTGAAGGCTCAACATTAGCTCTGTCCTGGTATACAAAACATCTGGACTACTCACTTCGTAGCGGCTTGCTTTAAGCTATTGATGATCTCGGCCTGCAGCATAACTCCTATATGTAAGAGACGTTCTCTGGCGGTATCTGTGCGCATGCGTTAGTTCTCAAGCCCACTATGCGAGCAACTGTCGTAGAGCTTACAATCTCCAATGCGCACATAATCACCCAGCTCTCTCTGGTCTTGCTTATATCTCAGATCGATCTGCTGTTCTCCAGCGATGAGAGAAGCTTGTAGCTGCTCCTCTTCCCATTCTTGCTGACCTTGATCGCGGGCTTTACGAGCGCGGCGTTTTTGCTTGACAAGCTTGAGGAGCTCTGATCCACCGTGGAACGCAGAGACAACAGCAGAAACTGCTGCGACAATCTGAGGAATTGTAAGCAACATTTAGAACAAGGAGCTTGTATCTGTGGGCTTCGAGAGGTCGCGTGCGCACCTCTGTCGAAGAATTTCGAGGGCACAAAGGAGCAGACCTACCTCAAGACCAGACATTCTCGAAGGCGACTTATTTTCGCTCGAATGCAGTTGTTGTGCTTCACCGGTTGGCTAGACAGCGCTCCCAGATCGTGTTGGGACCATTTGGTGCGAAGCCCTGTAGAGGTTCTGGTTCTGGCCCTCGTTGGATTGATGATGGTTGAGCCTGAGCAGGCTGACAATTGATGATCGCGATAGATTCTCGGGTTTGGGGTTTACTAGGCCTGCGAGGATTTCCAGTTGCGCACGATGATGGGCCTCTCTAACACATGTTCGAAAAGTACGAGAGGAAGCAGAGCTACATGTATTGTCGCGTGAGACGATGCGATATAGGGAGAAGAAATGGATTCGGTAGCTAAGCTGAGATAGAATGGATTGATTGTAAAGTAAGAAAGGGATATCGCTCAGAAGGCTGAAGAGAGTCCCTTCCCGTCGGTACTCCGCCTCGCTCGAGCCTGAATGGGTGGCCTGCGACCGCTGTACACATTGGGCTAAGCCTTTACTGAGCCAGGCGTAGGCGGCAGTATTGCTTGACCGAGGTGCAGCGCTCACTGTGCTATCTAGGGCGGCCGCTCCAATGATGAGCAGCGATGGCTTCAGACCAGGCGGGCTGTGTGATGCCGTCTAGCCTGGAAGTGAGTGGCATACTGTATCGTAAAGCAGGAGAGACTTGGCCGGTGGCTTCTTTGCAGCCACATCTTTGACTAGTGCGGCTGTTAATTCGACAGATGCGCTCTGCTGCCAGTATGGGGCCTATCGTGACGGGTGAGGCTTGAGGCCTGCTGCTAGCCAAGAGGTGGGGGCTGAATAAATGAGGGCCACGCCCTGAATGTCGCTGAAGAGCCGGCCATCTTTGCAGGAGACAGATTCAGCGTGCAGTGTGCGCTGTAGGTCTCAGAAACGAGAGGCTGGAGCTCGGTCACTTTGGTTGAAGTCTGTTGGGTAGACGGCAGTGAGATGATGATGCGCCTTCCGCGTCCCGAGCGGGGGTACTCAGGTGGTTCGCGCCATAGCCACCACGCTTCGCCAAACGGTAGCTGCGACCATGAGCCATGCCTACGTACGAATTTTGTCGCAAGACGCACTTGAGCAACTGCTCATTCTTTGTAGACAGCTTTTCGCAGCATCAGGATACGTCCCGAAAGTGTTCGCAATCCTGTATACACACAAAACAGCGCCGACGCATGCGCTGCATTCTACCGGTTCACCGGTCGATCCTCTCGGCCCCATTCCAGGAATGTGGGTTTCGGAACGCACAGCGTTCAGCAGTCGCCCAAACCCCACAAGCTCTAGTCAGCGACAAAGTGACAATAAGCGCAGTAATAGTTGTTGAAAGTTCCATTCACAAACTTGCAGGCCTTCTAGCGGTACCAACGTCTTCCGCCTAACCCTATCCTTTTCACCGACCAGCAGTACGTCTTGGATCATCCATAGCCGCACATAAAGAAGTCCAGGGATATCCTGGAGAATGCAACCAGAACGACCCCCGCTTATAAGAAACAACCCGCATGAACCCAAATGGCACGCGAGTACATTTTGCAACTCTCGGTGTATCAGCGCACAACGCCCTAGTAGTACCAAGTCCCGATCGCTGGAAACGCGATTCAACGTAGAAGGACAAACGAAAAAAAAGAAAGGGATGTTCTCGAAAAGTTTATAGAAGTGAATGAAGAGACAAAGCTTAAGCATCCTCGAGCTGTACTCTCTGGCTTTTCCGGTTCCTGACTTCCACCATCGTAGGGGTGAGGGCCAATCGATCCACCATACGATCCTCATGCGGACTCGTCAAAGTGCGAACCACGCCTCTTGGGCTATTCGCTCTGCTGACAGATACACTCCTTGCGACGCCGACCATGGCTTTTGCTGTGGTAGCTTCTTCTGTCTTTCCCTCCCTTCTTCTTGCTTGGATCTCAGCTCGCTTCTCACCGAGCCTACTGGCCGAGTGCGGTGGGGTTGATAAGCTCTGTAGCCTCTGTAGAGGAGAGGGTGCGTCAAGAGGAGCAGAAGACGGGTGCGATGACAGCGCGCTGAGTTTGGTCACCTTCGGCTGTTGTTGCGAAGGCGAGCGGATTAGTGGGGACGTCGGTTCGCTGTTGACCGTAAGGGTCTCGCTTTTCAAAGCCCTCACTGGCTTGGTGCAGATCTCCCATTCAGGCTCTCGCTCGTCAAGATGCAACGTAATCGGTTTGGGATGACCGGGTGATGCCTGAGCGACTATGATAGTGATCGAGTCGGCCTCAGATTCGAAGCTGCAAATCGAGGTAGGGGTCAATGCTGGCTTCAGGTACGGAGATGCTACAGGCTTTAGCTTTGTAGAATCCATTTGCCTTGTCGTGTTCTCTGTATTTTGAGCGAAAGTTTGCTGAAGGGGAGACTTCGTGGGCATCGTCCGGGACCGCTTGAGATCCTTTTTGCTACGGCTCATAATAGATCCTGACAGTGGTGATGGTGCGCGGCCTGGATTGGTGGACGGGAACAGGGACAGTCGTGGTGAGCCAGACGCCGGAGCGGGCGACGTTACCCTACGCTGAAGACTGTAATCTACGGGACTTTCGTCTTTATGATCGTTCTACTTTAACGTTAGCCCTAGTTGAACGTAGCCAGATGCTCGGGCATATACCTTTGCAGATAGCTCCTGCAGCGGCTTGATCTTCTCAGTGTTGCCTTGCCGTCTTGCCAAGAGGGATAATCGGTTCGGGTCGGACTGCAGGAGGTTTCCAAACATAACACTGTATCTCTCCATTGTGATATCGGGAAGGCTGACGTCCAGAAGAGGCCCTCCATCATCTGCGGACCCGGTTGGATTCTGTGGTAGTGCTTTGTTGTTTGCACTCGATACTTCGACCTGTGGCACAGGTGGAACCTCGCCAGCAAAGCCTCGCGCTCCTAGATCAGGTGTCGTAAAAGACCGTTGCATAGACTTCTTCGGCCCATGTAACGGCATGTTTCCGAGCGTCATAGCACGATCTCGGGTCGCAGACGTCTCCGGTGGCGACTGAGGTGGAACGAACTCTCCTGGAGCCCATTTCCGCGATGCTCGGATATTGGGCCTGTAGGTCGGCGGTGACACACTGCGTAATTTCTCCCTCTCCTTTTCTTCCGGCCGAGATGCCTGAGACTCGATGATTTCCTCGTCATGGTGGCTGTCTGCACGAGGTGCTGCGGCAACGGTCTGTGCCAACTGATAGAACGATGACTTCTCTGGTTGAGGCGGAGGCGCTTTACGAAACAACGACTTCCATCGGCTGATTTTGGACTTGGGCGCCTCAACACGGCTACTCAGCGATGCCGAAGAGTCGTTGGAGTGGTTTAGTGTTGCCATTGGGGAATCGGCAGGTTTTGAGTCGGTTGATGATACCGCAGCCTCAGGCGTTGATTTCCAGTGTGAACCTGAGGTAGGTGACCCAAGAGCGATGCCAATGACCCCTCTTTCTTTCGTGGCGTCTGGACTGTAGAGTACAGTTGTCGAGGTAGTAGGCGATTGGAACGAGTGGATATGGTCCTGAGAATAGATCGATGGTGCAAGATTTGTTTTCCTATGGAACATGAATGGACGCTCTCCAGGTCCACCCGATGTGCTTGGCCGCACTGCCGTGCCTGGGACTCCTAGATTTACTTCTGTGCTCAAATCGGAAGTGGAGGGCTTGTATTTGTCAACGCCTGTTTGAGGTCCCTTAACAGGCGGCATTGAGGACCCATTGTCTTGCTCCGTGGCGTCCCTGCGATTGTTTCTCAGAAACCTCAATGACTTCGACCTTGTAAGCATCCCGGGCATCTTGGGTTTCAAATTCGTTAGAGTATCAGAAGGTATACTGAGTATGAAGGAAAGACAGGAAGATATAGACGCGGATGTAAAGGAATGGACAGCTCTAGTGAGCCAAAAAGAGGGAACAAGCCGCGACACAGTCGTGGAAAGGTTGAGAGAAGGAAGAGATGCAGAGACCGGCGGAATGTGCGCCAGTATCACCACCGGTCCGCCAGGAAACGAGCCTGGCGCCTCCACACTTCGCTGTCATCATACCAGCGGCAATCATTCATCCACTTTCGGGGCGTCTGGGAGAAATTGCAGAGTCGAGAACCCGCCCGTTGCGGGGCCAGGATCATAGGAATGCGCTGCATGAGATCGGTGGTTCGATTGGCTCTGCGGCATGTCGCGCCAACGGGACCCATGGCATTTGACAGGATCACCTCGTCTGCGCCGTGACAGGGTGACGATACCGGGGGGAACAAGCGACAAATGCTACAGGGTTGAGATGCACGAGCCTGTCCAGGTGGTTTCAAGATGACGCTGGGCCGAGGAGCAATTTCGCGATCCGCCGCCAAGACGATCTGACCGACTTCACTGGCTGTGGTAAGATTATCAACTACCAACGAGCCCACACAACGTGCTACGAGACTACAACGAAACTGACATCTTCTCTTGCAATACGCAAGCTGAGGTGCACATGCGGAACATGAGAAGCTGCGACACTGGGCCGCGCTGAAGCAGCAAGTCCTCGCCCACCTATGATCGCTGGGAAATGAGACCCCAACACATCATGTGTGGATACGGCGCGACGTTTCGGGCTTACTTACCCAAGATTGCGGACGAGATGTCGCCGCCTTCCTAATCAGACAGGCATGTATACGCGCGACAGATGATTGAAACGAGGCATGAACGGTCTGGCCTGCCTCAGGCACTCACGCGACCTTGTCTAGGCGGTCAACACGCCCAGTATGCAAAACGCAATGCACCTGTGAACGCTCAATCCAGAGGACATACCGAAGGCGAGTATAAGCATTTTACTTGCCGTAACCCCACAGCTTGCTCGCCTAATGTGCCGATACACTCTGCATGCTCGTTGTGCAGTTAATCGAACGACTTTTTCCCAACATCTTCAGCACACCTGCATTTTGATGTGCGTGCCCACATCCATATGTGCCGGATCGAATCCCCTGCGACATATAGAAGCAACCGATATACCGGTCTGGACATCCCTTACGGAGTTACGACATATCGATGACCCTGCTGTAAACCCTAGGAAAGGATGTCGCAGTCTCGAACGCATGCATCGCAGGAATTGATGCAAGACTCCTCGGTCGATGTTGTGTAGGACCGTTCCAGTTGGCTGCTGCTTCTGCTTCATCGGGAGGCAAGGCTGGCGAGTCTCGTTCCCACCGCTTTCGAATCTCGCTCGTCGTCGCATTGCGCAGGCGAAAATGGACAATTGATCTAAGCGACTACTGGCTTCACGACCGTGGCTCCCGATTAGCAACAATTCGTCGACCTCACTCCCTGTGTAGCAGTTAGACTTGAGAGCCATCTCCACATCCCGAGTTGTCCATAGCACCCACGCCCATCTTCCTTCCATCTCTCTATCTGGCGGAACTTGCTCGCAACTTACATGCGCCGCGCATGCATCGTCGTCGCCCTTTGAGAGAGAGCAGGTCAAGCGCCAAACTTGTGCGTGGGCCGACTAGAGTATGATGGCCTAGGACGTCCGCGAGTTTTGCATGGAATGCCTCCAGGTGAATCATTCTATCGGATGAATTGTACGTCCATTGAAGCGTATATAGAGCACTGCACAGCGACAGGGTCTGCAAGAGAATTTATGGACATCTGTTCGGGACGCATTGGAAGTGTTGATTAATCAAGGAACTCGCAAAACGTCCGTGCGACACTCGAGAGAACCTTGGAAATCCGCAAAGACCCTGGAGGAGACCTCGGGACCATCTGACAGCCAGTTGAGTAATCTTTCATTGCACCGCGAGGCTTACATTTGACTGAATCCAACACGATATTGACCGTGGAGCTGAATTGTTCAAGAAGAACTATTGTCCATCGCGAGGTTGCGGCGGGACAGAATTTGATTCCCTGGCTAGCTACATGCGCATTTCTAGGTGACCACCTTTCCCAAGTGTGCGCTAAGGTATCTATAGCGTAGAGCGTTCAACAGTACTATGGGAAGGCGACGGCGACATGTTTGCCCGGTCGGTCACGAGTGTTGCCGAAACCTTAAGACGATACCTCGGGCAACCACCTAGTCGGACTTCTCTTGTGACTTTTTGCTCGAAGTAGCCAGAATTTCTCAAACGAAGGTGAAATTACAAATCCCTCGGACGAGATCTGCGGTGAATTAGAAGCGGCATCTTGGGCCTTTGGCGCGTTGACGGTCGTTGGACTGCATGATATATAAGGTTAATGGCACTTTCAGATACATATTCAATAACCCATCCTCAAACATCAAGATCAGTCCCGGTTAGACCATCCGTCTCTTATATCTTCGCAAAGTCTTGCAACACTTCCTTCCTCCTACAATACTAGCATTCGCCGATCTTATCACTTTATTTCCCTACAACGATAAGCTGCCGTACGTCCAGGTTTCGGGTCCATCAACTTCAATATGCACTTCAACCCCGAAAAAGACATGCCCGACCTATCGGGAAAGACTATCATCGTGACAGGCGGCAGCAGCGGTCTTGGGAAAGAGAGTGTTCTCCAACTCGTCAAGCATAACCCAGATAAAGTGTATCTTGCAGCCCGGACAAGCAAGCGAGGCAACGCAGCAATCGAAGAGATCGAGAAAGAAGTTCCCTCAGCAAAGGGAAGGATACATTACTTAGAGGTGGATATGGCATCGTTCGCATCCGTCAAGCAAGCCGCCGACCGCATCCTCGCCGAAAACACTCGCTTGGATATCCTGATGAACAACGCCGGCACAACAGGCAACCCTGCAAGCCTAACGAGCGACGGTTACGAGGTCCAATTCGGCAGCAACTACATGGGACCTACCCTCTTCACCAAGCTCCTCCTTCCACTCCTCCTCAAGACTGCCGGAGAACCGAACAGCGACGTTCGCATCATCAACCTCAGCTCCGAGCTATTCAAGCAGGCTCCCAGCGAGGGTATCCTATTCCCCAAGCTCATGACCGCCTGTGAAGATGTGAGCTCCGTAGCTCGTTACGGCCAATCGAAACTGGCAAACTACTATTTCAGCAAGGTCAGCGCACAGAAATACCCAAACATCACGTCTGTAGCTCTACATCCCGGCGTTGTCAACACGGGCATCTGGGATAACCTGAAGACAAGAAGACCCGTACTAGGTACGGTTCTTTCTGTAGTCTTTGGCCCGTTCTTGACGAATGTCGCCGATGGTGCGAAGGCGCAGTTGTGGGCCAGTACCGCGAAGAAGAGCGAGGTCAAGAATGGTGCCTTCTACACGCCAAAGGGCAATGGCAATGAGTATACGCAGGCGATACTCAAGAATGATAAGCTTGCGAATGATTTGTGGGAGTGGACTCAGAAGGAGTTTGCGAAGCACGGATTTTAACGAAGGGTCTAGGCTTGTGTCCACGTTCTATTGTCAGATCGTACTGGTAAAGAAACGAGGCGTTCTATTATGAACAGCTCATGGAGATGTTTTCGTAACAACTAGCAGGTAATCATAATATAAATCTTTTCTCCTCAAGTTCCCTCATGTCAGAGTAAATAGCCACGACTGAGAGTTCACAAAAGGCAGCAACTGCGAGCAAGTAGGGCGTCTGAGTGGGCACAGGAAGGAGCAACATCACACAGCACATGGCGAGATTATGCCAACCTTTGCAGCATGGAAAAGAAACGCGTTCATATGTATGCTAAATATCGCTCAGTCTCAAAGACTCATCAAACGCCGTTCATGTGAGACATATAAACCCATACCCAAAAGTTTTAGCTGAAGAAGAAGGTCATGGCTTACTCTTGAGCCTGCGCCTGCTGACCCGCCGTACCCAAGTCGACACTTTTATGATATTTCTTGCATGGCAAATCCTGATGCGAGTCGTCCTCGTCATCTTCAATGTCAAACATACGCTTCAGCTCCTTACATGCGACCATATATTGCTGTCGAGCACCCGGACTCTCTCTAAGAGGATTGGGCGCCTTGTCCCAGCCGTGCGGCACCCCGGGTACACAGTGGTAATGCACGCGCTTTCCGAGGTCCTTTTGCAGGCGGTCTCGGAAACGTTCGCCTTCAGCGAGAAGCATATCCCATTCACAACAGAAGAGGACAATGTCGTCAGGGAGTGCCGCAAGCATATGCTTTGGTGCCACGCCAGGGCTGAGCCAAGGGTGTGAGAGATCGAGCGAGGGTGGTTGAAGGTAGGAGTCGTCGAAGAGATCGGTGAAGACAGCGGGGAGGTTCTGGTCAACCCTCGAGCACGTCTCTCGGCGTTGGGCGCGGGTTTGCGTGTAATCTATTGATGGATAAAAGGATACTATGCCTCTAATCTTGAGAACAGTGTTGGACGCTTCCGTCATAACCGACACACCCGAGTTGTCTTTGTATGAGGATATGAGCGATAGGGAGGAGGCGCCTGTCTGGCGAAGCATAGCAATGCGATCGAGGCGTGATTTTTGGCGAACAAGTGGGACGCGGGAGCCGTTCGGGGTGAGGTTTTGGCCAAATGCAGGAGGAGGCTGAACCACGGCATTGGGAACGTTGCCCGCGCGGTCATCGATGATCTTGGCGCCAGATGTCGTTCGGTCGAAGAGCTCGCCCTGCAGACACAGCGGGACTGTAAAGCTCATGTTGCCTCCTGAAGAGAAGCCCGAAATGGCGAACCGATCTGCATCTAGCATCAACTCCTCGGCGTGTTGCGCCAGCCAGAGTACCGCATCGGCACCGTCTTCGACAGCCGTAGGGAACGGGTTCTCGGGCGCGAGGCGATAGTCGACGCTGACGACAACGGCTCCGACCTCTTCGACGACGACACCGCACCAGCGCGCGTCGTCGTGTGCAGTCCCCAGTACGAAACCGCCTCCGTGGAAGTTGATGACAACAGGGTATTTCCTAGTACCCTTCAGCTTCTTATGCTTCTTGTATTCCTTGGGCACGTAAAAGTTGAGGCGGAATTTGCCTTTCAATGGCGAGACGGTAGCATCGATGTCCCTATGGAAGGCAGGCTTTGGGGGTCGTGGGCGGGCGAGGCGGTGGAGCATCATGCCAATGCCCATGAGGACGCGCCAAAACTGCGCCTGGACGTGGAGCATCCATCGCGGCCGGCTGCTCTTGGGTTGTGGTGGATTGTCGACGGATACGGTCATGGTGACGGTTGATGGAGACGATGGAATCACCCTATATGGCGCGCGCCATCAACGAGGCCGCGGGTGATAAAGAGTGGAAAGGGGCTGTGGCTGTGGCGAGCCGAGTGCTTAGGGGCAGATGGGTGATGGGTAGTGTCGCGATAGTGTGGAACTAGAGTTGTCGCGATCGTGTGCAGTTGGGCCGTCGAGTCCTTGGTTGTGCGTTTAGTCGCAAGCGTTGGGAGTCTAGAAATGTGAGGCCCAGGGCCGCGCAAGGGTCCCCGATAGGCGATGACGTAGGCTAATCAGCCGCACCCCATCTTTGCCACCCAATCCATGTGCTATCGCGCTTTCACCCCAGTTGGTCAGAGACCGCGGAGCAGAGTGTGCATTGCGATGCCTCGGCGCCGATTTCAACAGACATGTAACATTGTCGATGCGCCGATGTGGCCAGTCGCGGCCGGTTGGGTGTTCCGTGTTGCATCACAAGGCTGTCACACGACGACGGCATACGTCTAGTCCTGCATAGAGTCGGACATATCATCCCTCAGGCATCACAACCACAACCACAATCAAGCACCAGCGGATCAGTTTGAACGGCGTGAATTCACACCGCTCCTAGTGATAGCATTATAGACTACGTGTGTGCAGCAGAATTGAACCCATCGCAGAAGCGTTAAGACCATACTCCTGCACAATCACTCATCCAATTGGTAGACAGCCGTCCCATCCAATACCCAAACTAAAAGAGAGCAAGCCGGAACGGGTATAGGGCTGCTCAAGTCCTCAGAAAGCGCCGAACGCTCACCTATTGATGCTGCCATGGACCAAGATGCAAGTGTAAACACGGAGGGAAAGCCGACAGCGAAGTCAATATCAGATATCAAAGAACGCCGGGAAATTGTGTATGCAAATCAAGTGCAGAAGAATCGATAAGGAACGAGGGTAAATCAAGAGGTCCATGGAAGTCTTCACGCGTCGACAAACTCGTACTCGTCATCCTCGGGAGCGACATGTCGCTTTGCGCGCGGGGCCTCGTCGTACAAGTCGAGCACTTCATACTCGTTCTTCACCAGCTTCTCTGTCTCCTTGGTTTCAAACCTCTCGACAGCTTTCTCGAGGGCATGGTTTAGGATCTGGCTGCCGTGGCTGGGACCGCGTTGGGCATCGAATGAGTAGGCGACCTCGGCATCTGGAGCTGGAGCAGCGGAGGGGTGGTCAACGTCCTCGTCGGCGGACGACTCGTCACTAGCAGAAGCCATGTCCTTGTTGAAAGCGGTGCGAGCCTTCATGGGGCCGGGATACGATGCCCTGCATATGTTAGTACTCCGATAAGCAATCCAGGACCCGTTTGGGAGCCACTCACTTGATATGCGGGTACAGCTTAGCAGGGCGGGGCTTGCCGTCTTCCTGTCGCCGACCAGGGCCAAACGACTGTCCGTTCGCCCACTTCGCCCTGCTGTTCTTGTCGCGGTTGAACTCCTTGGCGTCGCTGCGGAGGTCGCCGGTGAAGGTCTGCGAGGCCGACATGGCTATGATGCGACTTGGATCGACGGGTGTAGTTATAGTATGTATTGTGACTGTGTGGTATGGTTTGGCAAGAGTATGTAGAGTGTGTTGGCCGGGAGGTGCTGCGGCAGATGGCTAGTAGGTAGATTAGGTGTGACGGAGAAGGTAAACAATGGGATGTGACAGGTACGATAGCTGTGTCGAGGTAATAAGCATGGGTGAGAGGGAGGCGCGGCGGATGACTAGCAGCTGTCTTGTGAATGACTCTAAGAAGTGACTCAGGATGACGAGGGCTGCTGGGGCGACGAGAGTGGCTATGCAGGTACTTATGGAAGATTACGGCTCGTGTTCAGGCCAGGCAGTTGTGTACTCGCACCGCCCTTATGTCGTCAAAGGCGTAGGCACCATCCCCGCCTTGTCGTGGTTCCTGATAAGGGGACTGTCGACGGGTGGGAGCTCATGACCTAGGTTCCAGCTTCCGACTCGCCGAGGCCTGTTGCCCGCTTTAGCCCGATGCGCAGCCGGTTTGACGCTGTCGCCCATGATGCCATCATGGCGGTTTCAGACGCCTTTGGCGGCCAACGTGGGCGAGTTGGAGGCTGCTGTGTCCTGGTTGGTGTGCATGGATATACGTGAAGCTCCCAGCCCTGGAGCTCTGAAGCTCGCAAGCGCCCCAAGCTGGTGCTCCAGGTTCCGATCGCCGACCCCACATCGAGCCTCCACACCTCAGACAGCAACAGTCACGGCATGCATCCCAACAATTGCAGCTTATTAGACGACGCCCTTTACCACGCTCCCTGATAAGAGCCCGGATTCGGCCGCCGCGTCTGTGCCTGGGTTGCTAGTCTAGCCCATCATCTAACGCGGATGCGCGGCTTGCTACGAACCAGCCAAGACATGTATGTACCCCATACCATGGCATTGCAACGCCCTTCCGTCAATCAGCTATCTTGGAACATTAACGTGTCTGGAATGGCATGGTTGACTAAGGCAGCCGTTCTAGGGGCATCCTCAGGCACTCGCTCTAAGTATGGTACGCGGCCGCTTCCTCGTCCTCCTCGTCGCTACTTTCAACTAAGCCAGTCTCGCTTGGAAGGACATCAGGGAACCAGCCATATGTACCGAGATCCACCGTGTACTGGCCCATGGCATCCTGTCTGACCTCCACTCCCTCTCTCCGCAGGGCATCCGCCTGCTGAGCAGCAGCGCTCGGGCCTCTTTGTTCCAGTCAGCAATCAAACAACAGCCAACAAAGTCTTGTTATGGTGACAAGGAGCGCTGACCTCGGGCTAATACCGCCTTTGGCGTTGATCACGCGCTGCCAAGGCACGTTGCGGCTATGGAACGTTGGACTCTTGCTGCTATCGGCCGAGGGCGATGGCAAGTTCTTGAGACAAACTCCGACTTGTCTTTGACGTCATGTGTTAGTGATGCTGCGACACGATGGTCATGATGCTCCGCTGTAATACCTTGGACATTCGGCTATGATCAGACAAACACGTCAGCAAGTCGCCCTTGTCATCTGGGAACACAACGCACGCTTCCCTACCAGCCTGGCAATATGACCATAGCTAGTGACCTTGCCAAAAGGCACCTCTTGAATCGCTTCGTATACTGCTGTGTACCATAGCCAGACTTCTTCTGAGCGCTCTCCTGGTGCCATGATGATCCGAGATGTAGAGGTGATTGAGTGCGGCTGCTTAAGCCGAACGGGAGCTCAGCACCCGTGAACGCGACAACACGAGAGCACGTGATGCGGAACGCCTGCGCGCGCCAAGCCCTCAACTTTCCGTCCCGAGCTTCGCGGCTGGACTTTGCAGCATCACCCGCAACCAACGCCTAAACTCAGCATGTCTGGTCTTGCTGACTATCTGGCTAAGAACTACCTCACGGCAGATTCAGAAAAGAAGTCGAAAAAGCGCAAGAGGAAGAACAAGGATGCCGGACTGATCATTGCCGACGATGACAATCTGGGCTGGAAGGATAAAGCCGACGAGAACGACGAGGATGCGCCAATGATAGGTATGGGAATTTCTATTTCCACATTCTGTGCAAGCTCGAGACTAACAAACGACGCCTCAGTCGGCGGAGGCACTCTCAAGAAATCCAAGAAGAAATCCAAAGGCACAAGTGCCGCAACATGGACAGCCGTAGGCGTCGCCGCGCCCTCACACGCTGAACAACTTGCTGCCGACGCTGCCGCCGCAGATGCAATCATAGCAGGGACCGCCGCCGACCGCGAAAAGGCTGCTGAAGCGGAGGATGAAGCGCCGGAAATGGTAGACACAGACGGTGTCATGAGGATGGAGTCGGGCGCCAAAGCAGGTCTACAAAGCGCTGCCGAGGTCGCAGCAGCCATGAAGAAGAAACAAGACGAGGAGAAGCGCAAGGCCGAAGAGGCCGCAAAGGAGATGGGGAGCGCCGCGCAAGAAACCATTTACCGAGATGCCAGCGGTCGCATAATCAACGTCGCAATGAAGCGCGCCGAAGCACGGAAGAAAGCTGAAGAAGAGGAACGCAAGAAGCGCGAGAAGGAGAAGGCAGCGCGCGGAGACGTACAAAACGCAGATGCAGAGCGGAGGAAACAACAGCTACAGGACGCGAAGACGATGACGATCGCCCGATACGCAGACGATGCGGAGCTCAACGACGAGCTGAAGGAGCGAGGGCATTGGAACGACCCTGCATCAGGTTTCTTGCGCAAGAAGAAGGCTGGACGCAGCATTACAGGCAAGCCTCTATACCAAGGACCATTTCAACCCAACCGGTACAACATCCGCCCAGGACATCGGTGGGACGGGATCGATCGAGGAAACGGGTTCGAGAAACAATGGTTTGATTCGAGGAACAGGAAAGCCAACATTGAGAAGCTAGAGTATCAGTGGCAGATGGACGAGTAGAGTCCTGGGATTGTCAAACCACTCTCTCATAAGAAGATGGGATGTATATCATTTGCATAGCGAGGCGTCTGGGTACATGACACACAATATGACGGCCATGGGAGGTTGAACAATTGCTACTACCGCAAAACTATGTCCATCCTGCAAAAACACTTGGCTGACGAGACATCGAGGACGGAGCGATGCGCGCGACCTGATCCGGACATGGGCAAAAAGAAGATCAAAAACATACAACAGCGGGGATTCGCTAGTACTAATCCGCCGGTATCTTGCTTGTATATGGCTGAGCGGACGGGAAGCCTTGCTTTCACCCATGCGACTGCCACAAAAGCCCTTAATTTTTCTGTATGCGGTGATCTGAACGGCGTAGTGCTGTTTCTGGATGTGGGCTATTAACACACATTACCGGTACCGTACGCCAAGGTTTATTTCTGGGTCTAGTCGCTTAGCGGAGTAAGCCACCAACATGACAGCTCAGCGCTACTGCGAAAGCTGCGAAAAGCAGCGGTGCTGGCGCTTAGGTTCCCCCTGAAGCACCGGCTCATCCTACCCTACGCACGAGCGCGCACAAGCATTCTGAGAGAGACGCCAACATTAATCGCGACACTAGAGAGCAACATAGCACGTTGCTCGTGCGCGGTCTTAACAGTAAGTGGCCCTGGCTATCAGCGCGTCATGTACAAACAGCTGAGAGAAACACGTAGTTTTCTTGCTGACGCCCTACTTAACCTGATAAATAGTCCCTACGAACCCTCTAAAACATATAAACGTTAATACTACTAGAGCTGGAGCCGGAGACCTAGTCATTGATTGATGTGGATGGGTTAGCGCATCAGCGAGAAAGAAGCACGCGTTGAGAAGGAGCATTACGGATGCGGTGAGTCTGCACGCAGTGCCGTAGGCGGGACGATTTACACGCATTGTTGCAATTGGGCGCCTGGCTGCAGATGAGAATGAATGCAAACGTTATGGGCCACTCCCTAGACTGTGGTTTTGCCTTCTTCTTGCAGATACAATTCAAGTGTTTATGCTTGACTTGATTAGGCGAGAGCAGCCCTACGGATTGTCTTGATTGCAGATTGAAGTGTCGTGAGGCAGTTGAGATTGTCTTGACTTGACTTGATTGTCAGAAATTTCAGATTTTGGTAGTGTAGCCACTCCCCTAGAGTCACGATCTCTAACGAGTCTGCCCAGTTGTATATATCGTACTTTCGTGCCAGTAAGTCGTCTGTAAAGCTCTCGCTGCTGTCGCCGTCGCCGCTGTGCGTTTCAATGCCCTCGGTGGGCGCGGGGATCTCAGCTTCAGGTTGCGACTCCAAAAATTGCGTTTCCCACGCTGGCTCAGACGGCGACTCGGTGGCCTGGCTAGCCAGGGCTTCTCGGGGCGACAGCGATCGCTCCGATAGGCACAGTCGTTTAGCAGCTTCAGCAGCAATTGTAGGTGCGCCGCTGCGCTTCTTTTGAGATTGGGGAGGCATTGCAACGCGTTGTTAAGAACGAAAGATATGGGCGGAGGATGGACACGAGAAACTCCACCCTTTTTCTATCCTTCACCCTCCACCCCTACCGCAGCGGCACAATCTCATCAATCTGGCAATCTGGATGTCACGGATTGATTGATTGAGCTACTAATCTAAAGACTAGCTTCTTGGTTTGATTATAGCTCCAATCTGGCAATCTCACAAGATCAATCTCACAATCCGGATTGATTGTTGCGGACTCTGCTTAGTGATGTGGAAGGGGCGAAAACCAAGCGCGCATCGAGAGTCGGATCAGCTCCATCCTGTAGCTTTATCGGGGGCAACCTTGATCAAGTATAATAAAGCGAGCGGCGAGCGCTTCGGACTAATTAATGACATGGCCATGGATCTTCCAAGCAATGTTGCGGTCAGCCTCAAATAGCTGTTTAGTTCATTCACTTGATCTAGGGAAGTAAATTAGCTTCAGAGAAGAGTGTTCATTGGTGCGACGCAAAGACGGACTTCGATTCCATATTGTTCTTATACAAGCCAAAACACTACCCGCAAAAACAAGAGCATAATAGACCAAGAACCCCAAATGAACATAAACGACCATTTAGTAAAAAGACCTATGAAGAGATAAGGCACGCATGCTGACCGCATGTCTTCAGGTGTAAACAGGCATAACACCGTCAACGCTATTATACTAATTATCTGTATATCGTCACCAGCATCAGGCACTAATTTTAGTCAGCAGTTGTCCGTTTACGAGCATTTGTGCGCCTTATTGTGCAAATTTCCCTCCGAGCGGAGATAGGCTAGGAATCCAAAGACCTCCAGCAAGACTATTTGCTGAGGAAATAGATAGCTCGCCAGTAACAACAACCATAGTAACACTTCCCTATATTTGCGTAAGATCCGATCCGGATACATGCTAACGAAGCGTGCAAGCGCTAGCCGAGATATGAAGAGGTAGACTTGAAGCCAGAGACCTATAGTTGGATGCTGATCTTAGTTCTTTAACTCTGTGTGGGTGTGGGTGTATGTGTGTGTGTATGTGTGTATGTGTATGTGTGTGTGTGTGGGTGGGTGTGGGTGTGTAGGTGTAATAATTGGACAACGTCGATGACAGTAGATTGACAGTATATGCTGAGACTAGATGAACCACTTTCCAGCTGCAATAGATGGTATTCGAGCGATCTAGTGTAGAGATTTGTGCTTCGGAAAAAATGCGTCCAGGTAGAGCAAAGTGATAGAGTTATATGCAAAGTTTGATTAAAAGATAATCTACAAGAGCTTACTAGATTATAGACTTGTGCGAGTTAGAGGCGCCCAAGCCATGTGGAGAGGAGACGTAGTGTTTTTACCAGCCCCTGGTTTCAGTAGCTCTATACTCTATTCCAAGTATTCTCGCTACGTCACGAAAGTGATAAGAAGCTCAAGCTGCGTCCCTAGTGCGTGCCAATGTCAGTGTCATCGGTAGGTGCAACATTTGCAGAGGACAGAACATGTTTGAGGTACATTTGGTGGAAGGTTGGTGGAGATATTAGCGACACCGTATGCCGAAGGTCTCTTCACACACTACCAGGAACGGACAGTATACCACAGCCATGCCACCGCATCCTGTATTATAGCCGCTTAGAAGATCAGCTGCACCTGTAAGCGAGTGCTGAAGGTATAGTACCAAAGAACGCTGAAAGCTTTCACGGCACCGTATGCCGAGCATTTCCACACACATTTAGAGTGCCTGTGGTTAACGCTGAAGATCACATCACACAATATTACAATGTAAGGGTTGTAATGATCGACGCCTTCATTTTGTTGCACCACGTCTGCCACGACACGACCGTCTTTCACTCTAGAGATAAGGGTTAGAACACTGAGGCTTGAATACGCTTTCTTGTAACGAGAGAGAGGTTGAAATTTAACCAATCCAAAGTCGGAACGACAACTTGAGCGCGCGAAGTCTGCTTTTAGTTCCACTGCTCAGACGCTCTGCTCACTAGCTCCTGCGCATTGGATTTTCTCTGTACGTTGTGCCTCCCATCCCTTGACGCAAGGTGCGACGAACATCTCGCCCTTGATGATATTTCGAATGGTTCCGATGCTGACAACCATCCACAATAACACGACCGATAACGAGAAAATTGTTCCAAGCACCTTGAAGAAGAGAGACGGTAGCTCCTGAGAGATGGCTACGGTCGCAGTTGCGTACACACCAAGCGGAAATGTAAATCCCCACCATCCCAGGTTGAAGGGAAACTTGGATCGTGTGATAGCGGCGATGGCGAAAAATAGCCAGACTACACCAAAACCCCACATAATTATCCCAATCATGAGTCCATTGGCATAGAAAAGTCTGCCAGCCAGGTCGTCCATGGCGGCAGGAACAGTATCTGTTCGACCGAAGACCTTCAAGGCATCGCGTCCCAGAGTCATGATGCCGAACGCTCCTTGACCAATTGGTCCAAGAGGTAAAAACACTGAAACAATGACTTCGCGCGGCGGAAGAGAATGCATCGTCAATCGGTGAAAGTATATGACCATGGTGAACATGGCCAAAGGAACACCGCACCCCCACAGAATGTAGCTGACGATGATCGTCCATAAGGCGTGCGTATCGGGGAGAACACCAGCCACGATTCCGCCTGTTGCAGCAGCAACGATGGTCGCAACGATGGGCAGGAGCCACACAGCTGTCATTTTGGAGAGCTGGGACTGTAGAGCCTATATTAGCAATGCAATGTCAGCATTGGAAGCTTCACATACCTCATGTTTGTATATAACGATGAAGGGCAGAAGTAGGTTCGTACCAAGCGAGAGTACGACGTCGATCCACCAGAGTGTCCAGGCTAATGTTGCAGCCCAAGGGCCCCAAGCTGGCACGCAAACGAAAACGATCATGTTGATGATGGTTGCAAGACCCATTGGAATAGTGCCTGTTTGGTGTCAGCGCTCGATCTTCTTCAGACTATGTACTTCCTACTTACCGAGGAATAGGGACTGGACTGGATGTGCGAGCATCGCAGACCAAATGCCTGAGAACAGGGTATATCTCAGGATGCTCAGCACTGTCAACAGCGTGAATATGAGCACATTCGCTGCGAAGATGACGACTGAGATCCAGTATAGCCATGTCGCATTATATGGGAGATTGTGTAGGAGTATAGAGGTAATACCGGTACCTGGCAGGAACGTTAAAAGCGGGGCAGTGGCATGAAGTAGTAAGTATAGTTTGATTGAATGACAAGGAGCAAATTTGCGTGTGCCTTCCACTTGGTGGGGGTGGCATAGGCAGTGGAGTAAATGGAGGTTCGCAACATACCCATGGTTACGCTGAACCATGCAGGCGTAAGGTTCATCACGACTTTTCGCCAGCCCCGTTTGTTTCGACATTGCCTTGCATGTTCTACAGCAACGTCGTTCGGTGGATGCAATGAAATATCGTGATGTTGTGTTTGCTGCGGCTGGCCAAGTTCTGCGGCGGAAGGATCCATTGTGATCAGTACTGGGCGTTTGTTGCAAAGGTCAACAATCCCTCAGAAACGAGATCAAGATACATATATGCGCCATTGCTGTGCTTAGTGATGCTAAATTGCCTCCTGAGGTCCGAACAGAGAAGCGACGAACCGTGATGCGCTTGCCGATGTTCCTTGGTCACACCTGTGCGGAAGTCGCTGGCTCCGGAGCTTGTGATAGGCTGGCTTGATGTAAATGCAGAGATCGAAAATATGATGCATCGGTGACCTCGGATACGCCATAGTGCTTTCCATGCGGGGTCATGAGCATCGTATTCTGATTGGTGCGCAAGCGCACCTCATAATCATCAGCGCACGGGTACTGCGGGCAAGACAAGCATAACATTCAAACTATTCCATAAAGCCGTCTGGTTGATCTTTTGGGTTCCGATGATCAGGATGATGCACCGAAATGTCTGTTCAGCGCTTCCAAGAGCATCTCGCCGCTCTGTCTCCGTACTTTCAGATCTCCAAACAACCGCCAGCTCTCGCGTCCGACACTGTTTCTGGAGCCGTGTACCTGTTTCGCCATGGTATTCTCGACGTGTCTCACAATGACTTCAACACCTACGTCCAGCTTTTCCTGCGAAGAATTGAGGTCCTGCAAGGCGCAGGAAGACCGTTCGCCAAGGGACAGTTGGCGGCCTTACAGACGTATCGAAGTTGGATTAGCAAAGCACATGTGGGCATGGTCTCTGGCGCAGGTCTGTCACAGAGTGCAAATATGGGCAGACACTTTAGACAACGTTATAGCCAGGTTCTCAAGGATTTCCAAGTCAAAGAGGGTGATCTCAAACCGATTATGAGAGTATGGAGTGACAATGCGACACGATGTCGGCTGTCTGCTATAACCTTTGCAGACGCATTCTCAGGTAAATGCATCGGGATAAGATGAGTTTTTCTCAGTCAGATCATTCAAGGCTGATATACGACCGCAGGGACCATCGTGGGAAACGCAAACGACAATCTTCCCTTGATCGATTGCCAAGTCAATGTCAGTGACTTGTCCGATACCCCTGGAACTTGCAAGAACCTTGCATGGCATGCAGCGCTACAAGTAGATCAACAGGCTGGCAACCGAGAGATGCAACAGCTGATGAAGGTCACGACGCGGGACGCCTTGCAACGACTTCGCTGCGATTGGTCCAGCTCGCAAGAATTTGGAGCCGAAGACGTACACGCCATTGAACTTCTCCATTGCTATGATGTCGTCTCGGGACGCAAATTACCCTTCGAAACATGGTTCACACCCGCAGACTGGATAGGTTTCGAATATCTCAGAGACACCAAATACCATTACAGTGAAGGTTATGGCAGCGATACTTGCGGAATCGCTGTACCTTAGCTGGTGGCAGTAGTGCGCAGTCTCAAGTCGGGACCAAACCACCTATTCACATTTCCTCTACATGTGTCCTTCACGCACAGAGAGGAAGTACTCTATCTGTGTTGTCTTTTAGGGATCGGTCACAAAGAGGGCTGGACGCCAGATCTAACCCGGATCGACACGGGTCGAAGCTGGTTTGTTTCAAAGCTTGCGCCATACCTCGGTCACGTTGGGTTTGAAAAGTATCAGAACAAGAGCGGCCAGGATCGTCTGCGTATTGTCGTAAATGGGCGTGTCATAGAGGTTTTCTCAAGTCGGTTCGAAAAAGATCTCGACGGTGGTTATGACTTTCAGGATATCGAGTCCTGGATGACGAGTCTTCCGCAGAATTGGGAGGGTTTTGACGACACCCACTGGGGCCATGAGTAGCATAGTGTCACAGTCCGGTTTCGCACAAAAGATGGGCTCGGCATATAGACAGAAGACGGAAAGATTATACGTTCAACCGAGGTTCTGATCATATTGTATTCGATATGAGCATTTTACACAGACGTTATGAAAATGCTGCGCTGTCAGCCCTTGAAGTCTTTGCATTTTGCGGCATTTGGCCAAGACAGCATGCTTTGATACTTTCTTCAGGAAGTGATATGCGTCAAAGTGCAGCTTCTGGTCTGGTTTCAGCTTAAGATCAGCTTAATTCACATCTACCACCTGTCATGTCCAGGTCATGACAATTGCTACTTGTGCACAATCATTGGCATCCTGGTGTGCACAACATTGCTTAACATTATTAATAGGTTTTGCTACACCGTTCTATCTCTACAAGGCAATCAAACCTTACACACCGGTGCCCTCAGTCCTGACGTCCATTGAAGAGCTCCCACAATGACGATCATCAAAGAAAAGCCAATTGCGATGCTTGTGACACCATACAGATAAGCATGCCTCTTTCGCAGACTTTTGAGCTCAGCCACCCATGTACTTACTGTCGTCAAACATCCACAGAAACCTTCTGTGATACCCGCCAGTACCTGACAACCGATTACACTTCCGCCCACAATGTTTCCCTGAAGGTTTGTATGTTGCAGATCGTAAGCCATAGCAAGAAGTGCGGTACCCAGCATATTCGCAGAGAATGTACCGATGGGAAATGACTTAATGCATCGATTGAGTTGCACAGAGAGCCAATAGCGCACTATAGTGCCCATAGGTGCGAAGACGATGGCGAAGACAACTTGTCCACGCCACGCATTGTGCGGAGGCCAGATGGCAAGGCATACTGCACCAAACCAACAACCCAATCCTAGGAAGACGCCCAAGGGATTTGTGATCTTGCCCAGGTTCATTCGGGGAATGCTCGAAAGTAGAGGTAAGAGAGCAATCGCTAGGTGAGCGCCAAATGAGAGGGCGGAAAGCGAGACTGTGACCTCGGTGATGACCATACCCAAGACTGATGCGGCACTCCAACCAGCGCTCCTGGCGTTCTTAACCTGGTCTTTGCCAATCAGCTCATCGGACAGCCCGAGGAAAAGATCACGCATGAAGGATGAGTAGGATGTGAATGATCCGCAGAAGCCAACTGCCAGCCCGATGTATAGTGGTATGGACTTTTTCCTGGCAGTCTGGTCGGCTTGAGAGTCCCGCTGCCCCTTTTCGTCGGTGTCGTCACCATTGGAGCTGGAGTGCGTGGTCGAGAGTAAGTGGCGACCTCTTTTCTCGGCGAACAAGGCGCGATCTTCTTGCAAGAACCCAAGAACTAGGGATCCTCCAAAATTTGCCCACAATACGTTCGTAGTCACCGGGGCATTGCGATAGTATGTCATCCATTCGACTCCTAGTCTTGCCAGCGTGCCAAGAATCGAGAAGAGCACAAGCCAGGAGTGTGTGTAGAGCTGTATCAGAAGCCTTTGCTGTAAGGAAGGTCGTTCGGTCGCCTGGCGTGTATGTTCATGGATCGCACTTCGTCTACTGCCAATCTCTCGTTCTTCTTCAAGGCTTCGGTGGTACTCGGTCCGCTCCTCGTCGGGGTTCTCATCTGGAGCGGGTACAGCAAGCTCATCAAGTCCATCTACACCTTCATCGACGTTTTCGTTGAGCAACTCGGATTCTGCTTCATCTAAATTGTCTTCGTTGGGTTGCCTTGCGGACTGTGGTGAAGGTTTGCGGACTTCCTCGAATTGATCGTAGTCCTCGAGTGCGCTGTCTTCAGCCTCTTCGTTTATGACTGATGGTGCCATGTTCTGTGGCTGTGTTGATTGGGATCGAGACTCCAGAACATCCGTGTGGTGCAGACTGGACCTTTATGACTTCAGAGATACGTGATCTCCTCTTTGGGACTAGCGCAACCGCACCACCCGTGCCGTGCATGAGGCACCGAATCTCGCTTGTAAGAACCCGAACCGCACGGGCCTGGTAGAATCTGAGCTCGAGACGGATTGATCGGAGAACGCATAGTGCGTCTTGTATTTTAGTCTCATTGACGCTACCTAATTTCGCACTTTAGCGCCTGCATGTCGGTAGCTGCCAGATCGATGTAAGAAGACAAGACCGTAATTACATGATGTCATTGTTTCATCCGAGATGTTCAGAGAGGTTGATACTGTTGCAGTGAGTCGTTAACCGCACTCATCATGGCAAGAACCTTTTCCTCCTGGAGTCGCTGACCCATCACCTGGACACCAACTGGAGCGCCGTCAAAGAGTTCCTTATCATCTGTCTTTCGGTAAGTAGCTCGATCATTGAGACCCTTAGCACTATCACTTACAGAGATTCCAATTGACTCGATCCTTGTCACTCATAGGTATGTATCGAAACGGTCCGTAGTCAAGATACTGATCAGCAAAGGTCACGGGCACTACCCCGGTCGTATAATCCAGTACGCTAGGAACTGCAGAGTATGCTTGAGAATGTAAGCAAATTGTTTCGACAGCTTTGATCATCATTCAACGTACCATAGTACTTGAATGAGCCCTCAGGTGCAGCAGTGTGAGGAGCGATTGGCATGATTACTCCGTCCACAGCTCTTTTGCTCGCAGTCAATTCCCTCGTAGATCTCCAGTAATCATGATACTGCCTCTGAAACTGCTTTCTCCATGCACAGAGATCCCAGAACTGTGAGGTTGGCAAAGGTTTACTTTCGGTCCCCTTGAACAGGTCTGCTAGTTGATGTATGGGCGGTTCCCCACTGGCTTCAATCGCTGCTCGAACATTTTTCCCAGCCGTCGATCCGAGTATTTGAAACTGGAGTCTCGTCAGCATCACAATACTTGTGCATGTTCTGGTCAAACGGCAACTTACGAGCACGTCTGTCGCAAGGTCATGTTTCAAGCCGGGACTCCAGTCAACCACCTTGATCTTGTCAATGGAACAGCATGGAATGGGGTGCTCATAACGGCTTACCTCGTAGCCACGCTGAAGTAATGCATTCCTCACCAAGCCCAAAGCTCGTTGCACAGGAGGATGAGGGTTAACCTCGCCGTCGTTGTTCAGAATTGCAAAAACCAGACTTCCATTGCTCTGGCCAGGCTGACAAATTCGGTTGGAGGTACCTGCGAAATTATCATCCCTCCAAGGCATGTCGATTGTCTCGATATCTTCTTGCCACGCGTTGCAATTGATGATCCACTTCATTGATTGAATCAACGATGGTAGATCAGAGGAGAGTGGTCCTACAACGCTAGCTGCTGTGGGCAGCCCAGACAAGTTGTCAGCTAATCCTGTCGCAGATATCCGCCCGAAAGAAGGGCGAATGCCATACAAGCTATTGAAGCCACACGGAATGCGTATCGATCCAGCGATGTCTGTGCCCCACCCTATTGGTGATCCTCGTAGGGCGAGCAAGGCAGCTTCTCCACCACATGCTCCTCCAGCGGAAAGATCCCTGTTAAAGGGGTTCATTGTTGAGCCGACTATGTTGTTAGTTGTCTCGCCAATAAGCATAGACATTGGTACGTTAGTTTTCGCAAAGATCACAGCCCCAGCTTCTTTAAGACGCCGGACTAATACTCCCTCATCCACTGCAGATTTGGGTTGTTCAAGCCAGCTAACATATCCACACGCGCTATCAAGGCCTTCCATGTGGAAGCGATCCTTAAGAGAGACTGGGATACCGTGTAGTGGACCGACGACTTGACCGGACGTTCGCAGAATTGTATCAAGCTCTTCAGCTCGCTGTTCCGCCTTTGCGAAACAAATTTCGGAAAGGCATGGCGTCTGCATATAGTCTCAGTATCGGTCGTCGGTATCCAGCGTCCGGAAAGCTCCCACTTACAAGTTGGTGAGCCAGAGCAGCTCGATGACAGAAAGCTCTTGTGATCTCCACCGCTGACCACTGGAAAGAACAGATGTTGCTTGTGAGAACAGAGACCGGCGCGGTGGTGATCTGCTGCTCCAGTGGTGAGAGGAAACGCGTGATGAAAGCTGTTAGGTCCTTGAGAATTTCAGTAGATGGAATTTCGTCGTCGCTGAGCCGCCATGCCGGAGGTATTGCATTCGCGATTGACGCTCTCTTGGCGCTTACGGCTCTGCGCCAATCAGAAGGAGCGATGGAGGGGCCATGAGACATGGTGGGTGCTGTGCTGAGCAGTGGCTCAAGCGACAACGATCTTAAGCTTCACGTACCAAGCACAGCGACAAAAGAGAAAGTGGGGCGTTCGTTGCGCTGGGGCGCGGCTGCCCAGCGGGTGCGCTAGTCCAAGTTGGCACTAGAGCGTTAGCGCATCCGAACGTCCCGTCGAGCCCTCAGGACGACCCTTGGTCGCTGTTCAGGTTACCTTTTTCGTTTTTAAGCCAGCAGGGGAAAATGTAAAGCGTATGGGCCATGAGAGCTGAACGGTATACTCGCGGAAGGCTCTTGGCGGATTGAGCGATCCATAAGACCACCCAACCCAAGTTGCAGACAGGTACTCGTCAGAGAGCAGCACCGCTACTAACGAGCGTCGATGTCTTCTGGCGCCGAACCTCTGGCCCGGATTGTGTCACTGAGCCTTCCTGAGGATACCAAATGTGGACATCCGGCTCAAGTCGGTGGCTGCTTTTGTGCGGTTCGCACAGGTGGCGATACGCTGGCAGGAACGTTCACGATCAAACTAAACTCAAACCGACGTCAACTGGTTGAACTCTATTTCGAAGGTATGTTGAAACCTTCCGTCACTTGTTGTACCCTAGGTACTAACAGAAACCAGGTGTGTGTCGAACATGGCTTCCAGACAGGGACATCGGGCATTTTCATGCCTACGAGCATCGCGTAGGTGGTCTGTACGGTAGTTCAGGCAGTGGCGCTGACAAGGGCAGTTCCTGCTGCAAGTACAGTGTCTTGAGGCGAGGCCGGCGAGGCATCAATCTACAGGATATGCTGTTACCTGGCCCGCGCTTCAAACCATACCATTCGTATTCCAAATTCCTTCGACGATACCAGCGGAGACGGTCGGGAGCAACTCGCGTCAAGACCAAGCCGATCACGGCCTCTATCCGTCAGCAAAAATTGGACGTACATACTTTGACTCTGCCAATGACAAGATCTTCGCACAGCCCTTCATAACGTACACACTATCAGCAAGCATCAGAAGGAACGTCACAACCAGGCCGTTTCGACACTGCATCTCAAGACCAATCAAGGTGATGCCGACCACGGCTGCACCTCCTCCCGTTGATACAACGTCTTTCGAGGGCGAGTACGTGCGAGTAGCAAGAGCCAATCTCCGCAATAGTTTCTACAGCCGCTCCTTCGGATCTCTCGCATTCTCAGCGGACGAGCCTCAGGTCATACGGCTCCCGGAACAATTTTCACAATCACAAACGACCGTCTTCCTGAGGATCTCCTTCCAACACATCAGAACTGAAGTAAAGCTCAAGACAATACCGTATGATTGGAAATTTGAGGTTAGCTCACGTCTCCAGCGCCGAGTGTTCTGCGCGACCCATCCTTTGGCTCGCATGCCTACCATCGCAGATGCCAGTGGAAGCTCGAAGATTGGTCTTCGTACAGAAATACTGTTAGCAAAGCAGCAAAGATACGAGCACCTTGCCTGGCGCAACAACCATACCACCCCGCACGGTACAATTCTACTGTCCGACAACAAGGCAGCCTCTTGGATTACTACGATACCGATCAAAGTTTCTGCTGATAGTAGTCTGTTCCCTTCGTTCTTTTGCGCGACCTGTTCGCTGAGATATTCCATTTTACTTGACATACGTGTAGTGGGGGTATGGTCGAGCCACTCATCTTTGGCAGTCCCGGTACAAATTATCAGTCCTGCTCGAAAGATGATACAAATGGAGCGAGACAATGAAAGGATCTCTGGAACGCAACTAGCGGAATCTCCAGGTGGAGATCTGGGCGCTGCTCAGGAATCGCGACCTCCTGAGTATCGGCCAACTCCTTTCTAGACATCAATTATCATGTGTTTTAAAGTTACCGTGCAATAGACAATACCATCAAATGCGCCATTCTGATGTTGAATGTCCCTGAACCAAGTTTCCCACCCCCCCCCCCCCCCCCCCCCCCCCCCCCCTCGCCCGCCTCACGGGGCATACGGCGAGCAAGTCCCGAAAGACCCGCAACGGAAGTGAAGGATCGGGGTTTTCGGGCAATCTAGAACGCCATTAGCGTATCGGGAGGTTCGGAAGTCATTCACGTCATTCACGTCATCCTAATGTAACAATTCACTAGTCCGTTGTTGCTCTATAGTTGATATAATACGAGTCTTATTCTAGCATTGCAGCGAGCAACGCTTACAAGCAGTATCCATGATGACGACCATACTCTCGATCGACGCATCCCAGCGTTTGGATTCACGCGGCAACCCAACTGTGCAAGTCTGTCTTCGCACCGACAAGGGCAAGTTGACTTCTCTCTCAGCTCCTCATTTCCATGCTGACATATTGAGCGCAGGTACTTTTCGATCGATTGTACCGTCCGGCGCATCCAAAGGCGACTATGAAGCTGTCGAACTCCGTGATGGGAACGAAAAGGAGTATCATGGCCAAGGAGTACTTGGCGCAGTCGAGAACGTCACAAGGGTTCTCGCACCCCAGATCATCGACAAGAACTTCCAGCTTCCAGAAGACGTGCGCAAGATCGATGCATTTATGATAGAGCTCGATGGAACTCAAGATAAGGGGAAACTGGGTGCCAATGCTATACTAGCTATCAGTATGGCTGTATGGAGAGCCGCAGCTTCGGCGAAAGTATGTCTGGAAAAAGATCGCCTCAAATGCGATTCCCGCACCCTTGTTGCTCAGACGCATTCCTTGCTAACGAGAGATGCAGGGAGTGCCGCTTTACCAGTTCCTGCAACAATCTTGCGGCACCCAGCAGTCATACGTCATGCCCGTGCCGTTCTTCAATGTCCTCAATGGAGGTGTGCATTCCGGCAATACAATGGCTTTCCAAGAGTTCATGATTGCGCCTGTTGGCGCCGACAGCATGACTGAGGCCGTCAGGATGGGTGGGGAGGTCTATCAATCACTCAAAGGAGTCATCGTGAAGCAGTATGGACCATCAGGTAAGGCGGAGTGGATCATACAGTCAGGCATGAGCTGACGTGACTCGCGATAGCGATAGGCGTTGGCGATGAGGGTGGCTTTTCTCCACCGATCTTGACTCCACACGAAGGGCTTGACCTATTGGTAACAGCGATCGAAGCAAGCGGGCACGCTGGGAAGGTCAAGATCGGCATTGATCCAGCGTCTCAAGAGTTTTTCAATGAGAAGGATCACTCGTATGACTTGGGATTCAAGCGGAAAAGCTCAGAGCAGGGTGTCAATTTTGACGCTGAAGCTTTGGCGAAGCTGTACTATGAGATCCTTGAACAGTACCCTGTCGTACTGTTGGAGGACCCATTCGGGCAGGACGACTGGCCGGCTTGGACATCTTTCAATGCAGATTGCTCCATCGAGCTGGTCGGCGATGATCTCCTCGCGACGAACAGGGGGCGCATTGAGAAGGCCCATCAAGAAAAAGCCTGCAACGCTTTGTTGCTCAAGATCAACCAGATCGGTACCATCACTGAAGCGATTGATGCAGCAAAACAGGCGTACAGTTACGGCTGGTCGGTTTTTGTGTCGCATCGCTCGGGAGAAACGACTGACGACTTCATTGCCGATCTGACCGTCGGGTTGGGCACTGGACACCTGAAGTCTGGAAGTCCGTGTCGTGGCGAACGTGTGGCAAAGTACAACCGCTTGTTGGATATTGAAGAAGAGTTGATGCGAATTGGGGACAAGGCGCTGTACGCGGGCGAGAACTTCCGGGTGAAGCATGATTCTTAAGTATCACTCTGGTCTTTGGAAGCTGTGTTTGAATCGGTGAGACCAAAGGAAACCGTCATTGGATCGATGTAGAAATCTGACATTGGCTCCATCTTGTTCTCTTGGAATGCTGGGCCAGGGTAGCTATTATCAACTTGCAAAGGCATCGATTGCGTTTGGCTCTGACTGAGATCCTGATTTGCTACATCCCCGAAGTGCCACAAAAGGTCTGAGACAGTCTGTGGTGTAGCAGGCTGCTGCAGAAGCGACTGTATATCGTCCATGGAGATCTGGTTGTAGTCCCAAGAGATGGAAGTTGGTCGTACAGTCTCGCTTTGCTCAGTACGTGCTTCGCTCTGGCTCAAATCCATGTGCTGGTCTTTGAATTTCAATGAGTCAATATCGAAGCCTTTGCGCTGTAGCTGATCTATTGTGTCGCAGACGACGCGATCATTTGGCGCCTGTCGTCGAAGCTCTCTCAGGGCGCTAAGAAGGGAAATCTGCTGTTCCTCAAGAGACGCGATGTAGCTGCACATACATAAGTCAGTATGATCTTACTAGGAGCAAATTTGCTGTACCTTCTGGACAGATTCTTTAGACCGACCATGTTGGAGTCGATCTTGCAGGTTGCATGATCGCGCTCACATCTTGTACACGGTATGCGGCCGTTGCATTTAACTTTGCGAAGGCGGCAGCGGTTGCATGCCTTCCTGACGCGACTGCGTATCTCCTCTGGCTGGTCTTCGTTTCCAGCTGCGGCGACGGCTGATTCTTGTTCCTGTCGGAGAGATGGCGTGTCTTCCTTCGAAGGTATGATCAGAAACATGGCGTCGAGAGATAGAAAGGTAGTCACGAAAGTGACGTGAGAGAATCAGCTAGAGCCAAGCCGTCACGGCGCTTTGGCGGACATTGCGGGCATATGACGTAAGCCAAGGCTTCTTGTTTAGCATCCTCTCAACGTGCCATGATAACATGGTTGGCAAGCGAGCGGCGCAGGCAAGCGAGCGGCGCACCCCACTAACTTTTGCAACTTTAAAGCGATATATCTTAACAACACAATAATATTATTGCTAGATATTAATATAGTAGACTACTCTATATTAATAGTATTACTATTATATATACGCGAGTTGTGTTTAGTCTTCTTGCACCTAGTTGTTACACGGGGTTAGGCTATACTTCTCTAGGCTCGGTCCGTACTAAGGCGAGGTAGACTAAAGCGGTAGTCCGTGAGGTTTGTCTGGCGATTCTGTGGAAAAGAGTTATCGTGGAATAACTGCAGGTAAAGACAATCCAATTCTATAAACGATAGAATAACTAGTTAACAATCTGTGTAAGAGATGAACTATTTGAGTTGACCACAATGAGTGTAATAATGAAATCCAACACATTCTTATACCCATTGCCTTAGGTCCTGTCCTCCCTGGCCTCCTATCCCAGAGGGAGGTTTGGGAGGACCGTGGCTTCCCTAGCCCCACTGGCCTCCCGGAGGCCTGGTCTTGGCGGGGTGCCAATCCTGATCACGTGACCCCGAGCCCCGCGATCATCGTTGCGTTCTGACTTGGTCGTGGTTGGCCTTCAACCCCTTCACCCTATGTCAAGGAGAGAATCCTTTGTGTTACCTGTAACATTATCCCCCCTCTTAGGCGTATCGTCCCGATACCCTGGATTATTATTTTGCCGTGCCAATCGTTGAGGCGTGGGCTGCATATAAGGTCTGCGCGCCCCGGGCCATTGTAGCCGCCTCTTCCTGCCTCCAGCGTCCCTAACTATGCCCAAGGTTCAACCCCCGACTCGCCGTGTCCGTTCGCAAAACTCGACTCAACAGCGTCAGGCCCGGGCTGATCGCGTCCGGCAGCAAGGGAACGAAATGACGTTTCGTTGTAAGCGCTGTGAGGAGAAGAACCTTCGTTGCTTCGTGGACACTGCGTCTGGGCAGTGTGCGGGTTGTATTTCCGTGAAAGCTGAGTGCAGTTTGTTTGTAACCGAGGAAGAGTGGGAAAAGGTTGAAGCTGAGAAGCGTGAGAAGCGTTTAGCGCTTCTCCGTGCAGAGGCCGAGGTCGCGCGGCTTCGTCTAGAAGTCGCGGAAACTGAGGCCTTGGAGCGTTCGTACGCTGATCGAGATCACGCGATCCTGAGCCTTCAAGACCGTGCGAAAGAGCAAGCCGAGGGGAACTCTGCCCCTGGTACGGACTTTCCGACAACCGAACCATCGCTACCCGGACCGTCGACTGACTTGGGCTGGTTACAGGCTGACGCTTCTTTCGACCCTTCTTTTGATTACTTCCTTTCCCTCGAGGACCCGGTCCTTGCTTCTCTGGGTGTTTCCGGTGGTACTCAAGTACCAGTGACTTGCAGTTCGTCAAGCTTTCCTTTGGTTCCCAAGTGTTCTGACCCTCTGGCCATCCTTGCCACTTGACCAAGTATTTCCACTGACGACCGATTTTCCGCAGGTCCCTAATTTCTTCGACCTCGTACTCGTCGTCTTCGAGCTCTATATCCGTTGCTAGCTCGGCATCTGGAGGTGCTGGTTCCAGGAGTTTCTTGTGAAAGACAGGGTGGATGTGCATGCCTGGTGGCAGTTGGAGTTTGTAATTTACTGTGCCTATTTCCTCTAGGATTTCGAATGGTCCTACTCGGAGGTTATCCAGTTTCTTGCTTGGTCGCTTAGTTTTCAGGTTCTGTCGTGACAGGAAAACTTTATCCCCCTTCTTAAAGGTTGGTCCCTCAATCCTTTGCTTATTAGCCGCTTTGGCTGTTGTGAGGTTCCTGTGGGCGATGTTCTTGCTCAATTCCTCGTGTAATTCTCGCATGAGGCGGGCTTTATCATCTGCGCCTACTGCGATGCTTTCTACATCCTTTGGGTCTCGATGAGCAGTCGGCTCATATCCATAGTTTGCGTAGTGCGGCGAGTACTTCGTGGTCGCCGATCTTGTGCTGTTGTAGGCCAATTGTGCTGTCGGCAAGAGTTCAACCCAGTTGTCTTGCAGCTTGTTGGCGTACATCCTTAGATACTGTTCCAGTGTCTGGTTCGTTCGTTCCGTCTGGCCGTCCGTTTCAGGGTGGAAGCTAGTCGATAGCTTCTTCTTTACACCCAGTTTGGCCAGGAATGTTGTCCAATATTTAGACGTGAACAGCTTATCTCTGTCCGTTATGAATTCTTCTGGTATACCATGCTCTGATATCAATGCTTTGGAGACTTCATACGCGCAGTCTTCCGCCGTGATGGTTTCTTCTGTTGGTACGAACTTTGCTCCCTTAGTTAATCGACACACGATTACTAGGATTGTATCACAAAGTCGTCCTGATCCTGGTTCTAACGATTTCGGGAGCTTCACTATGAAGTCCATCGTTACGCTGCTCCATGGCTTGGTTGGTGGCTGTAAGGGTTGTAACAGGCCGTAGGGCTTATGTCTCTTGGGCTTGTTCTGATGACAAGCCAAACAGTTGCCTAGGACATCCTGCACCTTCGCTCGCAAGCGTGGTATCGCAAACACCCTTGATAGTCGCCTAGCCATTTCTTCCAGCGATGCGTGTCCGTATTCCTTGGACTCATGCAGTTCTCTGATGAGTTCTTCCCGTATGGGTGGAGCCACGTACGTTTTCCCGACTTGGGTCATCGCTCTGAGCTCCAACTCATCTTCTTGTATCTCCCGTGGGATTGGCCTTGGTTCTAGTTGCCAGTGCAACGCTTTCCTCTGCCATTGCTGCTGTAGTGTTTCCACCTGCTCGGCCACCTTAGCTACCTTAGCTAGTTCCGGCTGGTTGTATCGTAGTGTGCCATCGGGCATCTTCTTGAACATGGCGTCGTGTGGTTCTTCATGACTTTCTTCTCGTAGGTCAGACCTCCTGCTTAGAGCGTCTGCTGCTCCGTTAAGCGTTCCGGCTCGATGCGTTATCTTAAAGTCAAACTGAGCTAACATCTCAGCATATCGGACTTGTCGTCGGTTGAGTTTCTTGGTTGTCATGAAGCTTGCCAAGTTCTGGTGATCGGTAAAAACCTCGATCGTATGTGGTAGTCCCAGCAAATAGACTTCCCATTGTTCAAAGGCAGCTACTATCCCGAGTAGTTCCTTATCGTGAACGTCGTAGTTAAGTTCTGCTCCGGAGAACTTCCTTGAATGGTAGAACACTGGTCTCCATTTCTTGTCTGGGCACTGCTGTGATAATATAGCACCGAGTGCATAATCTGACGCGTCGGTCTCGACTCGCGTTTCCCGTCTGGGGTCGTACATTTCTAGTACGGGTGCTTCGAGGAAGATCTGTTTGATTCGAACAAAAGCCTCTTGATGTTCCTCGTTCCATTTGAACCCTATTTCTTTCTTCGTGATCTCTGAGAGGGGTGCTGTGATCTTCGAGTAATCCTTGATGAACTTCCGGTAGTAATTGGCAAATCCTAGAAAGGATTGCACATCTTTGACTGTTTTGGGTTGTGGCCACTCCTGTACAGCCGCGATTTTCTTTGGGTTCATCTTAACTCCCTCTGTAGATATAATGAAGCCTAGGAATTCCGTCTCTTTGACGTGGAATTCGCACTTTCCTGGCTGCAGGTACAGCTTGTATTCCTTGAGCTTCCTGAGCACTTTCTTGACATGTTCCACATGTTCTTCGAGCGATCCGCTGGAGTACACTAGTACATCGTCCAGGTACGCTGTGACAAAGATCCCAAGGTACTCGTGGAGAGCGTTGTTGATGACTGATTGAAAGGTTGCCGGCGCGTTCGTCAAACCGAACGGCATAACCGTATACTCGAACAGTCCGTATTTCGTTTTGAACGCTGTCATCCATTCGTGACCTTCTTTGATCCTGATTCGGTAAAATCCTTCCCGAACGTCGAATTTCGTAAACCACTTAGCTCCTTGGAGTCGATCCATGAGCTCTGTAATGAGTGGTAAGGGATATCGGTTCTTCCTCGTGACGCTGTTCAACCTTCGGAAGTCGACACATAGTCGCCACTTTCCGTTAGGCTTCTTTACGAACAAGATGGGTGAGGCCATCGGGCCTGATCCCGGTCGGATGAA